GGGGGCACAAGGTTAACAAAGGGGGGGGTGCGTATTGACTAGCCACCAATCCTATCATGGAGGCCTTTGGCAACGCAAAGACGACAAGAAATGACAACAGTTCCCGCTTTGGTAAATACATTGAGGTAGGTTTTATGAGGCATTAGGGTTACGCTTGGCTTGTCCCACTAAAACGATATGTGTGTGTGTGTGTGTAGATTCAATTTGACAAGCAGTGCAACATTGTCGGCGCCAAAATTCGTACCTATCTCTTGGAACGATCACGCTTGATTTTCCAGCCTGAGACAGAACGCAACTATCACATCTTTTATCAATTGTGTTCTGGTGCATCCGCTGAGGAACGAGAAAAGCTTGGATTGGCTGAATGGTCCACTTTCCATTATCTCAATCAAAGTGGGACTGGCGAAATCAATGGTGTGGACGACACTGAAGAATTCAATATCACTCGCAAATCGCTATCCATGATCGGTGTCAGTGATGATACTCAACAACAAATCTTCCGCCTTTTGGCTGCATTGTTGCATCTCGGCAATATTGAAATTGGTGGACGTGGTGATGCCATGGTCTCCGATAGTGATGCTGCTATGAAATTGACAACACAACTCCTGGGTATCAACACCAATGAATTCCGCAAATGGATTGTACGCAAGCAAATCAGCACCCGATCTGAAAAGATTATGACCAACTTGAGCCCACAACAAGCACAAGTGGTCAGAGATTCCATGGCCAAATATATTTACAGCAACTTGTTCGATTGGCTTGTCAGCATTGTGAATGAAAGTTTGGCATGTCGTGAAGACCCTGATCGTGTTGCTACGTTTATTGGTGTCTTGGATATTTACGGCTTTGAGCACTTTAAGAAGAACTCGTTCGAGCAATTCTGTATCAACTATGCAAACGAGAAATTGCAACAACAGGTAACGAATGGAATTCGGTACAACATGAAAAGATGGCTAATGCACTGTTAATAACAGTTTAATCAACACGTCTTCAAGCTTGAGCAAGAGGTAGGATGGCAAGAGGCTGTTACAATACAATGACATCAACTCACAATGGGTATTAGGAATATGTGCGGGAGAACATTGATTGGAAGTTTATCGAGTTCAGCGACAATCAAAAGTGTATCGAGATGATTGAAGCCAAGATGGGTATCCTTTCCCTATTGGACGAGGTATGTTATTATCTATCATGATGCTCGCCTACTTATCACTGACAACATCCCAAATCAGGAATCTCGCCTTCCATCTGGTTCCGATCAAGGATTCTGTAACAAGCTTTATTCTACCTTTGGCACTCCCACCTATCAGAGCTACTTTAAGAAGCCTCGTTTCTCCAACAATGCATTCACCGTCGTCCACTACGCCCATGACGTGCAATATGAAGCAGAAGGCTTTATGGACAAGAACAAGGACACTGTGCCCGAAGAGCATCTTACTCTTTTGCAAAACTCTGAATTTGAATTCTTGGCTACCATGATTCAGCAAGCCAATACCAGTCCTAATGGAAGCCCCAGCCCAAGCAACAGCCTGGTATGTTTATTATCCTATTTCGACTTGTATGCGTTGGTATCACTCATGCTATTATTTGCTCATAGACCGACAACAGCCGTAAGGCCTCAAGCACTGCCAAGAAACCAACCTTGGGTTCAATGTTCAAGGTAAAATGGGGGGTTTGATTGAGAATGATGCATCTTTGTACACTAATTCATGTATGTGATACAGCTTTCCTTGATCAATCTTATGGATACCATTGCCCAAACCAATGTACATTATATTCGCTGTATCAAGCCTAATGAAGCCAAGGAAGCCTGGATCTTTGAGCCGAGTATGGTACTTTCTCAGCTTCGTGCCTGTGGTGTTTTGGAGACTATCAGAATCAGTTGTGCAGGTTATCCTACGCGATGGACTTTTGAAGAATTTGCTGATCGGTATGTTAAAAGAGAGAGTGGATGGATGTACCTTGTTTTAACATGTTGTTTGCAGCTACTATGCACTCGTTGACGCACAATACTGGTATCCTAAAAAGGACCGTGACACTCGCAAATTGTGCTCAGCTATTGTTGACACGCACATTAATGACCCTGACAAATATCAAGTGGGTCTCACCAAGATCTTTTTCCGTGCTGGCCAGGTAATAATACACGATGATGTTAGTGGATGTGAATACGGGATTAACAAGTGAGTTTTTGATTAGCTTGCGTATATGGAAAAGTTGCGTACGGATCGCTTGGGAGAGGTGGCAACTTATTTGCAAAAGAACATTCGCCGTTTCCTTGCCAGAAAGCGTTATCTTCGAACCATTGAGCTTATTACTCGCCTTCAGCAAATTGCTCGTACCAAGGCCGCCAAATGTGAAATGGAACGCCTCCGTCAGGAACGTGCCGCTACCATTATCCAGACCTATTGGCGTTGTTATGCTGCTCGCAAGTGGTACTTGAAACAACGTGCTACTATCATCCAGATCCAAGCAGCAGCACGTGGCCTTGTGGGTCGTAAGCATTTTGGCCAAATCCGTCAACACAATGCAGCCACTCAAATCCAAAAGATTGTTCGTGGTTGGTTTGCACGTCGACAATACCAAACCCAACGCAACCATATTGTTCGTATTCAAACATGTGTTCGCCGTCGCAATGCTCGTAAGCAACTTGTGGTGATGCGAGCTGAAGCACGTTCCGTCAGCCATTTCAAGGAAGTGTCCTATAAGCTTGAAACCAAGGTCAACGAGCTTACACAAAACTTGGCTCAACAAAAGGAGGACAAGGCACGCTTAAGAACCAAGGCAACGGAGCTTGAAACCCATGTGCGTTCATGGATTTCGAAATACGATGATTTGGATGAGAGAGCCAAGAACCTATCCAAGGTGATTGATAAGCCAGGTGCTGATAGTGATCAATGGAGTTCCTTGCACCAGCAACGTGATGCTCTCAAGAACGAGTATATGACATCCTTGAACAAGATCAAGTTGCAGGACAAGGAGATTGCTCGATTGACGGAGGAGTTGTCCCGTCAAAAGGAGGAAATTGCTCAATTGAAACAGGTTTCCACGGATACCGCACAAAAGCCCTTGGATGATACTGGCATGGCTGAACTCAAGAAGCAAATTGCATCACTCAAAACGCAACTATCACAAACCCTTGGTTCACCCCGTAAACATCAGCAACAACAACTACAACAACAACAAACCGTCACCAAAGCAACCACCAACAATACTTCACGTAATCGTCGTCGTCATAGCGCACGTCGTCTCAGTGCTACTCCTGATGCAAGTCAAGCGGCAAAGACTCCCAACGCTGATCCAAATGACCCACTGTATACCCTGCTTCAAGAAGAAGCTTTGTTGCAAGAGGATATCCTTGATGGACTTATCCGCACTTTTAAGATTCCAGAATCCACTGTGGAGCAACCATTGTCGCTCAAAGACAAGACACTTCCAGCTCGTATCCTAGGATTTTCTATTCTTCGAATGTGGAAGCGTGGCTACCTTGCTGAATCAGAACGATGGTTGTACGCTATCATGGAAACCATTGAAAGACACTGCCAGGTAAAATCATACATGGGTAAAGGAGAGGCTGTTATCGATATATTTACATTGTATTTTAGAGTTTTGCTGGTGAAGAAGCGAATGTCCCTTGTGTTTATTGGCTTATCAACACGCACGAGCTCATGTCCATCATCATGGCTGCTGAAGGTGATTTGCAACAATCGACGCAAGCTGATTCTCAACCCCGATGGCACGACCTCGAAAAAATCATTGCCACCACAAAATACGAGTTGCAGTGTGTGCAAGATTGCGTATACAATCATTGGGTGGGTGAGCTCAAGAAACAGTTACATCGTCTTGTGATTCCATCCTTGATTGAGAGCCAAACATTGCCTGGTTTTGTCACCAATAGCAGCAGCATCGCTGGTCAGCCTGCTCCTGTCACCATGGATGATCTCTTGTCGGTGCTCAACAAGGCCCATTCCATTATGCAAGCCTATGCTGTAGAACCCTTGGTAGCAGAACAAGCCATGAACGAGCTTGTAAAGTACATTGAAGTCACCGCCTTTAATGACATTGTCATGCGTCGTAACTTTAACTCTTGGAAACGAGGCAAGTATATCTCCCCCACGGCGCTTGTCATGTTCTTGTACTTATGTGTACTTTTTTTTATAGCGATGCAAATCCAGCTCAATATCAAGACATTGGAAGACTGGTGCCGTGAACATGACATGGGCGACGTTACTTTGCAACTCGAACACCTTACACAAGCAACCAAGTTGCTGCAGTTGAAGAAATCTACCGTGGAGGACCTTAAAAGGATCAATGGTGTCTGCTGGATTTTAACGCCTGCACAAGTACACAAGCTCTTGCAGAGCTACATGGCTGCTGATTACGAGGTACATAAAATGAAGCTAAGGTGGTAACAAAAATGACTCACTCACACGCTCTATGACATAGGAACCTATTGGTCAAGATGTATTGAGGACAGCCCTTTCACGCACAGGTGAAAAGAAGGATGTGCTATTGGAATCCGTGCCTTTAGACGATGCCTTGTATGAAATTCCTGCTCCTAACCCTGATGCCACTGCAGATGCCTATATCCCTGATGATGTAAGTATTAGCTACGCGTTGCGTTTGGCATTGCCATGATTTGCTCATGCTTTCTTTAATAGCTCCAACTTGCACGGCTCAAGCAACTTGTCACTACTCTTTCCAATTAAAACATAGTTTATTTCCACCATCAAAAGCAATAAAGCGTAATACCAACATCCATAGAATACAATCTCGATGATTCGTATGTTCAAAAATACAAGTTTCTTCCACATGTATGGATCCATAGGTCGATCTCATTCAATAGAGCACCATACCGAAGATTCGGAACCTTTTCCAACAACAGGGTCAATTTCCCTGATATGGAAAATAAATGCGGGCTTGTGTCACCATCCTATTTGAAGAACCCGTTGTTGTTGTATGGTATGGTTGCCATGGGAGGATATAAAGATGATGGAACTCTTTTAGCTGTACAATTGTATCCATATTGGGACTAGAAGGTCGCAAGAGCACGTTGCCATGGTGTGCAAATAGTATTGGATTGGTAAGGTGTAGCTCGTGTAGCCCATTTTTCATCATTTGTGATGGTGCTACAAACGTGCGTTTAGAAAAAATGCGAAACTAAGCGAGTGAGATGATGCGCATAAATGTGGAGCCACCGCATTACTCTGTGAAGGCAAAGTGCTCTAAATCATCACCAAAGCCAGCCAGCCACAACAATAATGATGATGATGTACTGGGAGCAAGGATTGTCGTATGTGATGCCAAGAATTTCGGGGCCATTCTTCTTTCCAACTCAATTGCTCGTGATTGTCAGCTTGCACAAATTACTCGAATAATATAACTGTAATGACTCTTTTCCCCCCTGTAAGTGACTGGGTATGTAACAGCAAGAGAGTGTTATTATGTGCAAGTACCAGAGCGCGGCAAAACGGGTGTATGTAAACGTTCTGGATGTTGGATTCACGTTGTCCAATCAGCTGAACCCACGCCACGATACAATCCCCTCTCTGCTTTCTTTGTTCAGCCAACATAGTGTTGCTTGAGAGCCATGTGGCACAAGGTTACATGCTTCTTGATCATGTAGATGCATTATGTATTCATGTGCAGAGGCATGCAAAATAAGATTTTATCACTGCCATGGGAGAGTAAGAGTGAAAAGGGGTTGGGCTTTTATTACGAGGCATATACAACAATAACGCGTACAGGCACCTATTTCTCTAATTTTAGAGTTGAAGAGACGCCACAGTGGGATGATCAACGGGAGAGAGGAAAAGTCAAAATCGCAGCACCCAATAAAAAAGGGAATAACCTTCCTTGCATATTTAAAAGTGATATGCCAAGGTCAAACGACACGCCTTTTCTTTCCGCTCCGTTTCTGTTTCCTCCTTTTTCTTTTCTTTATCTATCACATCACCATGTCTGCACCGATGCCACCAGGTTTGACAAAGAAAAAGAAAAAGAACGACGTACACAGTACCAACGATATGGAATTTTGGAATGACAGGATGGGAAGCTCGTCAAGCTCCTGACGGCCGATGGTAAGTTTACACATATTGGATGGGGAATACAAGATAGCTAATATAAATGTGTTTCAGGTACTACATTGACCACAACAACCGTACCACTTCTTGGGAAGATCCTCGTACCAAGTATAATCAGCAACCACCACCTCCTCCTGCTTATGGTCAACCTCCTCAACAACAAGGCTATCCACCTCAACAAGGCTACCCACCACAACAACCTGGTGGCTATCCACCACAACAGCAGCAAGGTTATCCTCCACAGCAACAAGGTTATCCTCCTCAGCAACGAGGCTATCCCCCTCCTCCTCAGCAACAAGGTTACCCACCCCAAGGCTATCCTCCTCCTCAACAACAAGGTTATCCACCTCAACAAGGCTATCCACCACAACAACCTGGTGGCTATCCACAACAAGGCGGTTATCCACCCCCTCCTCCACAAGGTTCTTATCCTGGTGGTCAACAACAACAACAACAAAAGAAACAAGGTGGCATGTCCACTGGCATGAAGGTAGCTGCAGGTGCTGCTGTTGCTGGTTTAGCCGGTTATGGTATTGCCGAATTTGTTGAGCATGAACATGAACAAAGTGAACGTCTTGATGATCTTGAGCGTGAAAATCAAGCGTTGCAACGACAACAGGATGAGATGGAACGTGAACGTAAGTACAAACATATATATAAAAGATGTTGGGAAAGAGGTTGATGATGTTTTATATGTAGAACAACAACAAGAGTATTATCAACAGCCACCCCCACCACCTCCACCTGCCGAGTCTTATCCACCTGCAGGTGAAGACTATGGTGCTCCACCACCCCCACCACCAAGTGAATACCCTCCTCCTCCCGAAGAACAGGGACCCACTACCACGATTATCAATGAAGATGGTGGTTGGTTTGGTGATGATAAGCAAACCATTATCACACAAAGTATGTTGTTTCATAGGCTTTATGTATGCGTGTGTGTGCGTGTTGATTTATATTTAAACTTCTTGTAGACCCCGATGGTGAAACGACCGTTGTTGAACGTGAAGAGGGCTGGTTTGGTGACGATGTCACTGTCACCCAAACCGATGAATATGGCAACACCACAGTGGTAGGTACAAATTATGGGGGAAACGGGACTCATGAACTCAACATGTGTATGTATGTATGTAGGAGGAAGAAGACTCGGGTTGGTTCTAAGGATCTTCATGTTGACATTTACTACAATAATAAAGACGCGCATACATACATTCACACTCTGCATGTGGTTTTTTTAAGGTTTCCGACATACATGAAACCGACAGTGCGGCTCATTCGGGTCACACACACACACACACAATATTGTTGTTGTCATGGATACAAGAAAGTTGTAACATCATTGTTTGCATTAAATTGGTTGGTTGATTGGTTGGGGGAATATATAATATATGCGTGTTGATGATGTTGTAGAGAAATCAACAGGATATGTAAGGAGCAAAAAAAAAGGTCTACAATATGGGGTTGCCAGACTAGTATTAGGGTGTACGGGTATCAAATGTTACAAAATAAAGGTAAGGTAAGCTGAATCATTGCCGAGTATCCATCTTGGATTCAAGCCGATCCAATCGATTGACCAGATCAGAGAGCAAATGTTTGAGATCGCCTTGTTGTTGAGAGGGTGGTGTTGTGGGTGGTGAATAGTGTCGACGTGTTGCTGTCATGCGTTGTTCCAATCGTTCGATGCGGTTCACATAATCTTGCAATTGTTGATGTACTGATTCACGGACGTATTTACGTGTTAAATTCTCGACCATGGTGCTGGATGATTGCAAAGTATGGATCAATGTCGATGAATGTCTGATTTGGTCATCCAAAGTAGCTTTCAACGATTTGGTTTGTTCGATATTGTCGTACAACATTTCAAAAGGCTGCAGGAATTGTTGTTTACGCGAAAGTGGTTGTGATGCCATAGGAGCAGCAGGAACAGCAGGTGTCTTTGGCACCAAGGTGGCTGTTTTCAATCCAGAGGTCGTAGGTGGTGCATAACGTTGTTGTGAAGGCACAATAGGTGGACTAGGAAATTCTGTTTGTGGTCGTGCTGTTGCTGCTGCTGCCAACGTGTTGGAAGTTGTCGTCTTGTGCTTGGACCATGGTGCTGCCGTTGCTGGAGGTGCTCGTTTGATCACCTTGTTCAATCGCTGTTGCTTGGCTGATTGCAATGGGTTGACAGGATTCTGTTTATGGCCACGAGGATGTAAAGGAGCCGAATGAATACTCGCTGGATCGCCTGCACCATAAGCAGGTGTCAAGATGGTAAGGTTGGATGGTGCCTTGTTATGGTGGTGATGAGCTGATCGCTTAAGCAGCAATGAAGACGGCTTGGGTAAAGGCAAATGCTGTTGTTGACGTTCATGACTGGTGGTGGTGACCTTGCTTGCATCCTTGTGAGGCATGAAGGACAATCGACGACTGTATAAAAGTATGCGTGTAAGAGAACAAGATCATTTAATCACTTTTTCCCCCCTCTCTCATTCCTTTATATATAGAACACCACCCACCCATATATAAATATATATACCCCTTTGTAATCCTTCCCCTTCCTCCTTTTGTAACCTCCTTCATAGTAAATGTATATAAAAAAATAACTTACCCAGAAGAAGCAGCTACATCATCGCGACATGGATCAAAGCGAGTGCTGGTGTTTGAAGGTGTATCTGGATGTTGCTGTTCAGAAGGAGGCGATAATCGAATCATGGGTGAACAAGCTGTTGTTGTTGTATTGCCATGGACTCGAAACCGAGCAGCACCATCAAGAAGACGCGTTGGAACGAGTTCTTGGTCGACAGCCGTGATAGAGATGGGTCTTAAATCTACCACCCGCCTTAGGAGGTGATCCGCGTTTCCATGGCAAATATCAGATTCAGTCATGGTGCATAAATCAACAAGCGTATCCATGGATAATTGATTGGCAATATGAGCCACGGCACGAGTCGTGATGAATGGCTTTCCGGTAGTTTGGTCGGCACAAAACCATGATGGATGTTCATAATAGGCTTTACTCAAAGCATGTTTGGCATCATCGTGGTTGTCGTTAAAGAATAATGCTTCCAAATCATCCAAACATAAAAAGCAACAATCCATGTCCTTATTGCCTTGAGTCATCATCATGGCGGGTAATTGATGCTGCTTGTCATTGCTGATCTGCCGCGAAGGTGATAAAAGAGGTGGTGTCAAAGGTGTCGGAAACAGATACAGACAAAAACGAGTAGGCGGCGAGCCGTATTCTCCCAATGCAAGTGTACGAATCTTCATGTTTGTGGAAAAGAGTGTGCAAGAAAAAGTGTGTGAGAGAGAAAGAGAGAGAGAGGAAGAAAAAAAAAGGAAAATGACAAACGAGTAACAAGAAATATGAGAGCGAGGATAAAAAAAGATGAGAGGATGAATGTGTGTGGTGGACCTACAGCTCAAAAAGGGGAAAATCGATCGACAGTTTATTGCGTGCATTATTACAGATGATTGCTGCCAACGTGGACCCTCTCCCCAAGTAGTACTGTCGGGATCACACAAGAGCCAATAAGCATAGTCAACCTAATTAACCCACGGTTTTTCGCCTCCCGGGATTTGTTGCCGAGACCGCCCTTATGATGTTTGCTGATGCCGCTAATGCGTAAACACGCATTCCACCTTGTTTTTCTTTGTGCGATTGAGTACCACCAGGGTACATGTACGAAAGGGGGGGGAGGAAGAAGAATCAAAGCTTAATTACTTGTCTTAATCAACTCTTCAAACATTTGTCTCAATTGGTGTTACACTGCACAACAACAACAACAACAAAAAAAGACTTTTTGTAAATATGCCAAGAAGAACGACAGGTAGAGAGAGAGAGAATAGCAAGCATCCTTTATCTCATATTATGCTACAAAACATGTGGGTACCCGCTCTGTTGCCATGGGATTTGTTTGTTGTGGGATCGTCGTCTAAACTCTTTATATCCTCCTTCACATGACTGAGATGCCTCGATTGGGAAGGCTAGAATAAAGTAGCATATCGCACACACGCTGTCGTGAATGTCACACAAGAAATCATTCATCGCGTTTGCTCATTGTCTGTCGCCAGAAAAAGACGATGACTGTACATTTCCCCCAACTTGAGAACGTTCTTTAATTGAACATGGATCCCCTCTTTGCACGCTAGAATGTTCAACGTTTGACATAGCCACCATTTCTATTTGCGCGTGTTTGCTATTGTCAAAGAAAATCACTTTTTTTTGGGGGTGGAATGCTACATACGCTTACCATCAGCTTGGGTTGCGTGCGTGTATGTGTGTGATCCCACCGCAATGGGGATATGCATATTGTTGACACGTGGGAATTAATCCATGCTTACATTTTAGTACCTTCATCATGATCTATTTGTATTATGAAGGATGCAATTTGCACATCAAACAAGAGGACCAACATCTTCGTTAATAGCAATGCCTAATTATTTGCTCGCATATATGAGTGTGTATGCGTGTGTGTGTGTGCCCTTTAACAATCCAGAGTGGCGTGTTATAGTAGTACTACGTGATGTTGGTGGTGGTACATCAGGGGGATGGAAGGTTTATTATCAGGGCAACAAGAACAAACTTTCTAATCGATTACGTTGCAGATTCCCTGATAGTGTCATATACCGACATTCATTATTACATCGCTATTACCCGTCATTATCAATTGTCATATGTGTCATTATCGTCATGATATGAATGTGGCGGAATACGTATGTAAACAAGTTAAATTCCAACGCGATGGCAAATTGGATCGGTTCGCCGCCCGTCCCTGGATGGATTGTTACACGAGTGCTATGACATCCACTTATTAAATTACCTTTCTATTCCCCCCCCTCTTTTTTCGTTCGTTCAACGACACACACACATACACAATCCCCATGGCCCGCCCCCACCACCATTTTGTAATCCAATGAGAAAGATTTTCATTCCAACGCAAAATCATTCCCTTTTAATTCATTCCCCCCCACCCACGTGCTTTTGAAAAAGATGATGCAAAACGAGTAGAAAAAACTTTATGAATGGGTTCGATGGGGTAATACATTTCTTGAAAAGGAGAAGAGAGGTAAAAGAAGGGATTAATCGGTCCCGATACGATTCAACATGGAGCAATAATCACGAACACAAAGCATGTCTGAGACGATATGGTAAGGTACGCCTAAACTTGCAGCACTAGTAGGATCCCAAATGTGAGATGATGAAGGATGATAAGGATGATGATTTACCTTGAATTGGGTGGAGCTGCTCGAATCAACATGTTGCGATCAAATGAATAAAGTGTCTCGTCATTGCCTAAACACGCATGATGGTGATGATGAAGATCCGTTCTAGTCAGACTATACCCTTTTTGATCATGCTCCTTCTCTCATACCTGATCTAAATTCACCATGCAAGGAAATCTGAAGAAGATTCGCCTGCTCTGTTGCTTGTTGGAAAGCGTCCAATACAAAATCCTCTGACCGAGATAAATCATGCATCGTGCTTGGTAACCGTTGCAGGGCTGATACAATGGCATCGGGACCAATCGATAGGTATTTGCCCATTTTTTCTATTAACCCATTAATATCCGATCCATATTGAGCCAATGTGTCACACACACACACACACACTTACTTTGACTCTTGCCCTTTTTTAAGTTTCGGCTGAGATCCGACCATGTTGCTGTAGCTTCGTCCTCGTCCATCATGCGTTGTTTACGTCGACCGCGTACCTTTGTGTTGGCTGACTTTTTCTGTAACGTAAGCAGGGCACATACAGAGAATGTCGCTGATTCATCATACACAGCTCGTAATGATGGGCGATTGGTGTCAAATAAATGGAAGAACCTATATACCAACGTCATCAGTGTCCATCAAAGCAATGTGCATGCGAAGGAAATACATACTTTGTAAGAAAATCAAAGGCCGCCGTTTGGCTATGCTCATTGTCAAAAAAGGTCCACTTTGTAAGAACCGGCATCTTTTGCTTCTTCAACAAGGCTTGTTCTTCTTGAGCAGCCATATCAACAGGCTTGCCATCCAACATAGCAATGGCTGGGAATCGCTTCAATACATTTCTAAAAAGGAGCTTGTCAATACCATCGCTTGTCAATACCATCCCTCATTTCCACCTATGCCATTGCATCTACTTACTTGATATAGCCACGTTCTTGACCTTGTTTCAATTCCTTTTCACAAACAGGGTTGCCCTGAAGCACCAATTCTCGCAAATGCTTAAACTTCCCAGGACCTGAAATGGCATCCAGTGCTGCAAGGGACGTGATACGGTTCTCTTCAAGTGACAAGTTTTGAATGTGCGGCAGGAATTGCGTCATTGTTGAGATGGATTGAAGGTTCTTGAGCGTGTTGCGTGCAAAGGTAATCGACACGGTCTACAATGATGATGTGAGCACCATGGATCCATCCCACTCATACCAACACCTACGTACATTGGGAAACATTTCACCAGCAAGTTTCATCGTGGCAGGTCCAACAAACTCGTTTGCTCTCGAGTCACCAGGGGGTCGAATAGCGTGGTTCTTGAGAATAGGATCGGCACCCATATTTTCCAAATTCAACAACTGCTTTTCACCATCCCACCTCGATCGTAGAAATTCGCGAATGTAATCCATGGTGGTGCTCTTTTGGACTGTGGGAGGAACCACGGTGCTGCTGCCATTCGAGTAGTACCATGAAATATTCAACTAGGAGAACGGGTAAGAAAACCCATTGTACACTTTGATCCATTTTGTTGACAACCTACCGGTCCATTTCCAAATACATAGCCATTCAATCGGGAAATAGCATTCGCAATAGCCACACCATCCACGGTCAATAGCATTTGTCCTTGATCCAATTTCACCTAGATAGCGTTGGCATGAATACCACGTGACACACTGACAACATTTTCACTTACACCCACAGGTTCCCACGTCTTTTTTGATTTTTGTTGAAGAAAGGCAATGACATTGGGTTCACTTCCTGGAATATAGCCTGAGATCTATTCACCAGAGAGAGAGAGAGAGAAAGCGGGTGGTGAATGTCACGTGACACCAAATTCATGCAGCCCATCCAACCCATTGTATATGTATACGTACCAAAATATCCACTCTTTCCTTGGGCTCAGCACTAACGGCTGCTTGTTTCTGGAAGCGTGCACGTGCTTGAGAATTGTAGGGTGAACTAAAAGGGTGCATGTATATAAGTCATGGATATCCATAGGATTTTGACATGATGAACTTACAATCGTTTGCGACTCTTTTTTTTCTTTCCCATGCCACCCATGGTGATATCTTCGCTGTCAAATGCATCGGCAGGTTCTGCACTGGGCGTGACGGTAACCACTTTACCAGGTCGTTGGGCAAGAGCAATCAATGATTGGTTGCGACGTCGTTCACCTTTCATGGTTGATTTCTTCATGGCACCACCACCAGCACGTTGTTGTAGCTTTGTTGCTTTGTTGTTGTCAGCTGCTTTGTCGTTCTTTTGAGTCGAGATCGGTTTGAGGATCGAGGTTGATCCGGAAGGAGGTGGGGGGAGGACACCACCAAACATGCCGAGTAATCCCTTTGGAGCATTGTTCGCTGTCGCATTGGCTGTTGTTGTTGACGCAGTTGTGGTCTGATCGGTGGTGTTCGCCATGGCAATGAATCAACGAGACAAGAGAGAGAGAGAGTAGTTGAGCCCGAACTTTTTTTTTTCCCTCTGGTAACTTGCATATACACCCGCCCAGCCGCCACCACCACTCACTCAGCCAGCCCGGTAGCCGTCCACGCGATAAGGTTTCTTCTCTTTCCCGCAAATACGACAAAACCATGGTGTGGGGTGGCAACGACAATGCGGTCCAGAAATGGATCAAGCAACTTCAAGACAACGACCCTTCATTGAAAACACTGCACATTATGAGCATGCGACGTCTTTCGCAATCGGATTTCCAGTCGATCTTTGGAGCACTTGCGCACAACACGACACTGAAAGAGTTGTATTGCTCAGGACATGCTTTGGATATCGAGACAATGGAACAGCTGAGCGAGGCGCTTACACTGAATGATACATTGGAAAGTCTCAACATTGGAACACCAAGTTTGGGCGAGAACAAGCAACTTTTATCCATCTTTTGTGAAGGATTGGCTGTGAATGAAGGACTACAACATCTTGATTTGGAAAACAAGGGACTCGACAACGATGCTATTGCTTTGCTTGCCGACAGCCTCGTCAAGAATGAAACATTACGCTCACTCAACCTTGCACGCAACAACATGACGGATGAGATCATTGAAAAGTTGAATGAAGGTCTACGTGGATTGGAGCGATTGAACCTTGCTGATAACGCTATTGGTGCTCAAGGAGCTCGAGCCTTACAGTTGCATCAATTGCAGGAACTTGACTTTTCGAATAATCCATTGATGGAAGGTGCCAGTGATCTTGCCGCCAAACTTGAAGACAACCATCATCTCACATCTCTCAAATTGGTCAACATCACAACAACGACACAGGACGAACCACAGGAAGATGATACAACAACACCCGCTTGTTCTGAACACGGCAATGCATTGATCCATCAATTGGCAACAGCAATGAAATCCAATCGTACGCTTACACACTTGTGGGTCGACCAGAATGGTATCGAATCATCAGCCGTCGAATGGAAGGATTTGTGCAAGGGCAATTTGATTGAATTGAGAATGCGTGATAATAAGATCGATGATCAAGGTGCAGCCTCCTTGGCCGAGGGTATCATGCAAGACAACAACAACAAGTGCACATTGGAGCATCTTGACTTGGGATCCAATACCATTGGTTATGAAGGTTTTGGTGCTCTGCTCAATACATCCATTCGACACTTGGGATTATTCAACAACAACGTGAATGGTTTCCCAGAGTCGTTGCCAGGTTTGGAAGAGAGCGGTGTTGAGGCTTTGGATATCGGATGCAACAATATCTCGATCACGGATCTGGAAGGCATTGTAGCGGTACTTGCACAACAAGGAGTGCCTCGTTTACGACTCTTGGAAATGGGAGGCAATGCAAAAGAACAAGACATGGAGGCTTGGGAATCGGCTATTGCCAAGTTGCAGGAAGCACGCGCTGAAATTCAAGTCGCATGGAAACGATTCATGGAACAACAACAATAATAATCTCCATTTCCCCCCCCCCTCAATTTGCTCTTATCACACACATATTGCATCCTCTATCTCTTTGTATCACATCACATCACCACTTTGCATTTGTTTGTTATTCAAAAAAAGATAAGCATTTTTCAATCTCACCTATGAATGAACGTGAATGATAAGACTGCTGCTTCTTCGTGTTACATTACAAAGTGATAGGGTCAAGTCCTATCGTGTGTATGCGTGTGTCAAGGTTGCGTCATATGATGACTACACACTGATCTGGCATCATTTGACCATCTTTGAACATTTTACACAGCGTGGGCATGGTGACACATGGGCTTCGGAACGGGGATATGTATGGACGCGTCTATAAAAGGATGAACGACGCGACACACTTTACTTTTTTTCACCTTTCTATCCCGCTCCTTTCGGATCAATCTTTTCCAGAATGATCAATTTACGAGCCATTGCAACTTGGCCTCAGCGTGCTGGTCAACGTCTTGTCACCAACTTTAATCTTCACGAGGTGAATAGCGCAGTCACTCATACTATCAACATGGGGGTGGTGGTTGATTAACGCATTGATGGTGATGGTGATGCATGATGATACATAGATTTCTGGAAGTCTTGGTGATCTGGGTACTTTACTTCCGATCATGGTGTCCTTGGCTGTTGCAGGTCAAATCAATTTGACGAGCACATTATGGTTTGGTGGTATATGGAACATCTTGTCGGGTGTCATGTTCCAGGTACCCATGTGTGTGCAGCCAATGAAAGGTACAACAACATGAATGAATGGGAACATAGGTGTACGTGTGACACGATGTATTGACGGGTAGCCGAATAGCCATTGCATCCACGGTACTGTCAAGTTCGATGACCATTGAAGAAAACATGTCTGCAGGCTTAGGTATGTTGCCGTGGGAAAAGTCAAAAGGTCTCGATCCATAACGTTGTTGTTAAAAAATCATCATTAGGATGTGCTGCCATTGTATTCTTTTTAGGCGCTACGCGCACCATCCATATTGTGGGTTCGTATACCCCGGTTGCTGTTGTTCGAGGTGAATACACAATAATGCCATTCCTCCCTCCCATCCTACAAGATACTAAACCATGTCAACAGGAATTCAATTGGGTGCTGCTGCTTCATTGATCAAAAAGGCTCATGATTTGATCAAGGATTTGGAATGGACCATCACGGCAAGCAATTGGTCGGATAACTATACTTGGGTGTTGCTATCCTTTATCTTTGTCATGATCTGCTATCGTACACGTATACCCAGTGCATTGATTTTGTTTTTGATTGGGTTGATCTTTGCGCTTGTAAGGATGTTTGTTACAGATCGCGACTTACCCCTAGATCGTCCTGTGGCAGCAGGCCATTATCCCGATACAATTATTCGCCCTACTCCTGAAGAATTTCGTACAGGCTTTGCCAATGCTGGTTTAGGTCAAATCCCACTCACTGCTCTCAATTCGGTCATTGCCCTCAGTGCTTTGATTGATGACTTGTTCCCCGATCGCCATGCTGATACAGCTACTATTTCCATGAGTGTGGGTGCAATGAACCTTATTGGTTGTTGGTTTGGCAGTATGCCCTTTTGGTAAAATTTTCTTGATTGTGTATATATGGATGATGGTTCTAATTTATGCAAAAAGTCATGGCTCAGGCGGACTTGCAGGACAATACCGATTTGGCGCACGATCAGAAGTATCGGTGGTGATTCTTGGTCTCTTTAAATTGTTCCTTGGCATTTTATTCGGAAGCTCGCTCGTGGGATTGTTACAAGTGTTTCCAAACTCGATCCTGGCAGTCCTCTTGTTTATCTCAGGGGTCGAGTTAGGATCAGCTGCGCGTGCCGTCAACAATGGCGTCACTGAAGAATGGAAACAGCGTGAGAATTGGACCATCATGCTTATCACCATGGGTGCCATTATCGCTTTTTCCAATGATGGTATTGGTTTCTTAACGGGGCTTGTTACTGCCGTTTTACTCGCTATGCAACGTCTTGGACCCATTCAATGGTGCCGTTGTGTCATTGACGGGATTAAAATGTTGCCTTACAACTGGAAACATCAAGACGCCTTCGTGTATCGCAAAGCAAGCAGCGATGTTAAACCTATCATGGATGCTGATGACACACGTCGTGATGGATTACCCAAACCAGTGACTACCCCTTCATCTTCGAGTGCATCGGATACTCCTGTTGCTACCCATCCACAGCCTTCATCGACGACCCAATAGTCATAGTCATCATTTTGTACACTTGTATACATATCCTTACATTACTTTTATGTATTTACTTCTATTGTTCACATCCCCCTCTTTCTATAAAGCAAACGAGAAAATGGCTTCCATCTCTTCAATGGTCCTTGGTAATATGCGATCAGGATGCTCGTATTCGTTGGTAGGATCTTCAACAGCTGTATGAATGCGCTTGTAGGCTTCGAATAATAGGCGGATGGCATTATCCTGCACCTTGTGATATTGTTGTGAACTCGTCAAACGGCGTAGCTCAGGTGATGCACCAGCACTGATGGTGATCAAAAACGAGTCAAATCGTGCTAATGCTGAGGAAAGCGATTCGGTATCCATATGTTGTACTTTTGATAATGGCATCTATGTATCTCACAATGAGTCTCTGCCAACCTTCACATCATCCTTTGGCATGCATACCTTGGGATCATGATCCACAACAGCCTTGTTGATGTCAAAGAGGCCGGATTGTTTAAGCAAATCTTCATACTAAAGTAGAAAAAGTTAACCTGTGAGAAATCAAACCCTGTATATGCGTGTTGTTGCACAATGTTACCTGATCGGTTGCTAGGTCTTGTAATAGTTGATCCATTCTCTCATGTAAAATCTCATGCTTTTTGCTTGTGAATGGGAATGGTGCCAAGGCAGCCTACGGGGTCATGTTAGCTCATAATGCCTTCCATTTTCCTCACACAAGTACACGTTTACATACCTCGATATGATGTATACAATTGACTAGGTATATGTCACGGTCCACTTTTCCAAACTTGCCCACTGATAATTCACACATTTGTAATAGGGGATCCACAATAGCATCGAGTGTTTCTCCAAAGTCGACTTCAGGTAATCCTTCTGCAGACCCAGACGTTGCCACCAGGGAAGAATCATACGATGAAATGATCTCTTTCTTTAAAAGGGGATGAATACAGTGCCGTAATTCCACTACAATCATGCAATACTTACCAATTGTAATGTCATATCTCTTACGACAGGCGATATCGTCAATTCACGAGAAGGAGGCTATATGGATGTATCATGAGCATCATCGTGCATTATCAACAATAGGTATAAACTCACATCAGCAGATTGCAAAAGTCGTTCGGCTTGACCATTGATTGTGCGGAAAAAGTACTTGTATGCCATATCGGTAACACTAAAGATCTTGGAATCAGCTCCTTGCTTTTCTCATTCATTGTGGGATCTTTGACGCGCTTACTCGCATAACACCTTTGATAATGCGGCATTCTTTCGTAGTAACTTGCTGATGGTGACCGCGTAAAACTGGATCAGGTTGGCTACCCGGTATGATGTAATGGCTCCTGGTTGTAACACCAATACTTGTTCCATGCGTGTCTTGAGCATTATCAGCATCTTCCATGTAAATGGCGCTACATCCCACATATACATACCTTGAGAGGCCTACATGTTCCTTCCATTGCATAATCCATCAAGTCGTTGATAGCGTCATCAATATGAATAATGGATTGTGATTGATCTTCGGTGCTCTCATCCTCTGGCTCTATGAATGTCACACACACACATGATGGTTACACACCACACAATGCATCTAACACGCATCTTTGGACTTACCTTGGTTACGCGACGTGGCTGATTTCTGGAATAAGCTTTCAAGCATCTCCTTTTCACTGGCACAGGCTTGATGGATCCATGCCAACATGTCACCAATATATCGTAAAGAATCATGGGCTTGTAATTCAATGGGTCGTGGAGTACCTCCTGGGCCACCTCTTGTTAAAGCGTTCATGAATGCACGTGCCACAGCCTCTCTTCGAGCCACTGCCAATTCATCCAAAATGGTTCTGTACCATTGTTAGAACCCAAAGATGTCATGATCCATCCATCCATCGTTTACTTACTGGAAAAGAACAGGCCGATATCGAAGCGCGTGTAATGCCTTTGTCATCAGCATGCTTACATCAATGCTATCGCCTCCAAAGGATGATCGACTCTCGTATTGTGTCCACCGATAGAGTTTCTCATAGGCCGTTTCTTGGTGCATTGACATTGACTCCATGATCTGCATACTAATAATTCTGATCAATTCCAATCCTTTCTCCTTCATAGTGAATCCACCCTTACCCAGCCTGCTGGTTCTTGGTCATTAAAAGCACGCGACAATCCCGATGGATTTGTTTGAGATGTTCAAGGGCTGCAAAGAATTCATCGTCAATAGGTAAAGATGATAAACTGAGGACTTGGACCTCCCGTTCAGAAAGTGTAAACGTCTTCAAAAACTGATCGGCCACGAGGATTTGTGTATCACACGCCGAGCTAAAAAGGTTGTGTCAGGAACAAGGATTGTCAATGCATTCATTTGCATTTACCTGCGATCTTGTAAATTATGCGCCTGTTCAATCATCTCGGCTGTTTGATCGCGTGCTTGATCCAACTTGCCCTTCATATTGTTGCAGACGTTGCCCATGGTATCCACTTCAGTCTCCAATACTTCTAATTGCTTCCTGACACGCGTGAGATAGACATCCTTGTAAATCATCCCTTTGTATACATACCTCCACAAGTCGTCCCAATCCTTCAATAAACTTTTTGTTGACTTGAATTTCCTTCTTTTCAATCGTGCCACGAAGGTTGCGTCGTAAATCGGTCTCATCCAGATCAGCAATAGCCGAGAGCGATGTCAATGCTGTCTTGACTTTGTCATCCGATGCTGAAGACCCCAACACCTTATTCAGCTTGGAAGCAAGTAGTTTGTTGGGCTTGTTGGATATGGAAAGCTGCTGTTGACCGTCAACTGCCAATGTCGTTTCGAGGTCGGTCATGGTGGTGTAGATGCAGGAAAGAGTTGAGTTTGCCCACCACCCACTATTCACCGCTCATGGAATCCCAATCCAAAGAATCAATCACGTGACGTATTTAAACAAGCCGTCGTGAGACGTGGACTATTTCCTTATGATCCTTGTTATTCGTTGCTTCGCAACCAGCTCCCATTATTAGTGTACTAAGATGTTGTTGGTTCGAGACGCCAATAAATTCTCAATGCACACTTCTCTTAGCCCACAGGTAGATAAAAAGAAAGAATTCATGCATGCATGAGGGTCGAGTTTGTGCTTGGTGAGAGCCGCTAGCGATATATCAATAAAATGCCTGTTTTATTTTGACATGACGGCTATTGAAACGAGTACAATATGCAGATGGTAGATCTCATCCTCAGCTAAACAACATGCACTATGTAGTCGTTATCGCAGCAGATGTATGCACATCATAATAGAGGATACTGTAGAAGCAAGTAACAGCCAACCGTTTTTATGGTGGTTATGATAAACGAGAATTGACATTAATCGAGACTAGTGTCAAAGAAGAGAAATGATCGCGTCACATCAATGATTGTGATAAGAACACTGGAATTGCCATGCATGAAATGGTAGCGTGGATGATGGAAACATCGTTTCGCCTGATCTAAAAGAAGCATACAAAAACGATAAGCAATATTACGCCACATGACTGAGAAGCTTGACATCACCTCCTCATACATACCATGTACATTAAAGAATACCTTCAACTTTGTAAATGCATTTGTCAATGTAGTATGTGGATTCAATCCATGTCAAAAAATAGTTGCTCAATACGATCAGGGTGTTCAGCTGCATCAGATCATAGTGAAAACTACTTTTACGGCTGCATGTGTTTTCGCCAGCTTCCCCTCTCTGGAGGTGTTTTGCATATCGACATGATCGATGGCCCTGCATGTTCCTTGAAGGACTGCTTTTTTGAAACGAAAGCAGCATACTGCATAATGCTGATCCTTACATTGACAGCATCTAAAAAGATCAGATTACCGGAAGCAGGTAGAAAATTTATATAAACAGATCCACGTTCATGTTCATCCCTATACAACAACAACAACACCCTCGCTCTACTTTCAATGAAGTTCACTGCCTTAGCCCTTGCCATTGCCGCCATTTTCGCCACAGCAAATGCGTACGCGTGTCATGCCGAGGAGTAACGCCTACCAGCGATGAATCGCGCTGCTGGACTCGATCCATTGAATAATGTTGCTATCACAGAGGCTGTACTCTTCGTAAGTTGCATACATAATGATCAGTTGTTTTTGCTTTCATTGTATCTGATTTTTTCGAGAAACAGAACCCACCGGTAACCCGCCAGATCAACCACAGGATGCATGTGGTTATATTTAAAAGGCACGAATAGCAAGGCTTTGTTACGGACACTGATGAAGAACCTACATTATTACTAAGCCTACATACGCATCAAGATCCCAGCCATATATAACTCACGAAGCATAAGCAAATTTACGCCGAACAGATATAAAAAATGCATTTCGTGCTCCAAAATATTAAGTAGAAGGGTAGAGTCCTGTGGTGCTAGCTTTTCTCGTGAACTTGTGATTTCCCATTTCAATGGATGCATACTACCTATGGTTGGTACATGATCATCTTACAACGTCGTGCAATCACACTACAACCTCGTACATAGGGTGTTCGTCTCTATATGGTACTAGTCAATGATGTTAAACTATTATACATGAATGGCCATCCATTGCTTTCATGAATTGACACGGTGGTTCTTATGTATGTTTATGACCATATTAGGTGCTGCAGTGGTACTAACACACGCGCCGCTTGTGCACAGACGCGTATTCCCCGCATCGGCATTAAGGGGATGCTTTGTGTCAATGTGGATGTTTCACTACTAGCGTCACTTGCAAGATTGTTGTCATAAACCTTTTTATTTTTCAACACCATAGAAGAATAGACTCACTCGTACACAGATACAGCACTCAATAATACAACTAACTCAATACGCCAAACGTCAAACGCCGTCTATGGCACGCGCCAGAGGCAGAAAAATTTCAAGCCCAGCACGTCAATACTATAAAACAGGCTGCGCAACAATGAGCGCCTCTTTACTCACTCTTTCTTTCTCTTTTCGGTACAGCATGTGCCCGGTGCGAATAAAAGAATAGGCAGCAAGTCCAAGGACGGCGAGGTACTTTTTTTTCATTGGAGTGAGTAGGGGTACTCTTTTGGTGAATGTCTGCTTTGGGAGTTCCACAGCTTCACTGGTTCTTCATATCCTGGCAACCCTGGGGTTTCCTCAGCCTCGCTGTTCACGACGACAAGGCAACCAAGTCATGAGGATAAATGGTAATACACGTTCGCGTTGAGTGCCTGAAAGAACCTAAGGAACGACAAGTGTTGCGATAGTGCGAAATCACATACAACTACGCGGTGTGGTTTGCCATACAATGGGATGGGGGTGATCCTGTAGGTTGTCGTAATGCAGCAAGTTCCATGGAGTCCCTGTTCTGAATGGCCGTGATCCTTCCTTGGCGATGTCTTGTTGGCGATCTTATGTGGCGATTCTGTTCCTTGTGGTCTCCGATGGCGATGCTCTCCATTGTGTGGTGTCCCTTCTGTGTTGGGCGTTACCTGGCAACTCCCCTCCCCCTCTTGGCTTTACCATGGAAACCAACTTGGTTGATAGGCGACGCATTGACATACAAAGCTTTTTTCTTTTACCAATACACTTTTATTTATATATGATGATACACATTGTATGTTTGGCTATAACTTATGTGGATGATAAGCAACTTGTTTGCTTTACAATGAAGTTCGTAGCATGTAAAGATCAATGAGAAGTTTATTGTATAATGAGATAATGTTGATTGCTACTCCTGGACAATGAGCCAGGATAACAATGGACGCCAGCACGTAAAGCATGTGTTCTTCAAGCCCACTGCAATATCCAAATCATCTACAACGACACAAATGGACGGGGTCGTGCATGCTTCCTTCTAGGTTGTTAACAACAAGATATGAGGTTCATCCTGCATCATAAGAGGGAGGTAAATCATGCTTGTCTGAGTATGTCATTGCCACCAGCGATGTTGTTTAATACTTGTTTTTTGTTAAATGGAGCATAAAATATAAGATGTGTTGGGGCAAACTGATATTAATGTAAACAGATGGAGATAGGATGGATGCTAAGGGGACAAGGAACAAAGAGATCCAGACTTTAGTTTTCATGGATTTTGTACGCCTCTTGAGCTTGTAAGTACATGATGACATATATGATAACGGAGAAAGGTAGGAGGGAGGAGCATCACTGGATCGGTCACATGCACGCCTTTTTGCTCTGCTTGCTGTTTTCAATACGATGTTCTAGAAGATACCGGGGAAAGTTAGTACATGCGATCTTCTAGTTTCCTTTGCTCCCTTTAATCGATCATGAAGGACACTTACTTTCAACTGGATTAAATTTCTTATTATAGGGGCAGTAATACGAGTTCTTGTATGTTGGTGAAAATCGGTACTGATGACAACTGCACAAGCTGGTAGATTTGTGGATGATGTAACGTCATCTTCTTAGTTGACATGTTGGAGCCTTCCACCAAGATCCCTCCGACTACGGGAGATTATACACCATAGGAGATCAAGTCGTCAAGCATGATTTGCATCTCCCGTCCTAGTTTGACCAAATCTGATTCCCCATCATTGGATGACTTTGCACGTCCAGATGGCTTGATCTCGGCGACGCCCACATTGAATTTCTTGTTTGCGTGACGAACACAAGGAAATCAGGCTTCAAGGTGGCCTCCTTCCGCTTCCTCTTGGTTCCTATGTAGCCTTCCATTAGCCCTAAATTTTCATGCACTCGATTAATGCTAATCCCACTATAATCACCGGCATGTTTGTTCGATTCATTGATTGGAAAACTGCTTCCAATAAGACACCGACCACCCCGTGAACATAGGTGTCTTCCATCGATATATCCATGACTTGGTTCGCAAAGTTGATGCCGCTATGAAAAAGAACGACTTTTTAATACCTCAGGTGCTTACATATGCATGCTTCAACTTACAGGTGATGTAATACGTTGGCAGCAATTAGTTCACCCTGGCTCCTTGACTCCGCAGCACTGACAAGCATGCTCGATGTGGTACGTTGAATATCCGCATAGTCAGCGTGCCTACTACGTGAGACTTCGTGGCACCAGGCGATGGTGTTAGGACTGATGGGTGATATACCCTGCTCAATACCCAAATCAACCTTGACTTGTTTGATGATTCTTTGTCCGCGTTCACTTTTTTGAAAAGAGCAGACAAAGTTAGCAAAAAGAGCAGTTCAAGACCAAAGAACAGTGACATTTACCCATAACCGTCTTCATCATGGATCTGCATATGAGCGACAACAGATTTCCTTTCATCTTGATGGAACAGATAAACATTGTTGTTTGCCCTAACCCAATTTTGTCGCAGGCATTAGTGACCATCGTATTAACAAAAGGCATCACATAGAATATCACTTACAAAAGCCGAGTATCGCTCAAACTCTTGGGATCAACTTGGAATGACTTCTTGCGATACTTTTGGAGGCTATCCAACACATCAAACGCATGTATTTATGACACCTACAAAGGAGCCGCAAATTTTTATCAGACAAGGCATCCTTATTATCGTATATAAATGAAAGCTACACCTACCACAAAGGATCCATCATGAAGGAACACAGCCAAATGTCATTAGGCAGCAATGAGCACACCAAGTGGTAAAGCAATGAAGTGAACTACATAGAAGATGAATGCATGAGTACTCTCATTTTGGGGATCACATACTAAAGACTATCCTTGAGACTTACCAAAGGCCATGGATGATGATATGAATACAAGCAGTAGAAAGAAAGGACGTATGATAGTGTTGGTGACAACAGCCCTCTTTATATGTGAGTGGGCGTGAGAGATGTTGTCATGCGTGGTTGATCAAACTGATAAAGTGGTCAAGCGTCTTGGAGTACTGAGTCGAAGTGATGGAAAATCACAGCTGATAAATCCACCTGCCACTTGAAACGTGATTTTTTGTAGTGACATAAGCATGTCCCCCATCCAAGGTGTCCTTATCCTTCAACATACACCAAAGGTCTTCATTTCAATTTCACCATCACCGTCGTTGTCACCGTTTGTCACTGAGGAAGAGGAATGAGGGGTGACATCATCGAGTGTGAGACGAACACGCTTGGCGGGAGGTACCGAAATCGAGGTAGGAGACAACGAGGATGAGGAAGACGAAGAAGAACAAGAGACAGAGGAAGAAGTGCAAGCAGCAGCAGCAGTAGTAGCAATAGCAGTAGCCGGAGTAAGGTCACGATATCAATGAGACATCAGCAAAAGAAGTACAGTATCACGAAGAGTATTGCTGTCGAATGGCCCAAAAGGTACATATTGGGAGTCGAACCCGAAGAGATGATGACGATGATGTCTACAGCTGCATCGCTTGACCAAAGACCTATTCAACAAAAGCACCATGGTCATTAGTACACATGCATAGTAAACGCCATTTCCATTGTTTTCCCTACACCTGCCTCTTGCATATTCGTAAAGACCCGTTGTTGTTGGTTACTGGAAACCGCAAAGCATAGTGTAGTTGACCGAAACAAAAAGCCAAACCAGCCAACGTCTTGAGACCAAACTTGCCCTCTATACAAGCTAACACGTCAATGGAACCAGTTCGGCTGCAACATTGGGCTCTGAATGTACCTGTTGACACCAAGCGTAGAGCGGGAATAGCAACGAACAAGAGGAAGCAACGGTATCGCCATGGCAATAGCCATCCACCCGCCAACCCCCATTCCTCGGCACTTGGACACACACACTCCCTGACAATGCATGTTCAGAACTACATTAATACCTCACAACCAACAAGAGCACTCTTTTGCAGTACATTACCTTGATCGCAATGTCGTGAATGGGATAAAAGCAGAGGTGGGAGAAAGAGAAGAGAAGCGTTGTGTCAAGTCGTGGAGCTGCTGTCCCCCAAGTTTAAATCCCCCTACTGCTATTACACTGAGGCCACTCAATGACCCCACACACACACCATCCACCCATCGTCATCATCACCCTCACGATAGACAATAGGTACACGTAAATAAAAGAAATGATGATCCTCACGTATAGCAAAAGGGTGCGTGCCATTTTACACATTACACAATAATGATTATCCAACAACAGCCATTGCATTACTACCAGGTCAGCTAGGATCAAGAAAGTTGAATGATGGGCATGCTGGGGTGGAGTAGGACAATCGTTCGTATGCATTGGATTGAACAACAATGGAGAATGGGAGGACTAAGGTTATTAGCTGGCATTTTGAACTAGTCCTAAATAGTGTACAGGTATCATGCATCGCCTGTGCTGACTGACTCAAGTTACACAACACGTCCATCTGCATCTTTGGCTCTATTATAGTCATACTACTTGACAATGACAGTCCCCGTAGCGAAGTGGTCAAGATCCCGCCGACCTTCCCGCCAACTCGAGTTCGATCCCGCTTGTGAGCACTTGGTGCCGTCCTGATTATGCCTTGAGCTGTCCTCTGTTACGCCTTCGGGCTTTCCTTTAGCCTTCGGGCTGTTATGCCTTCGGGCTGTCCTCTGTTATCGCCTTCGTGCTGTCCTCTTGTTTGTGCCTTCGGGCTTACCTCTAGTTTAGATTTATCTGGGAATCCAAACCCAAATAAAAGAACATTTGAATACAAAAAAAAATACTACTTGACAATGAACAAAGACCATCTTTCATATAGCATCACGCTTACATCATATGTAAAACATAAAGGTGCCTGTATCTCTAAACTTTACAATGAAACGCGGGATCTTTATGGGGACAATGTTGCTCGGCGGGATGAAAGCGATCTTGTGTCAAACTATGAAGTCCATCGTGGCCAATCCCAGATTTCGCAATGTCGCCACCAGCCAAACTGGATCTGGGGGTCGACCTCTTCGACGACGACGACCAAAAAATATTTTTTGGGCTGTTTGCGACATTGAACGCGAAACTTTCACACAAGATGCTGTTGGCCAAGCCGAGCACATTGCTCTAATAAAAACCCCACGTTTGATTGTAAAGTTTGGAGATACAGGCACCTTTATGTTTTCACTATGCTGTAAGCGTGATGCTATATGAAGAGTGGTCTTTGTTCATTGTAAAGTAGATAGACCCTGAGGGAGCCAAAGATGCAGGAGGACTTCTTTGTGTAACTCAGCTGTTTTGCATGACTGGAAGGATTGATGGATGATACTTTATTCATTATCATCTATTGCCAGCTAAGAGCCACTTCCTCTCAATCTCAACTTTTGCTAGTTGTATGACAGTGGAATGATGCTCCTGCTCCAGACGTTTATTTCCATGATTCAAGTGTCTTGATCCGAGCTGATTTGACTGAGCTACGCCCAAACAAAGAACATGTCAATTCTTGAAAGACAGACCCTGCGAATGTCTCCGTCTTTCAAACTTTTGGACGCTCCCACTCCAAATTTTCAAATGAAGCGTGAGGTTTTTATTAGAAAAAGTTGATCAGCATGCCCGAGAGCACCCTGCTGACCAATTCTCAAGTTGGTGGGGAGCAACTTCGGGGCGGTGGGCCCTCCGTTCTTTTGTTCCCATCATCCACCATTTGGGTCGCCCCGCATTTTAAATCTTCACAATGAAGTCTGCTAATTCAAAATGGATGAGGTTGATCAGCATGTCCCAGCGAACTTCTTGACAAAGTTTCAAGATCGAAATGGAGAATCCCAAGGTAATTCATACTATTTCGACAAATCATGAATCCGGCGCTGACCTGCTTTCCAACCTCCATAGTAAATCCCACATTATACCTTCCAATTCAATTTTAACAAATGAACATGAGATCTTTTTTAAGACAATGTCGATCAGCATGTTCAAGAGCATCTTGTGTGAAAGTTTCAGGTTCGAGAGGGGCAATCCCGATATCAAGTATTGATGTACAGTGTTCATGCATTTATACAAGAGGTGTCCGACAGCTCAGCCTACTTGAATTTCCACTTCTTCCACTCTCAGCTCATTGCTCTCTTCCTCCCATTCTCAACTGTTGCCCCATTCAAGTACAACTACCACCTGCGAACGATTGTCCTGTTTCAACCCATCATGTCAACCCTACGAATGTCTTGATCCGATCGTCTTTGACTGAATGGCAAAGCCCTCGGCATGTACACGCCCGCAACACGCCTTTTTTGATACTACACACTGTCCAGCACACTCATCTGCCACGGTCAAACGTAACGGCATTCATTCCAGCAGTTGCTATCTACTCTATTGTCTCAAACGACATTCACATTCTTGTCACTCTACTACAACACACGCTCTTGCACACTCCTCTGCCACGACCAAACTTGACAGCAGCTACCATTAGGAAAGTCTTCATTCCATTGTCTCAAGCTACCTGCAGCAACTTGCCTTGTGGCCGTCATCACGTCAACAGCAGATAGCCATTGTATAAAAGCAACTTTATTTACGAGTAGCAACTTGCTTTGGTACATAAGGATTCCAATGGATGATGCCATATCAGCTATCAAGTACGCCGCAACACCTAGTTGAGCTGCGATGGAAATGACCAAGAAAAAGATGGATCAACGGCAGGATGGAAAAGGAAGCGATCACATGGCTCTTTTCAACCAACATGCTGGATTTGCAATGGTTATGAATGGATTGATGCAAGCGTCAAGTGCAGTGATGAGGAAGAAGTCCTGGGATGTTGTGTTGGTTGCTTGGCGTCGTCAGCAGGAACGATGGATCATGTCACTGGATACGGGCTGAGGATGATGATGGATTGGGAATGGCATTGGCGAATGGGCTTGTATCTTTCACGAAGGAAGGTGTTTTTTTTCAGCAATGGATGGTATTGGAATACTCAAGGCACAAATCATGCAGCAGCTATCCTCCAGCAATACAATGGCACAACTATTCCTGTTGCCTCGATGTGATGCACCCGTATACTTATCAATTTGCAACGCTGTCCCCTTTATCATAGTATTAGTTTATAGACATCCACACTACCATATACATACTATCTTTTTCTAAGATGTATTGGGGCAAACTGGAATAAATGTAACAGATGAACATCATAGGATGGATGCCAAGGGGACAAAAGATGACAAAGAGGTCCAGCATTTGCTTTTCATGGATTTTGTGCGTCTTTTCAGTTTGTAAGTGCATGATGATAGATATGATAAGGGAGGAACACCATTGGACCGTTCGCAACTTCACACGCACGCCTTTTTGCTTTGGTTGCTGTTTTGAATACGATGTTCTAGAAGATACCGGGGAAAGTTAGTACATACGACCTTTAATTTCCCTTGCTCCTCTTAAATCGATAATGAAGGACACTCACTTTCCACTGGATCAGGTTTGCAATATAGGCATGTCCTCGGATGTTGTTGGACAACTGTACAAGAGCATACACACATGGTGGTGGTTTAAGTTGAAGTTTGTACGTTGACATCATGTGACCTTGGAGTAGGATTCCTCCCACGACAGGATTCGGTACGCCATCATTGATCAACTGATTCAACATGTACAGTATTGCATCTGCCTTGCGAGCTTGACCAGGTCTGATTCGTTCTCATTGCATGCAGATGCCCCTGGTACCTTAATTTCCGCCACGCCCACATTGAATGTTCTTGTTTGCGTGACGAAGAACACAAGGAAATCAGGCTTCAAGGTGGCCTCCTTCCGCTTCCTCTTGGATCCAAGCCTTCCATTTGCCCTAAATTTTCATGCACTCGATTCATGCTAATCCCACTATAATCATCAACACGTATGTTCTATTTCTTGATTATCTACCATTTATATGAAAGGAGCGGCTCGGCTTGAAAAACTGATTCAAGAATGATTCCAATAAACCGTGCGCAAACGTATCTTCCAGTGACGTGTCCATATGCTGACTGGTGGAGAAATTGATCGCTCTATGTAAAGGAGCAACTTGTTTTCAGGTGTTTACATTGCTACATATGCATGCGTTCAACTTACAACCGATGTAATATATTGGCAGCAGCCATTTCAGCCTTGTCGTTTGGTTCGGCTGCACTTACAAGAATGCGAGATGTGACACGTTGAATGTCCAAATAATCATCGTGGCGGCGACGTGAGACTCCTTGGCACCACATGATGATCTTCGGGCTGAGTTGTGGCATATTATCATCCATCTCCAAGTCGGCTTTGATTTGCTTCAAAATCTTTGTGCCGCGTTGCCTTTTTTAAAAAAAGAGGAGAGAAAGTTAGCAAAAGCATTAATTCAAGAGGAAAAACAGCGATATTTACCCCAAATCTGCTTCATCATGGATCTGCGTATGAGCGACAACAGATTTCCTTTCATCTTGATGGAACAGATAAACATTGTTGTTTGCCCTAACCCAATTTTGTCGTAGGCATTAGTAACAGCGGTATTAACAAAAGGCATCACATAGAATCTCACTTAGAAAAGCCGAGTATCGCTCAAACTCTTGGGATCAACTTGAAATGACTTCTTGCGGTACTTTTCCAAGCTCTTCAATACACCAAACGCGTGTATCTATGACACCTACAAAGGAGCCCCAAATTCCTATCAGACAAGGCATCCTTATTATCGTATATAAATGAAAGTTACACCTACCACAAAGGATCCATCATCAAGGAACACAGCCAAATGTCATTAGGCAGCAATGAGCACACCAAGTGGTAAAGCAATGAAATGAGCTACATAGAAGATGAATGCATGAGTACCCTCATTTTGGGGATCACATACTAAAGACTATCCTTGAGACTTACCAAATGCCATTGACGATGATATGAATACAAGTAGGAAGGAAGGGCGTATGATAGTGTTGGTGACAACAGCCTTGTTTATGTATGGGAGTGGGCGTGAGAGATGTTGTCGTGATGGATCAAACTGATAAAGTGGTCAAGCATCTTGGAGTACCGAGTCGAGGTGATGGAAAATCGCAGCTGATAAATCCATCTGCCACTTGAAAAGCGATTTTTGTAGGTGACATAAGTACGTCCGTGGGCGTGGGTATTTCTGTGACCACAAAGAGAGATAAAATGTATGATTAGAATGGTGGTGAGCTGATAGATTGATGGAGAAAGCCTTGGTGTGATTGATTGTGTATGTATAATAGAACAGGATTTGAGATGATTGACAAGGTGGCAATAGCCATCATCCAGCAATGACATCCAAATCAATGTATGTGGCCACAAACGCTATCTTCACGCTTACCATAATAGGTTGTTGATATACGCAATCAAGTAAACGAAAGAAGTGGGTGATGATGTTGATGATTACAGCTTTGCTTTTAAGTGCATGAGAAGAGGTATAATACAGTATCCACTTGTAAATGTTGTGATAAAGGAAGAAGATCTGCTGCTTCATTGTATTATGGACAAGGGATTATAAATCTTATCGATACACTGTAACAAGTTACTGAAGCATAGGGTGGGAGGTATGGGCGATTACATGGATCATTGTTATGCACGGAGCATCGGATGCTTATTGTTTGGTGGGTGTGCTACAGCTTGGATCATGCTCCGAATTTGGTGTACCACGCGCGCGCGTATTATCTGTTGCCAGTTGCCCGCACGATCCTCTTTTTCTTTCACGTCAACCACCACCTCTTCCCTCATTCCGCCCCCTCTTTTTACACGCCATGCCACCATCGTCGTCTCCTTCCTCGTCCTTTTTATTATCGTCCTTGAAAGACTATTCACAATGCACATTGGAATTGACTTCAGCAATACGATCCACGGTCCTGGACCCCTTCGAACCTCCTCGATCGAAGCATGCAACAACACAACCTCTCTCGCGCGCTCAACAAAAGACCCTGGCAGTCAAATTGGCACCATTAGCAATGAAGATTGTCAACCAGAACATTGGATCGCTGCAAGATCTCAAGGTGCCTGGAAAGGTGGATACCAGTATATACAATACGACAGTCGAGTGCCTTGTGGATACGACATGCATTGCGTTGGCTGCGTTACGCTACATGGCCGCTTACACCACACTGAAGCCGCTCGATATTGAAAAACTCACATCCAATCTCGTATGCAAGCTTGTTGATCTCAAAGAGGTACAAGGAAAAGAGAATGCTATTGAATAGAGAGAGGAAGAGACACTGATCATGGGATGTATAGTATACACGTGCATTGGATGAGTTATGTGTTCTCAAGGCAGGACTCATGAAGGTGACCAAGCTTGGTGTTGAGGATACCAAACACGACAAGATGTCCAAAGCCAAAGAGATGGGATCACCACGACGACGAGGATTTCTGACAGAATCACCGAATCGAGGCAACGAAGCAGTACATACACCAGGCGGCGGCTCATTATCAGCACCCACATCACCTCTACGCACATTCGAGACATCAATGCAATACACCTTGACTCAAAAAGAACAGTTGATGCTTCAGAAATATGGCGATCTCTTTACGTTTCCTCTTGATTCAAGTATCAATGATCGATCCACCATTCTTCTCATTCTCGCATATCAAATGAATGCATTACGGTGTTGGACAGATATAGCCGATGGTTTCTTTGTATGGGTATGTTAATATTTCATTGACAGTGTTGCTGTTGCTTACATCCATCTTTAGCATCTACCGCAATTACTGTCACAATCAGGGACATTTATGGATTGGTGCAAGCATCTTATGGGATTCGACAAGGATATGGCTGCAAGACAATTCGATGCCATGTATCGACAACTTACTCGAGCTGCTAGTAAGAATTCTTCCTTGGGTAAGTAAGCAATATCAATCCTATCATTACGCGCCAACGACCTAATAATGGTGATGTAGAGAGCACTTCTTCAAGGACATTTGCTCTTCAAGCTATCGCTGTCAAGGCACTGAAACTTGCTGGAACCACATCTGCTAAATCGCTATGTCATCGCATGGTCCAACTTGGTCTTACGTTTGAAAAATCAGAGGAACAAGGTAGGGATTGTACAGCCATCAAGAGCCAAACAAAGCGACTCATCTATTCTTATCTAGTGGATTATCGTCGTATTCAGAATACGTGTGCTGATTTTATCAATGGGATCGAACCCAATTGTGATGACATTCCTGAATTGGATGCCTATTTTACATTGAGCGAGTACTATGCTTATGCATCTCGCAAGGTACGTATGATCTTCCCTCTCCTTTTATTCATCCACTCATTTCTCTCTATGATAGGCAAGAAGTTACTCTGGCGAATTTTATGCATACAAGTTCATGATGCGTCCTATTCGAAGTTTATTATCCACCACCGATCAGTGCAAGTATTATCATGGCGCATATGGTGCTACAGCCAAACTTGCCCTTGCATCTACACAATTGGACAAAATGACCACATCCCATTCACGTGAGTGATAACTGTCATCAATGAGATTTCATTACCTGATACCCTGTTCTTTTTAGAGATCGATATGAATATGACATTGGAAGAAGTCGACTCATGCTTGCAATTGGTATCAGCTGCTTCAGAGCACAACAAGACGTTGGATGAATACAGCGAACAAGCCATGTGTTGCATGTACAAGGCTTTGGATAAGTTTCGACAAAGTTGCACACGTTATTTCAATCATATCGAGGAACGATCCAAAAAGATCCAACAATATGTGACATCCCGTAACAGCAATGCTGCTTCACCCAGCGTACGTCAATCCTTGACCAACAACTTGACCGAGATGCGAGAACCAGTGACAGCCCTTTTATCTTCTCTCTCCAATTGCAAAGACGTGTTACTTTTGATTCTTCAAGTATTGAAAAAGAAGGTATGTGGGGTTTGGAATGATGGAAAAGGAAAAGGAGCGTCCACATCCTCATCATCATGCGTGTGTGATTCTTCTTCTAGTCATGGCGAGGGAAAGCAAAGCAATCACCAGCTCCAGGCGACGTGATGCGTAATTACATTGATATCATGGTTCTACTTGCACGGATGAGATTCCAATTGGACGATGAGGATTCCTATTATGCATCGTACGAGGATTTGGCCACAGCTGAACAAGCATGTGAAGAATTTGGATACCCTGCGGGCTATCGATGGGTTTCGGGTGCGTTCTATATCTTGGGTGCAGCCATGGCCAATGCTAGCATGTATGCTTCTGCCATCTATCCACTACGTAAGGCGTGCACATTGTTGGAAAAGTCGTCAAGTTATGCAGCAAGTGAAACAGGCCGTCTCCATCTTGCCAAACGATATGAAATTCTCGGCACATGTTGCAGAAAGGATAATCGTTTCGAGGTAAATACAATGCAATCATCATACACACACGTTTCCCACTGAGTCTCTTGTAAAAAAAAGGATGCCATCAAAGCCTATCGATCGTCATTGAAGAAATTACCAGACTCCAGTATCCAATCCTTTGTGCAGGAAGCGGACAAGTTGGCTATCCACAGTCTCATTGAACGCAATCCACTTATTCCCAAGCTTATTGATCGCTATTTACGTGCAGCATTGTTTGATGGTGTTTCGACCGAGTTGACCTTTGCCAGTGATATCATGAATCTTTCAACCTTGGTTCCTGAACAACGATGTATCATTTACGAATGCGAGTTGCGTACACTTTATACCTGTTCCTTTCAAATGGATTGCAGTCACTATCAAACGGCATTGATTGAGAAGCTTATGAAATACTATACGCCATTTCTCTTTCCTATTCGAAGGGCCAGGTGAGTATACCTATCCATCATGATTCCCACGTTGCTCATTGGAATGGAATATAGGATATTATTGGATCAATTACGCATTGAACTTGCCAAGAAGAATAATGGGACAATCACCAAGACAGCCATGGCTTTTGCAACAGAAGCAAGCAAGCTCCTGCAACAAAAGGTATGTGTGTGAGAATCTGTTCATGGATGGGATCACTCATAATAGGTGTTATATAGGAGAGTTATGGCAGCGACAGTGATTTATTACGCTATCGTCAATACTATCTCGCCTTATCACAATCGTGGATCGGCATTTGTGCTGAAAATGATCAAGATTTCTCAAGGGCATTCGCAGTGGCATTCCGACAATGGCGTACTTTGTTCAGGAAGGTCATGCCTGTATACCAAAATACTGAAAGTAAGTTTGATGATATAATCGTGCCCTGTGAACCTATGCCTAACATATCGATCAGGCAACAAGCTATCCTCCAATGACATCAAATCCATCCGTGCTAATGTGGATGATCTCGACAAGTTGTATGACCATTTCCGTGAGTATTGAAAGGGCCGTGTATCATCTCCTTGTCCATGGATTTACATATGTTCTTACTAGGGATGCTGGTTGACTTTTTTGCTGTTCATCGACAACGTGTTTATCAAATCAATACCCTTCGCCTTATGCTCAAGTTGAATAATGGATTAAGACGCTCCGCTGATGCTATATCATGTAAGTACTGGTGATGGTGATGGGCTCAATGCCATCTTGAACAAAGGGAATTGTCTCTTAATGCAGCAATTTATATAGCATCCATCATCATCAGCACACGCATTGGACACCTTTACGACGAGATGGGGTACCCTGGAAAGGCAGCATTGGAATTTGCACAAGCCAAAGCGACTATCGCCAACATGGCATGCTCTAACGAGGCGGAAATCTACTATATTCTCTTTTATTCATTACATCTTGCCAAACGAGGCAAATTGGATGATGCGTAAGTTTAGATACCTTTTTGCGTGTATGTGTGTGTGTGAGTGACTAAGGTCTATTGAATAGCAAAAATTTGTTCAACACATCCCGAATTGTATGGGAATCGATTCGCCGAACACAATCCAAAGACAAGCTTGAGCGTGGACGACGTAAAGTATCTCACAAATTGATGTTGGCTGATGCCCATATTGTAGCATCCACTTTGTGCTCCATGATGGCAAGTATCCCCTTGTATACTTTTGTCTTTGTGCTGGTGTTCTAATCAAGCGACCCTATAGCAACCCACCCTGGATACTGCCATCCAAAACTGTGAAAGTGCCTTACAAGTGTTGAGTACCTGCAGTCGCTCACTCAAGCTGGAGAAGCAAGACAAGGATGAAAATACCATCATGGAGGATCCTTTTGCAGAGTCGACTACCAAACAAGAGGATGAAATCGCCAACATGACGACAAGGATCATTTGTGATGAATCGGAATGGTCTATTGCGGAGGTCAGTTACCGAAACGATCTTTTGATATGTCCAAATTTGACTAAAAGTACCCTTTCCAATAGAAAGTAGCTCTATGCCTCGAGCAACTCAGTACCTTATACATGACACGTGGCTCTGTTCGCTATACACAATATTATATGCAAAAGGGTCTCAGCCTTGGTGAAAAGCTCAGCTCGCGTCTTGTCCAATTCCGTTTCCTCCTTCACACCAGCGATTTCAATTTACGATATGGCCGTCCAGAAACAAGCAAGTCGTATATTAAGAATGCTGTTGAGGTCCAGCCAGAGGTACGCTCCAAGATTGTAATACAACGCTTCTATTCTCATGCATGATTTTTGATAGGGTCGTTTACATGTGTATCAAGACGTCTTGCTCAAGATGGCTGTTGGTGATGTGGATGGCAGTGAAGGTTGTTTGGAGGAAGCACTACAAGCCTATTCGACTGCTGAAGAGCTATTGAAAAAGATCACGGATCGTGCTTATATATCGAGCATCGAGGCATTGATTGAAATGTAAGTAACGTGATTGATTTGTCAATGTCACGTGTGTATATTCAACGCTTTTGCTTAGGGACGAAACGATCGATGAGCATGATGAATCCGAACCCATGATGCTGGAAAATACCCTTCGAGGTAGGTAACATCTATATCTATTATATAGCCACATTACTCACAAGCATGACGATATAGATGATGATGCAACACCATTACACCATCTTCAAGGAATTAATACCATACGCAGAGGTAAGTAGCTAAATGAGTTGAATCCCACTCCCACAAGGTGCTTACGAAATGCTTCTCTTAGCCTTGGTTCTGGTTCAACTTGGTCGCATGTCAAAGGCTATGTCTCTCTTGGATCGGCTTGAGGAATTGAATATTCTTTCCAGTGATAAGGTAAGCAACAAGCTCAAGATGATTTTGCTATGGGTCTATTTATTAATGTCGCATTCTAGATCGACTTGAATTCTGCCATTGCTCAATTGAAACTCTTGTTTGTGCGATATGAAGCTACTCAGGACCAAAGCTCCATGTTCAACAGGGATGGTGAGCTAGTTGTGTGTTGCCCCATTCATGGATACGAGGTTAATTTATGTTACTATCAGTGTCCTTGATGCCATCCTTCAAAGCCCAACAGCCACGTGGATCAGTGAAACGCAGCCATGTGAGCCATGACATGCGAACTTTACGAGATGGCGTCACTTCAGCTTTGGATCGTATGATGGATATTTATCAATCAGGTGCCAGAAAGACGCGTATCAAGCTTGTGCAAGAGATTTGCTTGGGTATTGGTTATCTCATGTTTATGAAGAACGACTTTGCTACGCTTGGGAAAATCATGGTACACAACTACGCAGCATTTGGTGCATACTATTTGGGTACGTTTATTTTTCCTTCCAAGTGCATGACAATGGGGGTATTCATATTATTATTAGAAATGGGCAAAGGCGTGACACTGCGAAGAGAAATGCGAGCTGAGTTAACATCCAAGGTGGATTTCCCTGGCAACACGACTGATCTTGGATGGCCTAAACGTATCATATGCGAAGGAGATGATTCGATGCACAATGCCAACAACGATGACGATCCTATGGATGTGGACGATGATGATGAAAGTCTCCAGTTTCGATTACGACCTACGCGTCGCGTTGTATTACGTGAACATGGGGCAGAGTACTTTGAGCAACTACGCGACATGTATGATGAGGAACACGTATTGGACGATGCCGAGTTTCAGGAAAAGTTTGTGGATATTCTTCCCAGTCACTGGACCGTGTGTTCGATCACCATGGATGTGGATAATGACGAGCTATATCTTGTTCGATTGCGTCGCAAGGAGGAGCCGATTGTTGTCAAGTTGTCATTGACGCGTATGCGGGATCGGCTGGCGGACCAACCTGTGCCTGGTTATCGTGATGCTGTGGAGACACTCGAGTCCATCATTGCTGCAAGTGACCAAACCATCCAAGACGGCAAGACATGTACGCGTAAACAAGATGTGGATGCATGGTGGTCAAAGCGTACACAATTGGACCTGCAACTTAAAAAGTTGTTAAAGACTATGGAGCATGGTTGGTTTGGTGCCTTCAAGGTATGACCCCGTCATAATGGTTGTGATCATTAGGGTGTACTCAATTTGCTATACTACAGGGATTCCTCAGCGGACAATGCCAAGAACATCCAAAAGCACTTCAAGAATTTCATGGCTCGGTCAATCAATTGGTTTACAATGCAGTCTATCAAAAGCCGCTTGATTCGCAACAAGTGACTCGAAAGCATGTGGATATTAACAAGGAGATTTGCCGCTTGTTTTTGCGATTGGGCAGTGATCCTTCCAGTGTCGAGGTTGAAGATGCTCTTTATTTCTTCTTGTCTTGCTATGAAGCACATGATATCGCCGTGGATCATACACAAATGAATATCGGCGAGGTAAGAATCTCAATGCTATTGTCAACGAACTACCCACTCACTTTTTTATATAGCTAAGCGACCATTTTCGTGATCTCCTTCAAACCTATCACATGACAGCAGAAGCAGCCGGCATTCATCCTATGGAGAGCGTTCCTAATGAACACATCATCTTGATACCCGACAAGCATACGCACCTTTTCCCTTTAGAAAGCATGGATGTTCTCCGCTCACAATCAGTCTCACGTGTACCCTGCCTCTCATTTGTACGTGATCGCATCTTCCAAGCAACGGCAAAACAACCCGAACAAAATGACTGGAAAGATATCACGGTCAATGGTCAAAGTGTCTATTACCTCCTCAACCCAGCCGGTGATCTTTTGCATACCCAAAGAGAATTTGAAAGCACCTTTAAAAAGTAAGAGAGAACGTATACTTGGAATTTGCTTGTTTGTTAACCTCTTATTGACTTAGAATGGAGGGTTGGCATGGTGTTGTAAATCAAAAACCGCTCGAGCTGAGATGGGATCAAATTCTTCAGAATCATGATATTTACATGTAAGTGCAAGGTGGATGATTAGGGTGAACCAAGCTGTATCTCATACATGGGTGATACACACATAGGTACTTTGGACACAGTGCTGGCCAATCCATCATTCGTGGCAGTAAGATTCGGCATTTACGCAAAGGACCTGTAGCCATTCTTATGGGTTGCAGCAGTGGCAGCCTTATATCTCAAGGAGAGTTTGATCCAGATGGCTATATCATGAACTTTTTATTGGGTGGAAGGTATGCATCATTATGGAGGATGGTTTTCAAATGACTTTTGACTAAGCTTATATTCTCATTGATTAGCCCTGCTGTGGTTGCCAATCTATGGGATGTGACCGACAAGAGCATTGACAAGTTATCACGCACTATGATGGAGAATTGGGGCTTATTGCATAAAAGTTCCACACACAACAGCATGACGATCACTGAAGCAGTAGCGAAATCTAGAAACAGTTGTCGTCTACCCTATCTCATTGGCGCTGCCCCCATTGTATACGGTATCCCTGTACATGTTCACCGATAATACATCATAATAAATCATCTTGTAAATACAAATGTATATTATAGGCTACGCTACAGATTAATTATCATGGTGGCCTAGCTCTGATAGCAATGAATCTACTTGGGTTGACATGTCTTGTTTATCCTCCTTTTGTTGAGAAGAAGAGTCGTCCAATGATAGGGATGATAATGATTGACCGAGTGCAGGTGGAGGAGGAGATGTTGTTTCTTGTGTGATATGACTGCTTGTATTGCTGGATGTGGATGGCGACATGGAGGGTGAAGCGGAGGGTGAAGGAGCACGATAGTAACCAGGCGTGGACATGTGCGTCTTTGCAAGCTTTTTGCCTTCATCAAACAAGTTTTCAAACAATTCACGACCCAAGCTCTTTTGTTGCTCGCTCTCCACCTTGACAAGTCTAAAGCTGCTGGAAAAGCCGTGATCAAAAAACATCTCCAGGCATTCGTTGGTGAGTACCGCCATACGAAAAGAGGGTAATCCAATATCGATGACAAATAACGGGTTCACGTCGTCAAGTAAGAGTGATTCGATCCGTTGTATCCGTTTCTCCAGTGGTAATGCATTATCGACACGACCCAGACCGATCAAATTGGCCAGCTCTTCAGCACATGCTTCCTCGTCTAGGTGGTTGCCACGTAAAATTTCTGATTGCTCATGGCTGCGTACAATTAAATTGCATACAGCGTCCCATGCAAGAAAAGCATCTTGATTGATCTGAACCAGTAACCAGTATAGCTCCTTGACCATATCCACAATGTCCACATTTTCTAACTTGTCGTCATGATCGTGATCAAACATTTTGAAAAAGAGCTCGATTTGTCCCATAATGTCCTATTAAAAAGAGGTCGTTAGTAAGGACCATACATCCTCATGATTCATACTTATTACCCCATGCATGATTTCACTGAATCCCAACACCGTGTCCTGAAAAGTGACACCGGGATGATCCTCTTGCTTGAAATAATTGTACATTCGCTGGATGAACAAGTCGCCAAGTTGTCGCATGTACGCATTCTCAGCCGATTCTTCATGAGAAACTTTGACCTTGGACCATGTCGTGACGCTGTCGAGCATGGCATGGAATGTATGAATATCCATGGTCGTCCTTTCATTCTTGTCACCTTGGTTGTTGCCACTGCCATAATACAATGCACCAAAGTATTTGTCGTAAATGATGCCAATTTCATCCTTTTCAAATCCTCCAGTATCATTGAGATGCCGAATAGCAGATCGCTTGGTATAGGATTCAATGCCAGCAACCACTTTGAGCTGGTTTTTACGACGCATGTCAGTCACCAAGTCATCCGTTACCATGGAAAATTCACGATACTATATATGAAAAACACATGATTAGATCAAATGCCATGTTCTAGGTTAGACACACTATAACTACTCACTGCTGTCAACATGACTTCATTGAATTTCTATGATTGAAAAGAGGAGATTAGCCTATGTACTAAAAGCCATATTCAACAATAAGCTTACAGTGACCCTCCGTGCTTTCTCGTTACGGGCATTGGGGTGGATAGGTGCATCAAGTGTTGTGAAAAAGTTTTTGAGAATAGCAAGAAAAGCGCCATCGTCTCTCGCGTTGAGCAAATCATCCCCGTTGAGCTTTAGAATAGCCAGGCTATAGATAACTTGTAAGCCATGATGATCGTTTCACTGGAGGACCCAACAACATACCCGATTTGAAACAATATCCGTGGACCTTCAAGGAAAAGATAGTCGAGAACACGAAATGCAAATAATAGCGGCATTGAATTGACATAAAGGCTGAGGAACCATGGTAAGCATGCAACGGACAGCTGGACATCGGTCTTTTTGAAATGATTCCAAAGCATTGGCATCGTCTTTTCCACAAGTTGTTCAAAGATAATTTGATCCAAAAGGGCACCATACATCGACGTACTATAGGTAACATCCATAAGCATACTTGAATCACAAAATACCGCATCCACTTGCCTATAGTAACCAGGACACATCCGATCGACCAGCACATTCAAAGTCCAAAAGGCCTGTTCTTCGGTCATGTAGCTTTAAAGAAAAGATGCGTTAACAGATCGCCCAACCTATCCAAGTAGTAGTCAACATACATCAACATGGCCGAGGTGACAATATTCATTGCTTGACAGTATCCCAATTCTGGATTTCGCCAAGCATAGGCGGTCAATACACGACGTAAACTATCAATGCCTTCAGGTGTTTGATATGCAGCATATTCAGGAAGTGATCTATTGAACTCATGATAAGTATTCTAAACAACCCCACAAATGATGGTCAAGGTACCTGTTCAAATCCTTTTCAATTTCTTCTGTTGACAACGAGGATTGCCCTTCATACGTCTTGAGTATATCCTCGTATACACCCATATTGGCCAATCGTAGATAGATGGATCCTGAACATTCTTCCCAAATCTCTCCTCGAAGGGCATTGGGTAGACCGACACGAACAAGCTTGCCAAATTCGGGAAGTTTTACCATGGTGAGATTCCTGCCATGCTCTACCATAAAGTTAAAATGTTGTCAACCCATCCACATACAAACTCACTAAAAGATTTACCTGAAAAGTATTTACGCCACAATTGAGTCTTGGCTTTATCCTTGGACTTTTTAGCGTCACCAGGGTAACCAAATCGTACACCAAGTCCACCGATAGGGTCTGTGACATCAATCAAGTTGTATTCCTCTTGTACAAGCTGCTCAGATTCACACGTCTTGAGAAACTCCTTGAATCGCTTCATGGTCGGTTTTTGTTGAACAAGCTGGTGGCTCAAAAGTTTGCAGAAATGCTCGGCAATAGTTTTATGAACCTATTCAAGGTGGATTTGGTTACACATAAAAGTAAGGTATCAAAAAAAGAGATATACTTGCATGAAGTTGAAACACATGTTCCATGTTATGCCATACAGTGACGGACACAGCTGTACCATATGATCCCGAATTGAGACGTTCGACACGTTTGATGGTATACAATGGGAGTACAAGTGAGCAAAGGGCAAGGTGTTGTTGAGGAGGAGCTTGTCGATTGATGGATTCAAAGCAAAGGAACGTCTCTGAGAGATAAAGTCGACCAGGGAAATAGCTGTTGTGGATACCCGTAGGTTGCTCACATCTGGAATAGCCCACGCGAAGTCCTTCCATCATGAGCCGTTCTGATAAGGGGAGTCGAAAATGAAGGCATAATTCGGTATTGCGCTTTTGTTCAGCCAAATCTTGCTTGAGAGGATTCACCAAGACACCGCCACCACTACTACTACTCAAGCTTGATACGCCTTCGCTGTGTTGGGAATCAGGTGATTTGATATTGCGATCGAGTGATGGCGAATTGGATGATCCTGGAGCTGCATCACCACCCGCGTTACGTAGTAAACGGATCATTGCTTGACCTGTCAATTGAACAAGGAGATCGTATACCTATAAACAAAGCGTTTTAGTTTTCTCCTATGCGATGCATATAATCCATCACATACCTCATCACGCTTGAACATGTTACTGAAGAAATATTTCTAAATTCAAAATTAGCATTGTATCCTATATACGTGTGTATGTATACAATGGTCTTACATCATCTCCCTTGGTGACAATCTTTAGGCTATCAGCGAACATGGCTCGTTTGGAATTCTCTTTGGTGATATCTTGGATCTCCTTGAGCTCAATCAGCTTTTTGGTCTCGACGCCAAGCAAGAACGAGTAAAAGCCCAGGTAGTTTTCACTGATGTAGAGCCATCCTTGTCTTCCATTCAAAGAGCAAGAGTAATCTAATCATTCATATCAATATCACGTTATCCACATACTTTTTTAATGTACATACAGCTTACGAGACGTTCGGATGGAGGGACATCAAACAATTGTCGAAAAGCTCTTGAAGCGCTGCGAACCTTTTCATCGGTCGAAAGTTCATCGGTGCCGGTGTCTGGAAAAAGGGGGAGAGATGTCAATGATTGGGGATTTTTATGTATCACACAATGTACCAATCCCAACCTTACCAATGGTAGTAACAATCATGCTGATCTTTTCCACGACCCAGCTCTCCTTCTCGAATGGATCGTCGATGGTATCCAATTCGGGCATCATGTTGCGTTCAATCCACACCCAAGCGGCTTCCACACTTGTCTCGGTCTCTCCCACTGCAATCTGAAGACATGTCGTATTCACATCACGTTGAAACAAAATACGAAAAGGTGGTTGCTTGGTATCAAGTCTATTATGCAATGTCATCAATCATGGTATTCCTGTACTTGCCCCCACACGCCTTGCTATCTTACACATTGGCTATCGTGCTTAAAAGGTTCTTGAATATGGGATTCCCCGGGGCATGAGACCTTTGCAAGATGAAATTGTCGACATGGCGAACCGTGGTCCAGAACGGTGTAAGGGTGATATCGGTCGGTGAGGGTAACGTGAATACCTATCAACGCCGTCGTCAATACATAGCCAAGCCAATGACGCTCTGTGAAGGGGATTAGATACCTACATTACGGGGAATAGACGCTGCATGCTGTAATTCAGGCTGTGACATGAGGTAGCTGCATACAAGAAGCTCTCGCGAGACCTCGACCAAACTTAAAAGGCCCGAAACGTTCTGCTAGCTTTGGAAATTCACCCCGACCACCTTGGCATAGCCACTTGCCATTGTTTCACTCTCTCTTCTTATTGCCATCCCACCAGTTGGACTACTAACTACAACACTCATTGTTGATAAATCCATTGACTACGATTGATGATGCACACGTGATGTAAATTATTTCAAGCAAGCTTTTCTTGTGTTTTCAATGATAATGTTTGTTGCTACTACTGAAGATGATATCAGGGGGGATAAGAGAGAGAGATCTGGGAAGAACGACCCTGTAGATGGATGTGTATGTTGTTTGCGTAATGTGTGTGTGTGTATATATATAAATGTGCGTGCGTGTGGATGGGTGGGTGTGAGTGTGTGGGTGCTATTTGGACCAAATCTTACATGAACATTTCTTCAACCATGGAAATTATTTAACACGCGTAACTATGGATACATAAAAGAAAGACAAAAGTACAATCCATTTCGATTAGTTTGCAGTACATAGAAAGCAACGACTGCGTTCTTGACCCATCACATGCACTCTTTCCTTCCTTCCCTCTCTCTCCTTCTTTTGTCACAATAAAAGAGTAGACTTACCGCTTGGTCCATTCACGTGCGTGGCGATCATGCGTCTCACGATCAGTAAGATATTCTTGCGCAATGCTACCAACAAGTGGATCATCTATGATGAAGACAATGTGTGTGTGTGAATGATTGTACTTTATCATCCCCCCCCCCACTTTCCACCATCTCATCCATCCTTTTGCCCACTTACGAGGATTGGGGTCGGTCAACAATGAACAAATGGAAAGCAACACCTTGGAGATGGTTAGTGCTGGTGACCAATTATCCTTGAGGATATCCAAGCAAATAGCACCTTGGCTATTAATGTTGCAGTGATAAATGCGAGTTCGGAATGTGATCTATCATGAGCCATAAGTCATCATGTACATATATATCCACCACACGCCATCATCATCACCATGCTTACCTTGGGAGGCTTGAATGGATACTCCTCAGGAAAATGAACATCCAAGAAAAAGATACCACCTTGATAAGGGGAACCAGAAGGTCCAGCAATGGTCGATACCCAATCAAACAAATTGTCACTCTTAGGACCAGCACTAGATAGATCATGTCAATGAACCCAATACATAAAAGGTGGTGGGCAAGGCTTACCTGCAGTTGGCGGGTGGATCAAGGGAAATCTCTGCCAACTCCTTGGAAATACTAAATGGGTGTGGGGAAGAAAGAAGAAAAAAGAACCAGTTAGAAAAAAAGAGAGGTTTACGTGTACACGCAAGCAAAATTACCGTTTAGCACCAGGACTTAAGCCTTTGAATGGGTCTTTCTTTTTAGCTTTCTTGGTGGTGGGGGTGGTAGCGGCGGTAGCTGTGGGAGGTGAAGGTGCAGATCGTTTACGATTGGTGGACGATGCGGTTGAATTCGTAGTGTCATTGGTTGGTTCACTTGAAGACGCTGTGGGAGCAGCAGCAGCAGGAGGTGCTGGTGCGTCAGATTCTTTTGATTCCTTGGTAGCCTTCTTGGCAGTGCGAGCACCAGCTGAAGAGCTCATGATAAAAAAGACAAGGGAGAGAGAGAAAAGTGTATGTAGGAGATATCGATATCGAAGAAAAGCAAAAGTTATCCAAATAATGCCTTTGTATAAAAGTCGGATAACGTCGAATGCAGTGGTGATTGCTTGTAACAACCAAAATAAAGTGGAAGAAAGAGAGGGAGAAGAGAACAGCTGAAAAGAGGACGTCTTAACATTGGTGGTGGAGAGCAAGAAGCGGTAACGGTCACTCTCTCTAAATCAGGCATCCGTTGTGTCAGCCACCCAATCCACCGTACTCCCTCCCCCTTAACCCAACCATCTCAAAACGCGTGTATTCTATAGACGCGTCAATGTGACACCACCGTGAATCCTACATAATCGCCCTACCAAGTAAGCGTTTAAGCAAAGAAATCGCGTAGCAGCATTGCTCTTCTTGATGATAATGAAGTTGTGGTGCTTTCATAATATGGTATAGATCACCTCGTCATCATCGCGTCTAATATTATAGTTCCTTGCAAACACACCATCTCTGTTTCGAAACCCCAATGCTGCTTCTTCTTCTTCTCGCTGTAAGTAGAGAACTTCTTTTTCGCCATGATGGCGGAAATAAAACAACACGTTGTGCAAACTATGCTGTGTGCAAACAAAGTCGTACGAAAGTCATGGCAACCGGGATCGGCCCCGGATACTACCGACAACCATCCATCCCCAAGTCCCTGTAATTGGGTTAATAAAACATACTGATGCCACCATATAGTCAATTATTGGGTGATAGTGATATGCACGTAGGAGCTGCTTCTGCTCATCATGCATCCATTCGGCGTCAACAAATGGATCCTTCCTCTATTATGAATGGGAGGATGATGCTGCAGGATAATGTTTATGATAGCCTACATACATACGTAGTTAGTGGATTGTTTGTGAGCGCAAATACATCATCCAAGACCAAAGATTGTCTACGCCTGAAAGTGAGAGATATTGATACATCACTTTCTTCTATGTCAGCTATGATGGTAGATGACAATTGAAGAAGATCGATAGAGCCTGGCAGTGAAAAACGGTGTTATCACAAAGGCACCACGACATTCCATCGTGTAATAATGAAATCCATTTTGATTTTGAGCTTTCTTTGTGCTGCTAGTACGTAGAAAATATTGGTCCATTGGTTGAAAACCTTGGTCCATTGTTCTAAGACCTTGGTCCAGTGGTAGAAAACATGTATCCATTGGTTGAAAACCTTGGTCTAGTGGTTGAAAACGTCGGTAATGAGAATAGAGTATGCTTGCTATAACCAAAGTTGTCTTTGTTCGTAATTGTTGATCAACCATATACCTGTGACAAAGATGCATAGGGCTTGGTTTGGGTAATATCGGCGAAGCGCATGATTTAGGATGTCAACGCTAGTGGACAATGAGTGCATAATGGTCCTATATTAGGATGCTATGCATTATGGGATGCTGGTTCACGTGCACATTTTTATAAATAACCTTTGTGGGTTTCTTTGTCTTCATTTGGGTTGTCCAATGTATGTGTATGATGACTCCCGAAGATACTTGTTGGTGATGAACCATGCGTCCGCTTAGTGAGAAATGCATTACGCTAAGTAAGAAACAGTCTTAGAGGCCCTAAATTCAAGCACTGTCAACATGATAATCCCTCTACAAATGCCAAAGCGTGATGCTGTCGCACCAAGTGAAAGTGATTTTCGGAAACTGCTATACTACGAGGATCTGATAGCAGCATGCATGCTTGAACCCTTTTGCTCCGAAAAAAAAGGCACCCCATACCTATCAGATACTGGTCTCGTTGATCCAGTGGGACACATGCCAATTTTTGGAAAACATCTCACGCGTTGCACATGTATCCATGTGAACATGGGTGCTAAGAAAGGCTAAACTTGCCGACAAAACGTGAAAAGGATGTTACACGGCTTGCTGTGTGCTTCGTAATGCATGTCGTAGCATGATGTGATGTTTTACAATGGACATGAGAAGGTAGGAAAAACTATTTTTCAATGATGGTGGCCGGCGTGGCTCGGCTAGCATGGGTATGTGGGGCTGAGGACAAAGGAGTTATGTCACACCAATTATGCCAAAAGATCAACGCTGGTAATTGGTGTATCCCAGCAATTCCGAAAAGATCGACCGGTCAATGGATGAGACAACAACAACATCATCATTATTGCCGTCAATAAAACGGGACATGACAAACACCATGGTCATAGAGAAAGGGGAAAACATAGCAACAAATCATAGGAGAGGCGTTGAAGAAGAAACCTTACAGCTATCTAGTTCCTCCATTGACATCCGAGAATAGCTCTTCTTGGTTCAACAACGCCCACCCTTGCAGCAAGCCATTCGCTCAGCTGCCTCAACACAGCTTGCATTTGAACATAAGGGGGTGGTTACAAGAAACGTATACCGTATTTTTGGTGCATATCGGGAAAACTGTACCTTGATTCTTTTAGCAAAAAAATTATATAAATATGGTAAAATGGATGCTTTGCTTGTACATCTGCTGTCCTATTTGCTCCTAGTAACATGAAAACCTCATTCATTACATTCGCAGTTGTATTGCTTGGCACTTGTTTGGATTTGACCACTGCTGCTGCCTGTGACAAGACCACTCGGGTTGATCGCTGTGATAACCAGGAATGCACCTATCAAAACTTCAACGTTAGCCACGTTCCTGATCCTCGCAGTAAGTCTCCTATATCGTGTAGTAGTAGGTATAAAGCTAGCCTTTCTAATTTCTTTATAGAGGACACAAAGTGGGATTACTATAGCTTCTCATGCGCAAAACCCGAGGATCCTTCCAAGTGTGAAGGTATCAAGCAGGAAGATGAATGCGTTGCATCCCAATGCGCTTGGCACGCATACTATGAAAAGAAGTACAAGAGCGGTAAGTTAATGACATGTACTCTATCCATCTGATCTCTTCTTGAATCATTAACACGCCATTCTATACAAAGATGAATACAAAACCTTTACATTTTGCTTGGAGAAGGTTGAATGCAGTGATGTTTGGAAGAACAAGGACGTTTGCGACGAATTGGATAACTGCAAATTCGACGATGAGTGGGGTACGTAGAACTCGATATTGAATCAAAGTGATGTAGTAGTAATGGAATTATTAACATCATCCCACCTATCCCACCTCTTAGGCTGCATTTACAAATAAGCGGATGACTTTACAGCATTCTCTTTATACTCCATGGGAATTCAAATAAAGATCCTGTGTGTGAGTAGTACATTATCGCTACCATGTTAGGTCAAGAAATGTGCCTCCCAATATAGTGCTTGTGTAATACCAATAGAAGGGTTGTACTAAGATGGCTGCCAGCAAGTGATCTTTCTATTATCACCATTGCCTATGGTGTGACCATGATGGATAACAGTTGAGGAAGATTGATGTCGAGTGGCAGCAAAATGTAGTGATCCATTTATCTCGCATCTCGATCCTCACACTTCAGTGACGCCTTTCAGGCACACTGATCTTGTTTGTTCACACCTGATTGTGTGATTTTGAGATCCAGGTGGATTGAGGAGTCTCTTCTATGATGTGAGCTGTGAGATGGGATACGTTTGCACATGATTGATATCCTCGACCCTATACTAGTAAAAGTAAACGCCCCAACCTCGTTTTCATCCTTCCAACTTCACCGTTATCATTGTCAAACCCGAAACCAACCAAATTGACCCACATCTTCCCCACATGAGACAATATCACAATGCATTAACAATCATGTTGTTGAATCCAATGTCCATTCAATGAAAGTGAACCATGCGTGTTTACTAAAAATGATAATGGAAAAGTATTGCAAGTTGAAAATAAGGTACGGATGAATTACGTAGAGTCGACGAGTGTCACTATATCCTTGGTTGCAGCCACCATAAACATCCCTCATCCACGATTGCAAAGTAGCTGCTGCCTGCCGTGGCCTGAGTATTCCAATATCATCCATGGCTGCAAAAACGCCTTCTCAATGTTATAAGACCTCTTGTCAATGCCATCCAATCCATCATCATCCTCCGCCGCAACCACGCGATATGATCCCTCCGTCATGCTGACAACACGCCAAGTAACCAACTTAACATCGGCTAGGATTCCTTATCACTGCACATGATTACATCCATCCATCATTGCAAGTCCAATATTGCTGCTGGTATCCTTCCATTTCCATCCGACTGTTGATCAATCGCTTCCTTTGCCATGTTCCATCGCAACTCAACCAGGTGAAGATTGCTTGTATTGTTCGATGGTTGATATGGCATCATCCAAACTGAACATCACGTGGCCAAGGAAGCCAACCCGGTCAACCCCATCCATCCCACATACAATACCAAAGCAACGTCCAAATTCGTATCCATAGAAACTCGTATGTATTGAAAGCAAGCTGCTACACGTAAATAAAGCTGCTTCTATACAATGGCTATCTGCTGTCCACGTGAAAAAGGCTGTAAGGCAAGTCGCTGCAAGTCAAGGACGCTGTTTGAGACAATGGAGTAAAGACCTTGCTAATAGCAACTGCTGCAATGAACGCTGTTACGCTTGACGGTGGTAGACGAGTGTGCTAGAGCGTGTGTTGTGTCAAGAGAGTCGTGTATTGTAGAAGAGTGACGAGAAGACTGTGTGCATGCCATGCACGTGCCATTCAGCCAAAGACAATCGGATCAAGACAATTGTAGGATTGACATGATGGGTTGAAGCAGGAGAATCATTTGTAGCTGGTAGTTGTATACTTGAATGGGGCCAACAGTTGTGAATGGCAGGAAGAGGGAAAAAGCTGAGTGGAAGTGGAAAGTAAAAGATCAGACCCTAAACATTGATATTGAGATTGCCGTTCAGGCACGCTTGTTAATTTCGTTCTCATAAAGGCCTCACGCTTCAATATGCAATTTTGAGATACCAGCAAAATTTGAGTCTTCCCTATGCTGTATGCCTACATGGTTCATACGATCCCTCTACAAATGCCAAAGGCAGTTGGTGTCGCACCCAATGTAAATGGATCAATGGAAATTCCAGTACGATTATGTCATGTCAGCATGTATGTAACTGGTCTCTTTGAGCGTAGTGAGACACATGCCGTTTCAGGAACATACGTACTTGCCATTGCTTTTGGAAACTATCTCACGCATCATCCATGTGAACATCAGTGCTAAAAAGGCTAAACTCGCCGGTAAAACGTGAAATGGATGTTGCAGCATGGCTTGGTTGTGTGCTTTGTAATACATGTCGTAGCATGATGTGATGTAGTATGATGGGATACACTCAAGAAGAGGGGTGATGGTCGATGTGGCTCAGCCATGGGTATGTGGGGCTGGGGAGAAAGGGAGTTATGTAACACTAATTATGCCAAAAGATCAACGCTGCTTGTAATTGATATCCCAGCAATTCCGCAACGATCGGCAGCCCAATGGATGAGACATTTACAGAATCCTTGTTGTCTTCAAGAGAATGGGACATGACAACAACCATCATGATGGTGAAAAAAGGAGAGCGCATCATAGGAGAAGGAGAAGAGGCATTGAAGAAGAAGAACAACCTTACAGCTATGATGCAGTTCCCAGATTGACATCCGAGAATAGCCATCTTCTTGGTTCAACAACAACGCTCATCCTTGCAGCAACCCATTCACTCAGACCGCCTAACCACATTACATTTGCACATAAGGGGTTACAAGAAAACCATACCCTTGGTGAGGCCCTATTTCTGGTATCGGGAAAGCTTTACCTTGATCCATTTGACAGAAAGGTATATATAAGGTGAAATAGATGATTTACTTGTACTTTACTACTACTATACACCCTCCTATCCTACTCGTATTATAACATGAAAGCCTCGTTCTTTGCATTTGCCGCTGTCTTGCTTGCCACTTCTTTGGATTTGACCTCTGCTGCTGCTTGTGACAAGACTACCCAGGTTGATACCTGTGACAACCAGGAATGCACCTACAAGACCTTCAACGCTACCATTGTCCCTATTCCTCGCAGTAAGTTTTTACCATTGTGTGTTAGTGGAACTTATCTAACAACTTGCTTAGAGGACACCAAGTGGGATTACTACAGCTACTCATGTGTAAAGACCGATGATGCTTCCAAGTGTGAGAGCATCAAGCAAGAAGATGAGTGCCTTGCATCCCAATGTACTTGGCACGCATACTATGAGAAGAAGCTCAAGAGTGGTAAGTTGATTACATGTACATACTACACATCGATCTTCAACGTTTAACACGTCGTTCTATATCAAGATGAATACAAGACCTTTACTTTTTGTATCAAGGAGGTTGAATGCGGTGATGTTCTCAAGGACAAGGACATTTGCCTCGGGTTGGATCACTGCAAATACGACGATAAGTTGGGTACGTAGTAGTAGAACCCGATGTTGAATGAAAATGATGTAGCAATGGAATTATTAACATACCCACCACTACACCTCTTAGGCTGCCTTTACAAATAAGCGGATCGCTTTACAGCATTTAGTTTTTTCGTAACCCAAGAGAATTCGAATAAAGATCCTACATTCGAGCACATGATAATTTCATTGATGCTATTGGCAGGGCTGGGATTGTACATAATAATGCTGTGTACGGCCAATAACAAGGTTACCATGATTCTCAAATGATTGGAAACAATTGGCTTTGTCCACCATCATCATTGCCTAGGATACGGTTGTTCTTTGACTACTAAGTACGCTATCATGCATTCAAGACCCATCGCGCTCTTAGTGTGGAGTCCTCTTGTTACAGAAATCATCATAAAGGAGAATCCCTGCGTAGGATTGCAATAAAGGTTGGTAGCTTTTTCATGACTGTCGCCAATTGCTTGCGTGTCATTGTCATTTTAAGCATTCGATGGCTTCCAAAGGTATGGCTTTTTGGCACCTTCAAGACCATTCTTCATGCCATCCTATTGATGATTGCAACTACTAATGCTTGCTGCACGCATATATATGGTCTTGTTTGTTGGCATAGCCAAAGGAGCAATTCATGTCAAAAGCATTGGTGTATTCAAAGTCCAATAGCCAGAGGAGCTATCAACCTTGATCTGTATTACAAGATTCATGGTTTCCTACATAACCCATCATATGAGCCGTTACCAATAATAACATGTATTCCCTATATGAATACCAAGGCAAGTGCCGTTTTCACGTAAAGGTTGGGGCATGCAGCCAATGCCAACGTGGCTCAGTGGTACCACCAGCGTATTCCAACACAAGCAGACAATGATTTCCCGCACTGCATCAATCAATTACACGCCCCTAACTTGGAAGAGAGCTCGTAAAGAGGGATGCAACCACTCATTAATGTGCAACAACCACACCACAAGCATTCACACGTAATGTACATACAAGGATGATTGGATTTGCTCGGCTATACAAACTTCATGTCCATTAATAGCTTGTTTTCCCCTCTTGGCTTGAATCAACCTATGACTATGTTATCAATGTTTTACCTCGTTGACTTCAACATGTACACAAGAGCGTATTAGTCAAACCACACTTTTGGTGCAGAGAAGCACCATTCACAGTTCATTTAGACCTTTTTCTGGGTAGGCAATATATATAAAAAGGTGAAAATGATGAGAGCGTAAGCCTTACTTTGATCATTTTATCAATATGAAGCTATCGTTTGTTGCTTTTGCTGCCACCATAGTACCCATGTCAGGTTTCGTGGGTGCTGCTGTATGCGATAATCCCACCAAGGTTGATCGCTGTGACAACAAGAAATGCACCTTTGATGTTTTTCATTACCCTTTGGATAAAGATGGTATGTAACAAATGTTGGTTGCCGTAACTATGACACTGACCGAACACATACGTATGCAGGTGTTGAAGATACGTACAAGCGCTCTTGCGTTCTGCACGATGATTCTGTTAAATGCCATGAGCAGTTTAATCACGAGGAAGAATGTCTAGCCAACCAATGCGTATGGGAGTATTACAGACGTAAACACAAGGAGGGTGAGTGAAAGTAAAAAGAATGCCATGATGATACAAAGACTGATAGACTCGATATATACCCCTAAAAAGGGGGTTGGTTAACCGTACCACGCTGTGTTGATAATCTACCTTGCGATGCTTATGGTACCCCAAAGACAAAAGAATTTTGCGAGTCATTGGATTATTGCCGATGGAATGAAAAGTGGGGTAAGTACAGACATCGTGAATGAAAGGCATTCTGTGATTGACCCGTTGTTGTCATTCTTTCGTGGCAATCAGGCTGTATCGAGCGTACTTAGCAGTAACGGGATCATGACAAGCTCCCTTTTACTTTTCTTCTAAATGACCATTGTGGTGTTATCAAATACACGGAACATTGCAGCTGTGAGTAATAGACAAGCTATGATAAAAAGTTGTCAATCAGCTAGTGTGATCTACCAAGAATCAAATCACATGATTCTATGTAAGGGGGTGAATGGTTCAATGAGAAATGATGACAATGTGACAAGCAAAGAGTGATTTGGCAGGTGTTGCATATGTAAGGAAAACTTTGTGTAACTCGGCGACCAAGTTGGCAACCCGGATGAAATTAAGCGCACGACACGGGCGGCGGATTGTTCAAGAAAGGAATCCAAGGTGATTATTATTATAAAAAGGCACGATAGATACACATGTTGGATGTTTGAGAGGTGCGAGGGCTATGGGACTATGTGCGTATTAGCGTGTAATTTTACTAGTCTAGATAAAGAAACTAAAATAGGGTCTGCAGGTGTCTGTGTGTGTTTGTGTGTGTGGCGAAACGACGCGATTACAGAAGTCCCGAATCATCGCCTGACTTTTTGTGCTTTTTTGGTTCGCTCTTTTCCTTGACCACTTTTTCCTTTTTCCATACACACACGCACACACCCAATCTCGACAATGCCACCACTGGTCGAGACTCAAGTCAAGGACGAGCCTGTGTTGGTGTCAAGAGCCAAGCAAGACGAACGACCCCCCACTCCACCCGAGGACCAAGAGCAGCATCCTGATTACCGTTACCCCTTGTACCTTGGCAACTGGAAACGCTCCATTCCCTATGTCGATGACGACTTTACACGCGACGACATGGACGAGCCTCATCTGAAAAGGAAGCACACCATTCTTCGAAAGCACCCTGAAGTGGAAAAGTTGTATGGCACTGATATCCGCACGCTCTACGTGGCCATTGCCATTAATGCTATCCAGCTTGGTCTTGCGTACTACTTTGGCAGAGGTAGCAGTAGTCCGGTGTCATTATGGGTGTTTTTGGGAACAGCCTACTTTGTGGGTGCGACTTTGACAGGCATGATTGGTGTTATCATTCACGAAGCGTGTCATTGCTTGATCACCAAGAACAAGATCCTCAACCGATATGTGGGTTTACTCGCCAACATTTGTCTACCAGTACCTATCGCACAATCCTTTCGTCGATATCATATCCAACATCATTCGTGGCAAGGCGTCGAAGGTCTTGACCCAGATTTGCCTCTTGAATGGGAAAAGAAAATGATCCGTGGCAACGCGTTCACAAAGCTTGTATGGATCCTGTTGTATCCTGTCATGTACGTCGTCCGAGGTGCATGCATGCAAAATGATCGTCAACTCACCCTCAGCAAATGGGAGATCATCAACCTTGTATTTTCCATCTCCATGGATATTGCTATTCAACAAGTTTGTGGTTGGCGTGGTCTTGGATACCTCTTCCTCTCCCTTTGGTTTGGTTATTCACTCCATCCCGGTGCTGCCCATTTCATCCAGGAACATTATACGTTTGATGATGGTCAAGAGACATACTCGTATTACGGCGTACTCAATGTCCCCTTTATGAATATTGGATACCATAACGAACACCACGACTTTCAAAAGGTAAATGATGTTTTCTCTTTGTGCATGGGAGAAAAAAAATCACGAGAGAGTGAGAGAAACGATATCTGATAAAGGCATGTTTGATAATTCAGATTCCGTGGTCAAAGTTGCCTGCCCTCAAGGATACCGCCAATGAGTTTTACGATTCACTTTCTTATCACACCTCTTGGATTTACGTTCACTGGAAATTCATCTTTGACAAGACCATGGGACCTCAATCAAGACTGATTCGTGGCTATGATGAATTCAAGGCTGGTCGTTCCTTGCTTTCCAAAATGAAGGCATTTGAAGAAAAACACAAGTAAAACTTTCCCCCTTCTCTCCCTACTTTTTTGTTTTTTTACCCACTTGTTTATTTAACTGTCCCCCTTTTTCACGCCATCTCTGTATCTGTATATTCCACATGACTGAAAATTCTTCTCTCTTGCAATACATATTCTACCTCTTTTTGTGTAAATGCAACTAAACGCTCTTTTATTGAAGCCATGGATATACAAACTATGTTTGCTATGTAATACATGTGGATCTTCACGGTCAAATGTACGAGTCTTATGCTCTTCTACCTTGTCAGCGAGTAGTTTCAGGGCAAGGAACGACCTTGTTTGTGTGATACTGTAGAAGGCTCGCTAACCTGAAAAATGTGTATCCATAATGCAAGCACTGATCAACCCATCACCAATCCTTGATCATATATAGTTATACCCATTTGAAAGTAAATGTTATTGAGGGATGATGAGGGAAATCATGCTGGTAGTCTATGGGATGAGAGTGATGGCAAAAGTACGGAATGATGTGACAAAGAGGTTTGTGAATGAGTATCTAGTTGTTGTTATTGCTTGTGGAAGGGAACCATTCGGCCCACTTTTCGGATGCTGCTTGCTTGAGACGAACGAATGCGCTTCCCATATCATCCACTGCAGGACGTACATCCAAGAAGAAAACAGGGACACCAGGTGATTCTTCAGCACCCTCATAGTAATCAATGACATAGCGACGTTGGTCACCACATCGGCCAACATACCAATCATGACGATCAAAAGGTTTGGGAGAGCTAAAACCCATAAGTCAATAACCCTATATTTGACAGCCACACCATCCATTGAACTTACCCCCATAACGAATGCCACCATGCCTTTGGACTTATATCATTTGGACGGCCTTGCAAACGAACAAGATATGGATCCTCTTCACACTTGCTATTGAGCAAACCAATGAACGAATTAGCCAAATGTATACTTCTCCAATAACAACAACCCTACCATTCAAAGTTGGATTCCCATTTGAGTACTTGATCCCATGCTTCTTCATTCAAAAAGTTGTGGATATCAACCATGGTCTCAACATGTTCTTCGGGCGTTTCCCATCCCTTGCGTCGCAAAGCATTGTAGAATTGTTGTGGGCTTGGATATTCCCAACGAGACTCCTTATCAGCTCGTGGAATGGATGAGATAACGCGTTCAGTGGGCAAGTCGATTTGCTGGTCGGGTTGACGTTCATGACCAAGTTGACTAGGCATCATGTTGAGCTCGTTGATCTTGTCGGTGACAGGTGTCTGGTGCATGGGACATTCGGGAGGTGGTGAAGGCTTCTTTTCCTTTTGGTGCATGGGGCATTCTGCTGGTGGATTGACCTTTTTGGGAGGTTCAGGTTGTGAAGGTTGATGCATGGGACAGCTGGGTGGTGGTGGTGGTGAGGAGGAGGAGGACGAGCTCATGGTATATAAGTAGTCTTTTGTTTTCGGACAAAGAGTAGTTTAAAGCAAGCCCTGCCCGAAAAACCTTTTTGCAGGTGGGCGGTGACTGAAATTACAACACATGTGAGTGATACACACCCAATGCCCAATTCCTGGATAATGGGCAACATCCATCACTGCTACTACTCGAGATGGAGATAGCTAATCTTTATTGCCACTGAGCAACAATTCAAACAATGAGATAACAAAGTTTATTTAGATCATCAATGAGATCAAAGTGCTGTTACAACGTTACTCGAAAGCACCACCACAGGCTTGTGCACTGTGGCAAATAAAGGATTGATGCAGGGATTGGGAGGGTGGTGAAAGAACACAACCCCATGGAGACACCAGGTTTTTTATATGCCGCCACACTGACAACATCCTCCATCCCCCTGATTATGGCATTCCATCCGGTGTTGTATAAAAACGAGACTACTGCATGCTTAGCAACAACTCATTATCGATCAAAGTTTTCCGTACAACATGCATGATACAACATTGAGAAGCTTTTTTGTGTTTCAATGACTGCTTCCTCTCTCTGATCTCGTATCGATCTCATCTCGCCGCCCAATTAGTGCAAGGTAATACACAGCCAAACTTTCCAGCAGATTCTGTGATTAAAGGTCTGATGCTGCACCACCACCACCCTCATCATCAGTGCAACCACACACAGAAAAAGTTAAGGAAGTGGTTGTGACTTGTCCAACATTGATCGCAGCATCCACAGGGTTGCAACATTAGATCTCATGAAACATTCAGGGGGGTGTACGAGAGGAACGTGATGTTGCAGTGGTGGCGTTATTGTGCATTAAACATATACAAGAGAGAAAATGAGAATGTAGGAGAATGCGCAGCATCATCACATCACCAAACAAAGGGGTGGAAGATATGAGAAGAAACCTAATTGCCGGCATTTTCCTGGTCAGCTCAACCGAGAAGTACACCAGCTGTGGTGGGTGGTATATACGAGCCACAATTCACCACCTACTTCCCCCACCCACCCACACCTTAAGCTTTATAAAGGGCATACTACCGAGAGTTTTTGTTGTTTCCTTCTCTTTCTCTTTTGCCTTTTTACTTTTTACATTCACCCCTCTCTTTTTTTCTTTCTATACCCAACCACACAGACACACATATCACTGCTTGCTTGCCCTATTCCTTTTACATATCCAAAAACATGTCCGCGACTACTGCTATCGTAGGTGAAATGACCACCACTGCTACTACTACTATTACGGCCACCACGATGGTTGAAGAAAAGAGACCTATGCCCGAATTGCCATGGAAACATACCTACCGACAAGGTTTTGCTACCATTGGTGAAGGTCGTTGCCGTGAACCTTTTTCCATGTACTATGAGTTGCATGGCACTGGTCCTAAAAAAGTGGCTCTTCTCATGGGTAAGAATGAATGACATTCTTTGTTGCCCCTGAGTTGTTTCGTTCTAAACATGATTGTAGGCATGAATTCACCATGCCAAGCTTGGGACTATCAGGCAAGTGACGAATATACCCCATTGGATGAAACGGAGTCTCGGGGTGTCGTGTGTGTGTGTGTGTGTGCCAGGGGAAGTTTCGTTGCCTATTCTAAACCTTATTGATATTCACAGACCACCCATTTCGGTGCCCAAGGTGAATACACGGTGCTGACTTTTGATGCTCGTGGCGTCGGCTGGACCGGTAAGTTAAAACAAAAAGGTTGACGTGCTAGCTCATATGAGTGCATGTGTGTGTGTGTGTGCGTGTGTTGTTGTGTGTTGTGTTTTTATATATATACCTCTACCCCAATGGCACTAATTTCATATGATATATAAAATAGGCGGCAGCTGGGATTGGTACAATTCCGAGGATTGGGCACGGGATGTGATTGATCTTTTGGATCACTTGGGATGGACCCAAGATGTCCATGCTGTTGGCCATAGTGCTGGTGGTCAAGCCTTACTCAAGACCTTGCTTCTTTCACCCGAAAGATTTCGTTCAGCTGCTTTGCTCAATACAACAGCAGGTGGGATTCGTCCTTTTACAGGTCCTTGGGTGTTTATCTCCAACCTTTTTGTTAGCGACAAGAGCAAGCAAATGGAACGCTTGATGCGTATCAATTATACTGAGGTATGTTATCTTGTCTCCCCCCCCCCACCCAACCCTTATCACCCACATTCCCCTGTACATCTAACAACCCAACCTTGGATGATAGAATTGGCTCAATGAGAAACCTGAAGATGGCTCGTATAATACCAATTTCGAGAAATTGCAAGCGGTAAGTAAAAGTAGTACCACGTCTCCATGGCAACATGGTCTCACTCATTCATATGATATGACAGAGAATGATAGCACGCAATAGCAGAACCAAACCACAAACGGCAGGATCGTTGGTGAGTCAAGCCGTTGCATCGCTTCGCCATTGGGTATCGGCCAATGACTTGTACAAGATCAAGGCAAGTGGCATCCCTACTCTTGTTGTAAGCAGTAAGTACCCGATTTCTTTTTCTTCTTTGGATGATACCTCCTCTTTTGGAGGGGGGTTGCCATCCAACGATGCAGTCTTTCTTTCTTTTCTCTCTCCACGCCTCATTCCTTTACAATACACTCATACCTCCATTTTCCGGTTTCTTTTTTCTCTCTTTGTGATGGATTGGATTTTTCTTTTCCAAAAGATTCATGGGACAACTATGCGTATTTGAGCCATAGCCAATATCTGAATGACATGTTGGAGTCATGGAAATTTGTCGTGTATGAGGATACGGGTCATAATGTGCCCACGTCGCGTCATAAGGAACTCAACCAGCTCTTGAGCGATTTTTGGAAGCATGCCGATAATGTGTGATGGTGTAAAGCTAACAATACACAAGACAAGGAGTAAATAACTTTATATATATAAAAGACGTTAATAAAGATAGTATAAGGAAGTCTGCGTTGGTATATATGACGTGCTGTGTGAGTGGATGATGGATAATAAAAAGTTGGTAGGTGCAGCAAAAAAGAAGCATGGTGATATGGTGGGTGTACTATTATATACTTGGGACTATTAATGTGATGATGGCATGTGTGTGTTTTCATTTTGGGGGCTTATGCGGTCTTGATGGCTGAAGTGCTAGATGTTGAAGGGGTGTGATAATTGATAAGTGATGTTGGCGATGGTAAAAGAGGAGCAGCATTTGCCGTTGTTGTTGGACGACTTTCTGGTGGTGATGACAAGGGTGATGAAGGTGAAGGTGGGGATGTAGATGGATGTTGTTGTTGTTGTGGCGGTGATAAGGCTAATGCTGCTTCTCTTTGTTGTTTATCCCTTCGTTGTTGTTCAAGATGCAAACGCATGGATACACCTGTATGTGGTGATGGCTCTGGTGGAGGCTGAGGATCACGTGGATAGTCCCCTACAGCATGATGTGCATGCGGAAACAAGCTACGAGTACTTGTCAAGCTATAGTTGACACCACCCAACAAGGCCATTGGATCGGTACGGCGTCGATTGCGACCAGGCTTGTTGAAGCGTGCGGGTTCAAATGTTTGCCATACGTATTGTGAGCATTTTTCAGCATTGGGCAAGTCTTGGATCATCTTTGCAATGGTGTTTTTACGTAAACCAAAAAAGTCAGGCCCAACAGGGTTGTGTCCATATTCCTGGTTGCGGATGGCAAATGCACGTCTATCATGTGTGTATGTGTGTGAGCAAGAAGTTTCATATGCAAGTTGGCCCGCGTGTTCTTCTCCTTACCTGACAATGATGGTCCATACGGTGGTCGGTGTTGGCCCTGAATAGGTAACTGGGCAATCATCAGCAGTGACTTCAAACTAATATTGCATCAATGTTAGTCGTGTTCAAAATTGATATTACAAGGCTGCAGCTGCTTGCTTGCTTGCTTACTTACCTTTGGCTCACTTCCGTTGTCCAAAATGCGACATGTGTATTGCGTATCACTCTTGGCATCCACCATGCTGCGATACCACCTAAATAGGGGATGTCAGTTATCATTGAGAAGGAGTGTTTCAGAAAAGGGGATATGTACTTACTTGCGTACGGTGTAGTTGACAGGGTAAATGTATCGTTGATTATGGTAAGCAGGGCGATCGTATACGATAGTACCGAGGTCTACCACTGTCCATGAATCAATTTCAACGGGTAAAGCATAGTTGCCATTGGCATCACGCTCCACATCATAGTAGGTGCGTACAGCTGTGCTAACTTGTTGGGTCATAGAAGGAGGGTTCTTGGCATTGTTGCGTAAATGATCACCATCATGGTTCTTTTTACGCTTCTTGTTGCTCGGTGTGTAAATGACAGGTATGGAAGAAGTAGTAGGAGCAGCAGTAGGAGGATAATGTTGGTGATGATATGGACCTTGTGCCACGTCCATGGCTTCCTTTTTAACAATGGCTGTTGTATTGGTACGTGTAAATGCTGATCGTCGTTCTGGATGTTGATGTGTCATGATAGGATCATGATGAATGCTGACGGCTGTGGTTGCAGCAATACCTGGTGGGGGTGTAACAGGATCACTTGAGCGATAATGAGGAGAACCATGTTGTTGTTGTGAAGTTGTGTAATATGCACCAGCAACCCCTGATCTATCTGGAAAAGCGCCATCAGCAGTTGCAACGCGTCTACGATATGGGTCATTTGTTTCCTCATGCTGTTGCATAATGGGAGGTGGTGGAGACAACATCCGTGAGCGTTTAAAGGGTCTGCTAATATCGTTGCCAGGGAAAATAGGCTCTGGTCGGAAAAGTTGGGTGCTCGATGTGATATTGTTGGTGTTGGGAGGTGGGAGAATGGGTGCAGGTGGTGATGGTGATGATGACAGATCACGTTTTTGGTTGAAATGGTCAGCATCAAAAGAGGATCGAGGGCGAAAAGGAGAGGATGAGGAGCTGTCGGTTGATAATAATGTAGAATCACGCGATGATGGAGAGTTGTTAAAATGTAGCATGGCAGCCGATGCAGGACGTGGCTGTTGTTGTTGTCGTTGCTGCAATGTGGCATTGATGCCACAGCTGCACGCCGACAATGGTCGTGGTGATCGGGGTGCATTTCTGAAACAGTCAAAATCTTGGTTTCTGAGAGCATTGTAAAATTCATCCTTGCCCCACTTGAATGTCTACATACATGTAGGTTACACATCAGTCATTGCACGATATTCAAATATGGCCCACGTGATGTGGTGCATGTAAAAAAGCTACATGCAATATAGGAGAAAAAAAAAAGAAACATGTATGAGCCCTTACAGGTTGTAATTCAATGTGGACTTGAATGTGATCATCACCACCATGAACCTTGGCATCCACATGTTTGCCTTGTATTGTCTTATCTCCGGCAGAGGGGCTACTGTCAGGACCATCAATGATCCATGATAATAATCCTTGGCCTTCCCAAATGAGACCTTGCTGCTTATCATTCAATGCGGTGCAAGTTTCTTGGAAATTGGCTGTATACACCGATAAATCATGTTCCTGGCAGATCATGTCGGGACTAATGGTTGCACTATTGTAAGCATGCGTGATCCTTGTGACATTAAAGCTTTGCCCACGTTACCTTGAGCTGAAGATGGACCAAAGGCAACGTTTAAGAGGTACAGGCACAAAGCCATTAGACACCTTGTCGGCTGTTGACAAGTAAAAGGCAGCTAATCTTGTAGTTGATCCACCTCGGAAAGAGTAATACACTTTCACTGTAATATGAATGTCAGCAAAGAGTATTCGCATGCGCCATGATTTTAATAAAATGACGAACCTTTCATCTGGTGCTGCTGTGAGTGGGGGCTTGTACTATGCGATGGAGGTGGTGGTGGTTGTTGATCCATGGTAATGGGGAACAAGGGGAAAAAGTGAAAGAAGAAAAAGGACAGAAAAGAAAATTAAAAGAGGAAGACCACGCTCTTGTTATAAAAAAGGCACAAAGCAGTTCAATGTATTTGTGTATGTTGTGGAGTGGATTTATGTGTTGTGTGCGTGCTTTTGTGTGTGTGTGTGTGTACCCTTGCTAACCTGCACCCCCAACTACTGAATATGGTTACGCTTGCTTTTCATCCATACATGTATTTTCTCAACCAGATCTCACTTTTTCCTAACAACAACCCCGAAATGATGGGTCCGCCTGAAATGAAAATCATCAAAGTGCGAAATTAATGGGATGCACGAGCGTGATGGCTCTTTTGTGATATGTTTAAATGCGTGTGTGTGTATGCGTGTGTGCTGTGTGAGCATCTTTCTGTCAACCTTTTTTAAGCAATGGCTGTGTACGCCGGTAACAAGCTTTGGGTGTTGATCATTTTACATGACTTATGTGCAAGAGGATCGTCATGAGCATGCAAAGTAGCGTTTGTGATACAGTGCATGTAAAAGGCCACGCATACACACATATGAAGTGTTATTAAATCCGCGCACTTGTTCGCTGCCACAGCCCGAAAAAGCTGACGTCGGGCATTGGGGGTCAACCATTGACAAAATATGCTTGCTTGTGGGCTTTGGGTCGATTGGATACCTGTTATGGTAGTTCCAAATGCTCTTTTGAATGGGGTCACGCCAATCGTTTCAATGTCGTACGGCTTTCACCAATGATCCCGATTGATGATGTTGAGATCTTCATTTGGTTACCCTTGTCCCACGTTAATCTTTCGTTCTTGTTGGTCGCCTCAACCCAATCATGGATTCATTGTAACAGCGACAGCCACACACACACACACACACACGCACACAACAACTGTACACCCTTCATTTACAATAATGCTACGCATGGTGGTATGAGACATGCATGTGGGGGGCAACTTGAAATGTGAAAAAGAATGAAGGGATGATACACAGTTGAGCACGCGGGCGACCCTTGTTTGGGGTGAAATTAAAAAGAAAAGGGTTAGCTTGTAATCACGCATACCACCCACACTCACACTCACACACAAAAAAAGCATACGCAAGCACTTGTGTGAGTGTCCGCTCATGACAATAAGCATATGCCACCGTGCTCTGCGTGGAAATGTCTGTGAGTATGAAAAATGGTATGGACGATCCAATGACAGTAATCGAACCAAATGAAAAACGAATACTCGGATCTTTAGCAAGCTGTCATTTCCCAAAACGTGCAGTTGTTGAGAAATCGCAAATGCTCCCTATTTGGTTAACCTTATTCTACCCCGTCCCCCCAACCAATCGATGGCATAAACCTTGTTTTTCATAATACTTGTCGGACGATGCCAACCAGCGAGTATGCTGAGAGCGGGCAATGACAAAGATCTACACGCCAAAATTCTGCCCTGTGTAATGACAGCTCGACAATCACACATACATTTACCATTTTTCTATTCCTGTGTGCGGCGTTAATATCATCATCGGTGCACATTAATGCGCGCATGTGCGGATGTGTGTGTGTGTGTGTGTGTGACCCATACCTCGCCCCCAGCGACTTGAGAAAGGATAACAGAGCAACGAACAACATGCAGCAGCCTTCTTGTGTAGGGTCCCAGGATCGTCACGAGGGGGAAAAAAGATATCCTTGTTCTCGAAAACAAACATTGTGCTAATGTGTGAATAAGCTTTGGTATAAAACGATGTAAACATTGCACACACATACGCTTGTACACATACAAACCTATCCATCCCGGATGGAGCCGAGTGAGCGATTGGCCTCCTTTTCCTACATTGTATAGGCAGCTTGCCCCCTTATTGCTTCTATTACATTGCCACGTGATGCAGGTACTATTCCACAGTAAGCGGATGAAGAAGCCAAGTGGTATGGCAATGATAAATGTTGCAAGGGGGGAGTATGCAGCAAGCTCTTGTCAACATGCATATGCCCTCTTAGTAGGATGTGAATGTTCCAGGTGCATGATGAGACACTTTTTTTCTCCCTCGATATGCATGTGCATGCGTAATGTGCATACGTTTGAATTGTCATTATACCTGCATAGAAGATGCCACACGTACACACACTGCGGCATCTTGTGCAACATGTTCGGCTGTAGCAGCAAAAGGGAGTTATCCGTGGCAAAATCCTTCCGAAGGCGCGCGTACCGTGGGCAAAATCATAGAATGATAAATACAAATGCAAACCCCATTTCTTCATCTCATCCATAATCCCTATCTAAGCAGGCGCATTTTTGCCATGCGAATGGTTTACCTTGTTGTATCGTCACTTGTTGCTATATTGTTCGGCGTTGTTGAAAAAAAAGTGGTGCCAGATTTTTTCTCGCTCTTGGGTAACATTATCATCCATGTATGACGATCTCCGTATGTCGTTAGGAAAGGATACATGACGCCGGGATCATCCATGTTCCACAGTTTGTACAAAAGGATGCTCATGTCCTGGATGAAACACATGCACAATCACAAACAACAACTTGTATTCGAAAAGATCGCGATAATGAGATCCGTCATCGGCATGATGATTTCATTCGCGATTGACATTCTGCATTGAAAAGAAAAACATTGCCATCGGCATCATCATCAAAGTGACGAATGAGGTGATCTTTTTATTTTTTTGGTTCCCCTCATCTTTGTTTGCGTTGCTTTGCTGTTACGAACTTTATTAAAGTCGTCAATGACGACGACGATGACGATCGTGAAAGTGTATAAAAGAATGGGCGTATTCCTTTACCCAGGTTAGTATCACCCAACCGGCAGTGTATCAGTCAGACGCCCAACTCACATGTTCACCTAAAAGTAAACATTAAAGCCATGACAGCAATCAACAATGCAAGTTGGTTTCACATGACATATGCATTTTCCATACGAGGTAATGCAAATGGTGGCGTAACAAGCGTGTGAGCTGTGTCCAATAAAAATGTTGCAAGTTGCACACAACAAGGATGGCGGATCCAAATATGCATCTCACCACACGACTTGTTTCATTCTTTCCTTGGATCTCTCCTCTCTTTTGCTAAATGTGGGAAACAAAAGTTACGCGCGTTGTACTTTATTCATGCTCTCTCTCACACCCACCCCACATATTCACATTAATAATCGTATATGTTCCTGGTACCAGTAGTTGCATCAGCCTCACCAGGATAACCTTAAAAGAGGATGTACCACCCTTTTGCATAACAAATAGCGGTATATTCGGCTTGTAAAGGCGTTGCATAGCAACGGTATCAGGGGGTTACGCTTATCAGCAGACAATGCAACCGGATCTGGCTGATTTTGATCATGGTCATCCGCGAGTAGTTGTGAGTACAAATTACCTGCCTTGATCCACGCCGTATCCAAAACCATCATTTACAATGAATTTCTCCTTTGGTGTTTCATGTAAGCATCGTCACCATGTATAACAACGTTATACAAAAAGAACACGTTCGAACCACCACCATCACCAGCACCATCAGCATCCCAATGCTTTTGCTTGTGGTATATATGAAAGGTGATCAAGATGTGTGATGTGAAACCTGTACGACATTGAATGTGGAAAATGAAAAGCTGCCTTTTATGAACACCAAGAACGACGACGACGAAAAATGACGCACAAGACCAGGTGGAGCTGAGTTCACGGGTTGCTGTTACCCATTACGGCAACAGCTGATCGTCAATGATATGCTCCACACATTCAAGGTGGGATATTAAAAAGTTCGATGGATTATTGTGTCAGCATGCACAATAGCCATTTTTGCATATCATCAATGTTCCTCAATGATTCTATGCTAATCTATTTTCGATGTGCTTGCGTGTTCAGCAATGCTTATTCGAACTGCGACGTAATATTTTAGAACTCCCATAGGGTGTCTCTTGTTTTATTGTCTCCTCCAGGATCAATTGATCGACGACCCACATCTCCATGAACCGTGTACTACCACCGATATACAAACGGGATTCAAAAAGAAAAGGAAGGGCGGAGCATATGATAATGAACGTTCTTTGTTGGTGGAAAGGATGAAATAGGTGATCTTTTTATGCATGTGTTGCCACGGATTCCCACCACATATTAAAGCTGAGATGCTGTAGTTGATGCTGCTAACCATCTCTTGGTTCAAACGATCAACAACCTGCCTGAGTGAGCAATACCGGAGTCAACGGGGCCGAGCGAGCTTGATAACGAAGCCAGCGTTAGCAACACCGCCAACAGCAATAATTGCCAAGATCACCATGAGCATGGTTGTGTGCATTTTTGCACATACCTTGATGCTTGTACATATAAACGACATGTACGCGCAAATAAACATGGATCAGACAGTATACCTTTGAACATCCTGGAAGATCTTTAAATGTCTTTTAGTGAAGCATCACGTCTTTTGATATTTCTGAATGCTTTCATATGCAAGCATCATCACCCCTTTGAAATGTGATGCTATACCTTTGAATGTGCTTAAAGTACTGTGCATGCAAGGATCATGCTTCAGAATATCCCACTACTCTTCGAATGGGAAAGACTCCTTCTCGTTGGTATAAATCGATGGGTAACAATGAGCGATGCCATTATGCCTTTGACAATGAAGGATGTTGTCACTCGCGCATTCCTAATTTGGAACTCGTGACGGGATTAATGCATGAAAACAAATGATGATGGAATTACAAAACCTCTTTTGATTTTGGTATTAGGAGATGCCTCGTTTATGTAGCAAGTTGTCTATGAAAAAAGATGGCTACTATGAGGTTTCCTCAAGTTCTTCGCATTCACTCGTATAGTTAACCAAGGCTACCAAAGTCTTTTATTGAAACTAGTAGTAGTATGGGGTGAAAGACAAAATAAAAGAGGGAGTGCACATCTCAAAAGATGCCACTAAAGGCAACATACAGTTGTAATTTGTGTGTAGTGGCATTTTTACAGATGACAAGCATACTTGCATATGTAGAATCATTTAGCAGTGCGCGGTGCCTCAATAGCTGATATCCATCAAATGGCTGCTGATAGCGGTCGCAATAGCTTTTCGTTCTCCTCCCAACATTGTCGCCATGGCCCAACAGATCAAAGTGTAACTACAATTGTGAACAATCCACCAACAGACAACTGAATTATAGACCATAGTCTTGTCACCGGATCAGCCAATGGAAAGCATGCAGAACTTTTTGGCAAAATCAAGACGTTGCACGAAAAGTACGGCCCATTCGACGTCGTGTTGAGTACAGGCAACTTTTTCTCAGAGGATCCCAACGCCGATCTTGGCGATCTCTTTGGCAACAAGATTGACGGTACGTTGTATATCCATTTGTGCGCGCGTGTGTGTGTGTATGCATAGATAGCTCATATAAGCAACGTGTCTAGTTCCCGTGATTACATACTTTATTACTGGAGACCGTCCACTTCCTCCTACTGTCGCATCTCATATTGAAGCCAATGATGGTGAAGTCTGTGCCAACTTGTATCATTTGGGAAATCGTGGCAAGCTTCAGACTGCCAGCAAGCTCGAGATTGCCTTTTTATCCGGTGTTGAGGAAGGAGGTGATGGTGTCATGACATTTACTCAAGCGGATGAGGAAGCATTACGCAACACACCTATGCCAGCCATGTCGAATCCTGGTGTGGATATCTTGTTGACGCATCAATGGGCAGAAGGCATCGAGAGAGCAAGCGACAATTGCAAGGTTACACCTGCGCATGCATCATCCGCTATTGCACGCGTGACAGCTGCATTGAAACCAAGATACCATTTCGCTGCCGCTGAGGGCAAGTTTATGGAGCGTGAACCCTACAACAACATTACTGGTTTTGGTCCTCCAGATGAACGTGCTGCTGAACATGTCACTCGCTTTGTGGGATTGGGTGATGCTCTTAATGCGGACAAGCAAAGAGTAAGTTTATATATGGGATATCACGAGAGATGTGATACTTATACGTTGTGATAGTGGTTCTACGCATTCAGTTTACAACCTTTGAAGCAAATGGATCCACAAGAATTGAGCAACAAGCCAGCCAACACCACCGAGTGCCCATTCTCTGAGAAGGCTGCTGCTAGTGCTGCTGCTGCTGGACATAAGCGATCATTGGATGCTGCTAACGAGGGTGGCAACTTTTTCTGGGGTGGTCAACAAGAGCAACCTACTAAGCGTCAAGGTAAAGGATAAGGAATTACGAGGAAAATTCAAGTACTTATTGGATGACCATACTCTATAGCTCTACCAGGCAGCGATGAAAAGTGCACAAAGTGTGGTGAACAAGGGCACCCTGCACAATACTGTCCAACCAAGCTCCGTGAAGGTTATATTTGCAACAAGTGCAAGCAGCCTGGTCACTTTATTCAAATGTGTCCTTATCGTATGCCAAGTATACCCGATGGATATGTATGCAACATCTGCAATGAGCCTGGCCATTTGAAGCGAGATTGTCCCAAGGGTAAAAGAGCACCTCCTACTGCTGAGGAAATGGCTGAAAAGCGTAAGCAATCAAAAAGCGGCGATGAAGGCATTTCAATTGACCACCTTTGGATTATAGTGAAATCATGCTGGTTTTGTCTCTCGAATCCCGATTTGGAAAAGCATCTTATTGTATCCATCGGCAGTGAAATGTATGCCACGCTTGCCAAGGGTCCAGTTACCTCATCTTCCGATGCCAACAGTATCCCTGGTGGTGGTCACGTGTTGTTGATCCCAATCACGCATTATCCAACGCTACGCCAAATTCCTGATGAAGCACGACCCAATGTGATGAATGAAATCCAAAAGTACACGGATGCCTTGAAAAGGTTCTATGCTGAGCATGGGCACGACATGGTGGTGTTTGAAGTCTCTCGACAATCCCTGCATAACATCGGGCATGCTCATCTCCAAATTGTCCCGATACCCCATGATAAGAGTGATTTGCTCGAACAGACAATCAGGGATGAAGCTCAAAACCAAGGTGTCCAATTCATGGAGAGGCTACCGGTAAGCTGAGGATCATTGGTATGGAGAGAGAGAGAGAGAGAGAGAGAGAGAGAGACTCATGGCATGCATGTTTTCGATAGAAAAATCCAGACGCCAATTTCTTCAAAATCGATTTACCCAGTGGCAAGTCACTTGTACATATCATTAGACCTCGAGAACGCTTCAACCTTCAATTTGGTCGACTCGTTGTTGCGAAGTTGCTTGGACATCCAGAGCGAGAGGATTGGAAAACATGTGCTCAATCTCAACAAGAAGAACGGGATGATGCAAACGCATTCAAAGAAGCCTTCAAGACTTTTGATCCATCCATGTAATTTATATGCACACAAATATTGTCAATACAATTGTTGTTTTATTGTGGACATCGTCCTATGTGCTGGAGAATATCCTTGTTCAATGTGGGGGGGACATACAACTAGTTAAAGGTAGAGGTTTCAAAGTGGACATCAGAGACAAAAGAACCATGGAAAGTGAGACAGCTGAATGGACCAATATCGCAACGACCAAGTTCAACCATGGTCTTGGCATCCACAATCACCAATGCGCAGCTATCGGTATCCTTTTCGGGTTGAGAAATGTTGGCAAAGCTGAGGAGGACACCATCATCACGATCGATAGCACCAGGACGAGGAACAAAGACCGGCTCAGTAAACATGCACCTTTCATGATCCAACTTGATTGTTTCGCCTGTTTCAACATCCACCTTCACTAAGCTAAAACGTCCTCCATCGGTAACAGATGTTGGTTGCTCAAGCTGGCAAGCCCACAAGTACTTGTAGGGTTGAAGATCATCCAATGGGTTGTGACGGGGGAACTCGATATTGCGCGTGATCATGCGATGAGAAGCCGTGGCATTCGAGGTATCTTGTTCGTTGAATTCGAGATGATAGCGCTCAAGGTTGCCAAATTCAAATTTGCCAGGTGGAACGGTTAAGCCATTGATCTTTTTGGATACAGGTGGAGATGATGTCGAGCTCTTTCGCATGAGGCCCAATTGGCTAGTTTGCAGAACAATATCGCCATCGTACCATGCACATGCATCTAAATCGAGTACGGAAGTGCCGTCTTGAAGCTTTCTATCCCATGCATTGCTGGTGTGGAAGATAAAGTAAGGATCCACAGGCAAGGTGACCACGTGACCGCCACCATCACGACGCACCACATGCAAGTATCCAGGACCCTCTTCACGCCATGCCATACCGCCCACAAACGATTTGGAAAGCAGCATGTCCATACCACCGCGTGTCAAGTACAAAGGTGCTTCAGGCAAAATGACATAGTTTTCAGTCAACCAAAAGGCGTGGATGTAAGGAGGTTGGATGCGTTCTTGTTCCGCTTCAGGCACACCAGGTAATTTTCGATGGGTGATATCAGCCAATACGGTGGTGGAGTGATCCTTCTTGATGCTAAACACGGTGATGTGGCTTTCAGGACCCAAATGAAGAGTAAAGTTGAAGGTTTCACCCGTCTTAGCATCCGCCTTATGATGAGAGGCAGAAAGTTGACCATCGAATCGCTCGTCATAGGCAGCATAGTTGAACAAGTGCTTGGGTTCTAATCGAATGTTGTGTTAGCATACATAGGAGCATAATTGTAGCATTAAATAAAAACTCACCTAATGTAACAGAATGCACACATTGTAATCTATTGCTATCGGTTTTGGAAACCAAGACCATGGGATCCGTTTCATCCTTGCCAAATTGCTCCGGAAGGGGATAGTTGGGAGTGACAGTGACATTGACATTACGTGAAGATGGATCTTGTATGACACCGCTAACGTTAGGCGTGCCTTGTTGAGAAGCTCCAGATGTTGCATCCATGGTGGGCTCATGTTGTTTTTCAGGCAAATGTCCATAATAAATTTGATGCGATGGATTCTTCAACGTGCTAGCTTCAGCACCTTCAGCGGTCATACGAGAATTGTATTGCACTGTGCTATCAGCACCCTTGATCTCGAATCGATGAACAAAAGCAAGGCCATCAAATGCATGGTGGATGACATGTTGGCTACCATCCTTGTTGCCAAGGTTAAATTTGCCAGGACCTAAAACATTGGATGCATTCAGTAATTCAATCATAAAAGGTACAAATCTTGTATAAAAAACGCATACCAATACGGTAGAGAATGCCATTGAGCCACTCAGGGATCTTGCCTTCAACTTGCAAAGTCACTGGATCACGAAATTCAATTGCATTGGTAAACTTGATGTTTTCCTTTTGGAAATCACGCAAGAGGTCAATAGCTTCGTTGTTAATCGCCATAATAATGATTGTACTTGAATTAATAAACCCTGATGACACGTAGAGCATCCATCACTTTTATACTGTCGTTTCAATGATTTTGATTCTGGTTGAGTAAGCTGTATTCGAACACATTTCATTGGCTTTCGGACATCATCTTCGGTGAATTATAACCTTTTTGGGTGTGGCAAACGTTCAGCAATCCCGGAAACTGGAAAGCTATGCTTTCATTCGTCACAGCCTGTGACATTGAAATACAATGGATAGCCTAGCAGATTACCTTGGTTATAGTATCGTTGCAAGATTAGGTTCACATTCTTGAGCATGTTAACAACATCCTGCTCACTACGTACATGTCTTTCAGGCGTAGGCGATGATGTAGATTATGCTAAAAGGAGTACATCTTTTATTCTGAAAGAAGTAAAAAAAGCTATGTACACATGTATAGCTTGGCGAGGATTTGATTCAATGCTTGGTCTGCATTCACCTCCGTTATGGCCAAAAGACCCGCTATATGTCTCGCACATTACTGCCGCACCTCGTATCCTTCATTCATATTGGGATCCTTTTCGTCTTATGGCAATTGGATGATAGAGACACACACATGTTTTCTACGGACACGGCAATATGAGATGATCGTTGTGTACCACATCGGTATCAACCAATATACGTACCAAGATCATGAGCCTTTAAGAATTGGCAGGATAATCCTGTTTGCAAAAATGGCCCGAAGCTATCAACCGCTGCACCTTCATGTTGTCGGTAAGACACACCACACGTTGACGGTAACTTGAATTCGCAAAAACACGTGATTCATGGCTAACATGTAAGACATTGACTCGCTTTCCGACCTTCACATTTGTCTTTCCCCTTTCAATCCAGAAACCAATCAAGTGATCCACATCTTGCTCATATGACGTTGAATCCAATCTTCATTCAATGAAAAAGTAGAAGAATAGTATAGGGTAGTGTGGATGTCTATAAACTAATACTATGATAAAGGCGACAGCGTTGCAAATTGATAAGTATACGGGTGCATCACATCGAGGCAACAGGAATAGTTGTGCCATTGTATTGCTGGAGAATAGCTGCTGCATGATTTGTGCCTTGAGTACTCCAATGCCATCCATTGCTGAAAAAAAACACCTTCTTTCGTCAAAGATACAAGCCCATTCACCAATGCCATCCCCAATCCATCCTCATCCTCAGCCCGTATCCAGTGACATGATCCATGGTTCCTGCTGACGACGCGAAAAGCAACCAACACAACATCCCAGGACTTCTTCCTCATCACTGCACTTGACGCTTGCATCCATCCATCCATAACCATTGCAAATCCAACATGTTGGTTGAAAGGAGCCATGTGATCGCTTCCTTTTCCATCCTGCTGTTGATCCATCTTTTTCTTGGTCATTTCCATCGCAGCTCAACTAGGTGTTGCGGCGTACTTGATAGCTGATATGGCATCATCCATTGGAATCCTTATGTACCAAAGCAAGTTGCTACTCGTAAATAAAGTTGCTGCTATACAATGGCTATCTGCTGTTGACGTGATGACGGCCACAAGGCAGGCTGCTGCAGGTAGCTTGAGACAATGGAATGAAGACTTTCCTAATGGTAGCTGCTGTCAAGTTTGGTCGCAGCAAAGGAGTGTGCAAGAGCGTGTGTTGTAGTAGAGTGACAAGAATGTGAATGTCGTTTGAGACAATAGAGTAGATAGCAACTGCTGGAATGAATGCCGTTACGTTTGACCGTGGCAGATGAGCGTGCTGGACAGTGTGTAGTATCAAAAAAGGCGTGTTGCGGGCGTGTACATGCCGAGGGCTTTGCCATTCAGTCAAAGACAATCGAATCAAGGCAAGTGTACGATTGGCATGATGGGTTGAGACAGGACAATCGTTTGCAGATGGTAGTTGTATACTTGAATGGGACAACAGTTGAGAATGGGAGGAAGAGAACAATGAGCTGAGAGTGGAAGAAGTGGAGATTCAAGTAGGCTGAGCTGTCGGACACCTCTTGTATAAATGCATGAACACTGTACACCAATACTTGATACTGGGATTACCCCTCTCGAACCTGAAACTTTCACACAAGATGCTTTTGGAAATGCTGATCGACATTGTCTTAAGAAAGATCACATGTTCATTTGTTAAAATTGAATTGGAGGGTATAATGTGGGATTTACTATGGAGGTTGGAAAGCAGGTCAGCGCCGGATTCATGATTATTCGAAATAGTATGTATTACCTTGGGATTCCCCATTTTGATCTTGAAACTTTGTCAAGAGGTTCGCTGGGACATGCTGATCAACCTCATTCATTTTGAATTAGTAGACTTCATTGTGAAGATTTAAAATGCGGGGCGACCCAAATGGTGGATGATGGGAACAAAAGAACGGAGGGTCCACCGCCCCGAAGTTGCTCGCCACCAACTTGAAAATTGGTCAGGAGGGTGCTCTCGAGCATGCTGATCAACTTTTTCTAATAAAAACCTCACGCTTTATTTTGAAAATTTGGAATGGGAGCGTCCAAAAGTTTGAAAGACGGAGACATTCGCAGGGTCTGTCTTTCAAGAATTGACATGTTCTTTGTTTGGGCGTAGCTCAGTCAAATCAGCTCGGATCAGGACACTTGAATCATGGAAATAAACGTCTGGAGCAGGAGCATAATTCCACTGTTATACAATTAGCAAAAGTTGAGATTGAGAGAAAGTGGCTGTTAGCTGGCAATAGATGATAATGAATAAAGTATCATCCATCAATCTTTCCAGTCATGCAAAACAGCTGAGTTACACAAAGAAGTCCTCCTGCATCTTTCGCTCTATCAGGCCAAGCTGCTTCACATTGAACAAAGACCCACTCTTCATATAGCATCCCGCTTACACCATATGTAAAACATAAAGACAGTCATATCTCAAGATTTTACTATCAAACGTGAGGTCTTTAATAGAACAGTGTTACTCGGCGGGGTGAAAGCGATCTTGTGTCAAACTATGAAGTCCATCGTGGCCATTCCCAGATTTCGCAATGTCGCCACCAGCCAAAGTGGGTCGACCTCTTGAATTTTTTTTCGTCGACGAGCAAAAATATTTTTGGCTGGTGGCGACATTGAGTGAATCTGGGAATGGCCACGATGAACTTCATACTTTGACACAAGATCGCTTTGACCCTGACGAACAACACTGTTCTATTAAAGAACCCGCGTTTGATTGTAAAATCTTGAGTTATGACTGTCTTTATGTTTTACATATGGTGTAAGCGGGATGGATTTGCTTTCTTCTAATGGATGCTGTCGACTGCATTAACGGAAAGATGGAGAGCTAAATGAAATGGAGCTTGGTGGTTACACATACGCGTCATTGGCGCGTTGCTGCATAAATGGATGATGGGTACCTTTAGGAAGTACGGCGGAAACAGCATCCAATCATGCAATACCTATTATTATCAGAATGAGAATGGCAATGAAATCATAGGGAGGCACTTTGTATGTTTGGTAGAGGAGTCATGTATTATTGGTTGCACAAATCCAGGAGTCAATCTGCATATAAAGTTACAAGAACGCACAGACTTGGTAGACGGCAATCCCGCCAAAGTAAAATGATGTATAGCTTGATTACAAGATCGAGTGATTGTGGCTACTATTGACCCAAGTGTATAGGCTACTGCTGAGGTACATATTTACAACAGTAACTGTAGCAGCAAGCGGGGTGGCGTGTTGTGCACAAATTGGGAAGCGGGAGGAGCAACGAACAGCCACTTCTTCTCCACTCCCACTTCACAAAGCAAGGTAAGGTTGTCTCCATTTACAAACTACGTCGCATTAACGCCGGCATTCCTTTCAATGTACAGCGTCAGTTGGGTTAACAGGTGGTCAATGGCGTCTCTTTCTAGTTGCAGACATTCAACAACAAGTACGCACGCGATCTACCCATGACTCAAGCTTCCATTGCAATACAACGTGTACGTTCAATCCCTCCACTACTTTATTATTCAATTTGGACAATGTGGTGCTAATGTTCATGTGTAGTTTGCTGTTCTCTCGTTTATACAAGACCCAATGAGGCGTCGTGTGCATTCCTTACCGAGTTGTCCACAATGAGAGTTCTGAAGACGTCTTTACATTGCCTCTTTTGGGTATGCTGACAACAAAAGCGTGTGGATTGGTTTTACTTGTTATCTCACATTGCGTTTATGGTAGGTTGAACATGTTGGATGATGGTACCTCTGGCAGCAACAGGATACGGATCTCAAAGCAAGAATGCTGTATGGTTGGCTCAATGGTATGCATGGTATTGGATAAACAAAGCAAAACCTGTTAATTAACGAACCTTACAGTGAAACAGCAGCAGCACATACTGGATCGGATGGATACAAGGTTATTTGCAAGCATCAGTGGAATGATATTGGGAATACCACAAGGTAAGAGGTTCATTATGGGATTGATTGGATTCAAGTGAACTTACCAAACGCCATACAGTGGCAGAGCCTCTTTCGGCGATACTATTATTATCAAGGCTGCACGTCAAGGATGCCATTGTATAGTACTGTGCTCTCCTGGGGAATTTTGGCCCGGAAACAGTGTGACTCAAGATGCGATGGCAAGGCCAATTTGAAAAGGCATCCGCTGTGCACACGGCCTTCATCCAAGTGCGGCTATTGATTTCCTTGCCTACAGAGAGAAGGTGGATATCTCTTATGATGCCAATTTCAGGATCCAATGAGAGTATAGTACATATGGTGGCATACCTTGACGCTGCAGGTTGATTATTGTATTGCCTTCGGATGGTGTATTTGGTTGCAATTCCTTGTGATCACCATGGTTCAGGGCGTCGTGTACCTTCCTTACCGAGTTGTCCACAATGAGAGTTCTCAAGACGTCTTTGCACTGCCTCTTTTGGGTATGCTGACAACAAAAGCGTGCGGATTGGGTTTGCTTTTTATCTCACATTGCGTTTATGGTAGGTGAACATGTTGGATGATGGTACCTCTGGCAGCAACAAGATACGGATCTCAAAGCAAGAATGTTGTATGGTTGGCTCAATGGTATGCATGGTATTGGATCTACAAAGCGAAACTTGTTAATTAACGAACCTTACAGTGAAACAGCAGCAAGACAACATGGATGGCATGGAGATACGGTTTTCATTTGTGACAAGAATGCTATTGAGCAGCACCACAAGGTAAGAGGTTCATTGTGGGATTGATTGGATCCAAGTGAACTTACCAAACGCCATACAGTGGCAGATCCTCTTTCGGCGATACTATTTTGATCAATCAGCACGTCGAGGATGTCATTGTATAGTACTATGCTCTCCTGGGGAATTTTGGCCCGGAAACAGTGTGACTCAAGATGCGATGGCAAGGCCAATTTGAAAAGGCATCCGCTGTGCACACGGCCTCCATCCAAGTACGGCTATTGATTTCCTTGCCTACAGAGAGAAGGTGGATATCTCTTATGATGCCAATTTCAGGATCCAATGAGAGTATGGTACATATGGTGGCATACCTTGGCGCTGCAGGTTGATTATTGTATTGCCTTCGGATGGTGTATTTGGTTGCAATTCCTTGTGATCATCATGGTTCAGGGCGTCGTGTGCCTTCCTTACCGAGTCGTCCACAATGAGAGTTCTCAAGACGTCTTTACATTGCCTCTTTTGGGTATGCTGACAACAAAAGCGTGTGGATTGGTTTTACTTGTTATCTCACATTGCGTTTATGGTAGGTTGAATATGTTGGATGATGGTACCTCTGGAAGCGACAAGGTACGGATCTCAAAGCAAGAATGCTGTATGGTTGGCTCAATGGTATGCATGGTATTGGATCTACAAAGCGAAACTTGTTAATTAACGAACCTTACAGTGAAACAGCAGCAAGACAACATGGATGGCATGGAGATACGGTTTTCATTTGTGACAAGAATGCTATTGAGCAGCACCACAAGGTAAGAGGTTCATTGTGGGATTGATTGGATCCAAGTGAACTTACCAAACGCCATACAGTGGCAGAGCCTCTTTCGGCAATACTATTATTATCAAGGCTGCACGTCAAGGACGTCATTGTACTGTACTTTCCTGTGGAGCTCTACATGTTGTGCCCGGGGACAGTGCGACTCATGTTGCGGCCTCAGGGATTTAAAAATGCATCCTCTGTTCGCACGGCTCCATCGTTTTACGGCTATTGATCTCCTTGCCTTTAGAGAGAAGATGGGTATCTCTATTGATGCACTTCATCGCGTCGATCCACAGGAGAGTGCCGGTACTATGACGTTTCTTTGGCTGTGCGCTTTTATTATTACTTTACATCCTGATGGCCTATTTGGTTCCCAAGTCTGCGGGTGATGATTGCCTGATTCAGGTATGTATGAATCTCATGGTTTTTGGAGACCTTTGCTGAAACGTCTACGGGACCATTGCAGAGAGCTGCTTGTCTTTTGGTGCTTTGGAGTTTACAAGATCACAGCTATGATTGCTAAGTATTGTTGGATGAGTTTGGACAATTGTTTATGGTGCATCTTTTATAGGTAAATCATGTCAGCCATGGGGAAGTGTTTATGTCTTTTGGTGGTGTCAACATTTATTGCGTCTCTGGTGGTTGGTTACCAAGCAACGGGCGATTTCTCCAGGAGAGTGCCAGCCAATGCAAATCTCTTGTGAGTGGGTTGTATCAGCAACAAGTAACAGCATCCATATCGGTGGTGTCATATCAAGCTTTATCCCATCACCTGGTTCTTCTCGTTATCGGCAATTCGGTGGGCATCCTGAAATGAAGGTCTCTATCGGTTGATTACATCAGCAACAAGGAACAACTTGTATATCTTTGGTATCAGCAAGCTTTCTATCTCTTGGTGGTTCTGGTTATTGGCGATTCCTTTGATGGATCTCTACAACTATACGTGTCTTATGGATGGATCATGTCATCAACAAGCAATGAGAACCCGCGTTGACATCTTTGGTGTTGCCAAGGTCATTCATGCATCTCCTCAAGGCATTCATCGTCAAGCTGCATTCGATTTCCAATGAAAAACAATTGCCATTCACATCGCTCTTTAGCCATATGTACGTCACTCCGCAGCTAGGATCTGGTTTGGGCTTTTCGATGCACAATGTTTTCTCGATTTGCATGTGGTCTTGGGCAGCAAGGATTGTCTCGTTGTCTCTCTTTGGAAGGGCTCTTCGGCATCATGTAAGTATGCTATCTTTGGTGGTATCAATATTACTAACCTTCTCACTACATATGCCCATAAAGTATCGTCCATCGCTTTCAAGCCGAGTGCCAACGAGCGGGTCTTATCAACAAGCGGAGGATTGCAAAGAATCGGCTTGATTTGGATATCAGCAGGATTTTGTGCATATGGCTATCATTGGTAAATAGAGGATGGTCCGTTTTTTGTCTCCAATCCCAACCACCATCCTTTTTTATTATAGTGTGCGGGCTATTCAGCAAGCTACTTGTCTTCTGGTGCATTGGGGTTTCTATGGATGCAGCTGTCATTGGTAAATAATGACCCATTCTTTCTTTCAATGCCTACTAACACCCTCTTTCATGTGGGTTATTCAGCGAGCTACTTGTTTTGTTCCCTTTGGATTCTTGATGGATTCAGCTATCATTGGATGCCAACATGTTGACGTGCATATGGCAATCATTGGTAAATGATGATCCGTTTTTTGCTACAACCCCAACCAACCTCATCTTTTATTATAGTATGTGGGCTATTCAGCAAGCTACTTGTCTTCTGGTGCATTGGGATTTCTATGGATACAACTGTCATTGGATGTCAGCATGTTTCCGTGCATCTTTTATAGGTGAATCATGTCAGGGTCAAGGAGAGACGTCTATAGCATCCTTCAGTGTCAGCTTGCCTTATTACATCGTTCGATGGTTTTCGTTACTATACCAACTATTGGACACTTCCTTTTATTTGCATTTGCAGCGGCAAGGCAACAAGTTCTATACCTTTTGGTGTCGCCAAGTTTTATCTCGTCTTATTGTGGTCCTAGTTGTTGACAACCCTTTCAATGGATATCCTTCTACGCATGCCTATTATCGGTGGATCATATCAGCTACAAGCAAGAAGCAGCAATGAGCAACAGAGCCCACATCTTTAGTGTCAACAAGATGACTCGATTCTCTGGTGGTTCTCGTTATTGGCCAATTGCTTTCGAAAGCATTCAGCAGCGCATGTCCCTTATGGATGTATCACATCAGCATCAAGCAGCGGTGTTACGTGTCTTTTTGGTGCTATCAAGATTTATCCATCGCTCAAGGCATTCGTAGTCAAGTATCGCTCCCTTCCTTTGGAGATTCGTTGGTATGGATAGCATTGGATCTACAATACAAGTGCTGTCAATTAACGCGCTTTACAATGGAATAGCAGTAGCATGATATGGATGGCATGAAGATACAGGTTTTATTTGTGGCAAGAGTGCTATTAAGTAGTACCACAAGGTAAGAGTGTTCATTATGATGGGTTGGTGTTGCATGCAAATGCACTTACGATGGATGGTATGTAATGGCAGGATCAAGAAGGCTTTTCTTTGGCTATATCACTGGCACGTCAAGGATGTTATTGTACTGTGCTGTCTTGGGGAGACCATGCTGCCCTTTGGATACATGTGCTCATGGTGCTATGACTTAGACCAATTCAACGCATCCTCTGTTCACTGTTGCAGCATGCGGATCCACGGCTCAGGTGGTGTCAAACTCGACTGGTGAGGGGCTCCGGTCACCGTTAAATCCGGTGTTTTGGCATCATGCTTCCTTCTGGAAGGGGCTAGTAGGCAGTACTGGTACCTTGGCATTCTATGGCATTGCACCTTTTATATTACTATTATCTCTGCCGGCGGCAATTCTAGTGGATCACTGCACCCTGATTGAGGGATCCAATTACGTATCATTCCAAAACTTTGTGCTGAAATGGAAGTATGCCTACTGACACGTGGCTTTTCTAGATGGAGCACCTTGTATTGAAGTTCTCAGGATTATGGCTATCATTGCTAAGTATTGTTACATGTGTTGGGAAAACTGTTTACCGTGCATGGTTTATACGTAGGCGGATCATCCATCGGAATCAAGCAACGGAGTCCTTATCTTTGGCATCATTATCATCTATTCGAGCATTTGATGGTTCCTGGGTGCTGGCAATCCCTTTAAAGAACATTTATCGGCGTAATCGCTTATGGGTGGATCATATGAGCAACCAGCAACAGCCGCTATTTCTTTCTTTTTCGGCGTCAGCAGGCGTTATTCTATCATATGGTGATTCGCGCTACCGGCAACCTATTTGATGTATATCATGTGGCTCATATCTCTTACGGTGGATTACTATGTATTAGCAACAAGCAACAGGGTTCATCTTTGCCTGGCATCACGCTTATTGGATTACGATGTAGCTTTGGCTATCAGGTGCCGTTCCTTTATTTGAAAGTGGTTACCAACGTTCATCCATGATGTATTCCTCTGCACCAAATAAGTATGCTATCTTTGATCATGCCAATATTACACGTCTTCTTACAACATATGACTACCAGGTATCGTTCCTTCGCTTCAAAGCTCAGTACCGACATACCGCATACCTTGCAGGTGGATCATTGGCAACATCACCATTTCGGTGTCTCCAGGTTTTCGTGTGTATGACAATCACTGGCAAATCATACGGTTTCAAGTCTGCTTGATGATTGAGTGGTTAAGGTATGTATCATTTAAATGCTTTTGGGAGACTTTTTCCTGAAACGCTTCTTGTTTAGATGGACAACTGCAAGCAGCCTGTGTTTATGGTCATGGCATATACCACATTATCATCATTCGAGATCGTCATTGGTAAGTATCCTTTGAGAGCTATGAAGGAATGCCAGCTGAGCCGCCTGTTCTAGGTAGACCATCTTGCAGCAAACAACGCGTACGTTTGATGACATCGGGTTCATTCGATCATCCTATTGCTTCCTTTCGTGTGAAAGAAGGCCAACTAATGTGCTGTTTAATCATAGCTGTGGACCATTACAGCTCGCTATTTGTCATTAGTGCTTTGAAGTTTATTACATGATTACAGCTACCATTGCTAAGTATCGTTCTATGGGTTTGGAGATTGTTTACCCTGCATCTTTTATAGGTGAATCACATCCTCAATGAAGAAAAGTGGCCTTTTGATGTCGTCAATACATATTTATTCAGTCTCTGATGGTTTGTTACCAAGCAACAAGCGATTCCTTTGAAGAGTGTCAGCCAACACACGGTCTCTTATGAGTGGAACATTTCAGCAACAAGCAACAGCATGCATGTCGTTGGTAGCATGTCAAGCTTTATCTCGTCATCTGGTGCTTCTCATTATGATCCTGGCTCATTGTCCAGGAATAGCAATCAACATTATCTCATTATACAATAAACTTCTCATTGATCTTTACACGCTACAAACTTCATTGTAAAGCAAACTAGTTGCTTATCATCACATAAGTTATAGCCAAACATACAATGTGTATCATCATATATAAATAAAAGTGTATTGGTAAAAGAAAAAAGCTTTGTATGTCAATGCGTCGCCTATCAACCAAGTCGGTTTCCATGGTAAAGCCAAGAGGAGGAGGAGAGTTGCCAGGTAACGCCCAAAACGGAAGGGACACCACACGATGGAGAGCATCGCCATCGAAGACCACAAGGAACAGGATCGCCAAGTAAGATCGCCAACAAGACATCGCCAGGGAAGGATCACGGCCATTCAGAACAAGGACTCCATGGGATTTGCTGCATTGCGACAACCTACAGGATCACCCCCATCCCATTGTATGGCAAACCACACCGCGTAGTTGTTGTGATTTCGCACTATCGCACACTTGTCGTTCCTTAGGTTCTTTCAGGCACTCAACGCGAACGTGTATTACCATTTATCCTCATGACTTGGTTGCCTTGTCGTCGTGAACAGCGAGGCTGAGGAAACCCCAGGGTTGCCAGGATATGAAGAACCAGTGAAGCTGTGGAACTCCCAAAGCAGACATTCACCAAAAGAGTACCCCTACTCACTCCAATGAAAAAAAAGTACCTCGCCGTCCTTGGACTTGCTGCTTATTCTTTTATTCGCACCGGGCACATGCTGTACCAAAAAGAGAAAGAAAGAGGGTGAGTAAAGAGGCGCTCATTGTTGCGCAGCCTGTTTTATAGTATTGACGTGCTGGGCTTGAAATTTTTCTGCCTCTGACGCATACCATAGACCGCGTTTGACGTTTGGCGTATCGAGTTAGTTGTATTATTGAGTGCTGTGTATGTGTTCGAGTGCGTCTATTATTCTATGATGCTGAAAAATAAAAAGGTCTATGATAACAATCTTGCAAGTGATGCTAGTGAAACATACACGTTGACACAAAACACCCCCTTAATGCCGATGCGGGGAATACGCGTCTGTGCACAAGCGGCGCATGTGCTAGTATAGTGCTTTGTGACTAATTTCATTGATAGATTGTATCACCTGCCCTAATGTGGCCAATGTTATGTATAGGAAGACATTACACCTAGACTCTTTGGACTTAATCCTGGTATGCGCCCCATCACTTTGTCAACTCATGCATCATCCCTAACAAACAAAGATCCCCACGCCCACCGTGTACAATAATAAAGGATGTTGTCGCCGTCCATCGTACTCCCATACATCTCTTTCCTCAGCCGTACTTTTTTGATTGCTTACAAGATTATCCCATTTCTTGTAATCTTGTGAATAAGCGCTGATCTTTGTGGTCATTCATAGTGCCTCATTGTATCGTGGTTTTCATTGTGATATTGGGTTCTTGTAATAAGGTAAATCCTGATGATGTTGCTTGATGAGTTACTACTCTCATACACATTACCTTGTTACGTTCGATGTAGCTATCTTCCGTGATGCGTATGCAAAAGCTGGCTTTGGTGCCACGAGTCTACATCAGGTGCTGGAATTGACATGGTCCAAAAAGTAAAGTCCCACTTCTTGTCGGCAGAAGAAGCATGCCACACGTTTGATGTGCTGCATTTCCTATCAGCATTTGATGGACTTTCAGACTTGGACGCAGCAAGAGCTTCGCAAATCCTCTTGCTATCGATCGTCAAAACCTAACGCCTAGCACTGAAGAGCATGGTGATTCACTCACAAGCACTTCTATGGATACATTGAAAAAGGAGTTTGAAGAAGCACATTCCAAGATGACGGAAGCAAAATAGAAGCCGTCCCTGGCAAGGTTGTTGAGGATGTGCTGTATCACTTTGGCCTTCAATGCAATCATGAGCATCTTGTTCTCACTTCTTTGTACTCGGCATTGATGACCCCATTTATATGCAACAAGACGCGTTCACCGAAGAGGAGTTTTCAAAAATTAGCAGGACCGATCCAAAGCCGCTTGCCCAGTTACCTATTGATCTCCGTGATCATATCAACCCAATTGCTGTCAACGATTTACAAGCTTTTGCAAAAGAGATTGGATGCTAGGCATGATTGGCAGGATAATTACACCTTGTTTATTACGTATAAAAAGAAGATGATAGAAAGAGTAAAAGTACGTTGAGAATCGATGTATGTGTTTCAAGATGCTGTTACCAGCTACAACTACAACATGTCTTATATGATGATTGTGTGACGATGCTATGCGGATACGGGGGTTTATGTAGGCTTTATTCATCATAGTCGTCGATGACAGTATTATAGCAACATGATTGGGTTTGAATTTAGGGTGAATGGTATGCAAGTTGTTGTCTTTATTAAGAAGTCTTTATCCTGCCATTGAGTTTGCCCTCACAACGCCCACCATACAGGTATTTTGAAGAACATGGCCGTGACTTTCCAGAGCCCTCTTTGCCGAATCTTGAGATGAATACCGGAATGTCATCCAATTGCTGACGGATTGGTATCGTTCTTCGATGTGGCCGAGTTGAGAAAAGTATTCAATGATAGCAGTCTTCATATCAGGGGGGAAACCAAACACTTTGACAATGGTGCCATCCGATGTTCTAGCAACGCTATTAGGTCTCATATCCTATACAAGCCCATCCTCATCCTCAATACTTACTTTTCAAATGTTGCTGTTGCAAGTCGACTTGCACCAGAGTGCCTCACCGATTCTGTCCACAAGTCTATGAATCCAAAATGAGTAGGATGAAACATAAAAGTCAAAAGACACACTCTACCTGAAGGTGCGGTTGCTTTCTCTGGTTCACTGATATAACGTTGTGGACTCACCCCCACATCCCATAAGGAAGCAACAGGCGGGGTATCCTCATCCTCCATTCTTGTACTGTTACCATCGCCAAAACTGCAATGTGCCGTTGTACCAAAGATGCCTTGGTTATTGCTGTGCATGTATGGGAGACCTGAGGTAGAAGTAGTAGGAGTAGAGGTAGTGGGATGTCGTCTAAAGATAAATCATCAATACGCAAATTTCATTTCACCAAGTCTTCCTCTCCTCCAATGATGACTTACTCTTGGCTGCTACGCTTTGATTGTCCTCCTTCTCGACTCGAAGACTATGAGAATAGATATGAGATGTTTTGTCAAACATGAATATGGCAATGACTTACCGGTGATGTGGCTGAAGTAAGGAATCGAGGAAGAGTGGTACGTCGTTCACCAATGGCAAGTGAGCTCTCCTCTTCAAAATCACGTGCCTTGTTTTGGGATTTTTCGGCATTGGTAAAGATGCTGGATGGAACAGGAATGCGTTCAAGTTTATCTGGTTTGACAATGAAATAAGGGACATTGGTATCCGGGAACACCGTCGACAGGCTTAACAAGGATTCTTGCTGTTGCTGTTGCTGTTGTGGTTGCTGTGTTGTGGTTGATGCAAAACCAATGGATGGTTTGGATGAGGCGAATCCACTACCAAAAAGACCTCCACCTCCTGTAGCAGGTTGACTCGTGGTAGTAGTAGTTGATCCAAAAAGACCTCCACCTCCTGTAGCAGGTTGACTAGTAGCAGTAGTAGTTGATCCAAAAAGACCGCCACCGCCCGTAGCAGGTTGACTGGTCGATGTGGTTGATCCGAATAAGCTACCTCCTGCTGCTGGTTGACTCGTCGTTGTTGTAGATCCAAAAAGACCACCTGGTTGATTCGTTGTAGCTGAAGATCCAAATAAACCTCCTCCCGTAGCAGGTTGGCTCGTCGTAGTTGTAGATCCAAAAAGACCACCACCACCTGTAGCTGGTTGACTCGTAGCTGTTGATCCAAATAAACCACCACCTGTAGCTGGTTGACTCGTTGTAGTTGTAGATCCAAATAAACCACCACCTGTAGCTGGTTGACTGGTAGCTGTTGTGGATCCAAATAAACCACCACCTGTAGCTGGTTGACTAGTAGCTGTTGTGGATCCAAATAGGCCACCTGATGGTTGTTGTTGCTGCTGCTGTTGACCACCAAAAAGACCTCCTGTGGCTGCTGGTTGGGTTGTAGCTGTGGAAGCACCAAACAAACCACCACCTCCACTAGGTTGTTGACTCATGCCACCACCAAAGCCTGTAGTTGAAGAACCTGCTGTGTTGGTCGACCCAAACAATCCTGACGATGTCTGCTGTTGTTGATTTTGACCCGATGCGCCAAAACTTCCTCCAGAGGAACCAAATGAACCTGTCGATGGCTGTGAAGACGATGCCGGCGCGAATAATGAAGTATTGCTACGTTGATGGCCAAATCCTGTAGATGTTGACGCACCGGATCCAAACGAAAAGGCCATTGTTGTCTGAAGGTAGGTTGGGCCGTGAAGGAAGCTGCTGTACAACAACTTCTTTGCCGCTCATGGCTCAAATGACAACGCGAGCTCGCGACGGTCCCGTGACTGTTATAATGCAATGAAGATGAATCATGCACAAGGATAAAGGTACCATCATCACTTTTTGAACCCTTCACTATGCTTAGGTAATTTATTGTGTTGTACCTCCTTTCATAGTCTATTCGTCGACAATATTATCTTGTAAGGACATTATGGTGTGCGACTCGAGCTATGGACGTTTCAAGAGACCTTCTTATAGTACCTCTTCTTGTATCATCAGCCATCCTCATCATTTTACATAGCCCACCCTTCATCCACAACAATAAACTTTAAGAGTGTATCCCATTCCATTCCTCAATCTGCCGTTTTTCTAAACAAAGCGAGTACAAGTATTACTTGGAAGAAGAAGAGTTGGATAAGCAGGCTTGTGGTGGTTATCGTGTTGATAAAAAGCTGCCTTTGTTAGATTCGATCCTGTTTATGGAAGACATGTGTTTTGAATAGGGGGGCTATGTACTTAATTTCGAGCAAGCGTCGATCCCGCCGACTGATTTCCCTCATACTATGTTTGGCAACGATTTCAGCCATACTAATGTCCCATGTTTATATTACACAAAATGAAGATCTACATTATGCTACAAGATTACGTTTCTTTTCAGCACTACTTTTTAGTTGACCACATGCAGCCATGATATCTAAAAATACCACCCTATGAGTATCTCATCCACAAAATATCCTATAGCAATTCCACCCTTACCTTGTCCTCTTGGCCGACGCACTGTGCAGTGAACACCACCCTCCATCACAATACGTGCAAAGTTTTCAATCTTTTCTAGCTTGGACGTACGATAGATGCTTCCTGGCCATGGATTGAATGGTCTAATGATATTACTCTCGTTACAAACGTTATTCAATTATCATAATGACTTGAAGGACTTACATAAGATTAACATGAGAAGGCAATTGACGCAATAATCGAACAAGATCACGTGCCTCACTTTGGGAATCATTGACACCATCCAACATCACGTATCTATAAACATAGATAGGCTTAATACATGGATACATACATAGCAATGTGAAAAAAACGTACTCAAAAGTGATCCTTCGTCCTCGATTACCCATGAGTTGTGCATAGGTTGTGCATGCTTCCAGTACCAATTCCAAGGGGAATGTCTTGTTCAGGGGGACTAGGACGTCTCTGAGATCGTTACGAGTAGCGTGTAAGGAGATGGCCAAGGAGACACCCACGTCAGACGCCACGTTAGGTATGAGGGGCACAACACCCGATGTGGATACGGTAATTTTGTGCTTTGGCATGGCGATCCCATTCGTGTCGGTAAGCACTTTTATTGCCTGACGCACCTGACGCCAATTATACAATGGTTCACCTTGTCCCATAAACACCATGTTGGAGACTGTCTTTTTTGTCACATTGAAATCATTGGCCTCCTTGGCTGCAATCATGTATTGTCCCACCACTAATCAATCATAGATGGGATATGTCAGATGTCTTACACACAATGATGATGATTACTACCCCCCTACTACTTGCCTTCACTTGCTGTCAAGCTTCGAAAAAGTTTTTGTGTCCCTGTATGACAAAAGCTGCATTGCAAAGAACATCCAATTTGTGATGAGACGCACAAGGTTGCTCTATCCGGTTCGGGAATCAAGACGGACTCGACGACAGCTCGAGGATCATCAGCAAAGCCCACAAGCCATTTACGGGTTTGGTCACGGGATACTTGGGCCAACTACAAGTAGTAATAAATAAGACACCCTACGCTACAGAACCAAAAAGGGAATCATACCTGCACATGGCCGTAGTGAATCTTGTATCGTGAATCAAGCTCGGATCGTAACGTCTTTGACAAGTTGGTCATGCCTTGGAAATCGGTAATGCCTCGCCTGTACATGTGCTCCCATACTTGCTGTGCCGTGTATTTGCGAGCCTCAGGAATCGTAGCTAGCTCATGTTGTAATTGCTCTAGACTTAGACCAATAAGGTTCTTTTTGGCAAGGGCTGCAGCAAGTCGAGAATAGCAGCGTCGTCTCAACATAGAAGAGGAAAAGGGGGTGGACATTTCAAATAAATGCAGCAGCGAATGCCTTGTCACACACACACATACACACATTGCTTGAATGATTGGATAAATCTGAAACTCATGGTATTGTTGGTGCTTTATCTTACTGTTGTTGGAGCATGTTGTTTATATACACAAAACAGAAATGGGGGAGATGAACATTAATAGAAAAAAAGAAGAAGGGTAATAAGCTTAAATGGGAATAGAAAACGGCATTTGGCATTAGAATGTGGTTGTGGTGGTGGTAGTGTGTTGTAGTAGTAAAGTGAAGAAAATCTGTAAAGAGAAAGAGAATCAAAAAGGGTGATTATTAGACCGTCTCTTCGGATGGCAAGCATCCTAGGCGGTTGATTTTTTTGTAAGTTTTCTTGCTGACTTGAATATGGGATGATGACTTGATACAACGAAATCACATGAAGCTTGGGACAAGGCTTGGCTGAGTAGGAGCACCACTAGTAGCAGCCATGGATGGCTTTGTGTTATCCTTGGCAGAAGAGCTGTGACGATGGATGCGAATGTGTTGGTTCAAGTTGTCAGATCGAGAGAAACGCTTGCTGCAGCTTTGATAAGGGCATTCAAAGGCTAAACCATTTGTCAGTTTTCACATTTTTCATATGATTGTATATATACACAACAAGCAACTTACGTTTTTCAAGGGTATGAATGGATCGAATGTGACGCTTAAGGTGCTCTGAGCGTTTAAACATCTTGCCACAACCGTCAGCAGTACATGTGAACATGCGTGCGCCATTGTTGCTAGGGGCACTTGAGACACGACGACCCCTAGAGCGTGTCATTTTCTTGGTTGTTGCAGAGGAGGAGGAGGATGGCTTCTTGGGGGTCTCGTAAAGTTCGGCAGCAGGTGGATGGCTGAAAGAGTGGTGTCGCACATTACCATGGTTAGGCAAAGGATCATAAAAGTTCAACTGAGGAAAGACAGCGGGACCACCAATTGAATGACGGTGTGAAGATGCCAATGGATGTACGGGTGACAAAAAGTTGCTAGACAAGGCTGCCATGCTCACCACAGGATCCATCAAATCATCGGTGCTGCTATTGTTGCTGCTGATGCTGCTGAGAGACGAGGGTGGTGGAGAGGGTGTAGTGTTGCTTGCCATGTAGTAAGGCTGATCCGAAGAAAGCATTTCAGCATAGCTAAAACGACGTGGCTCATAAGGATGATGGTATTGTTGTTGATCAAAGGATGGCACCATGGAAACAAGGCTGTTCAATACGCTGTTTTGGGAATCACTGCAAACAGTGGGAGTGAAGGAAGATGCGATACAAGGAGAAGTCATCATGTGTATGTGTGAGATTAGAGGGAAGAGTAGTAAAGAAGAGTAGAGTAAAAGAGAGAGATGATAAGATGGGGTAAAACGATGGTTGAGATGGACGACCTTTTAAGTATTTAAGGACGTCAACAGCTGTCAAGTCGACCATGATGCAATGATTGGTTCCAGACGGTGCTGAGTTGTACATGAGCTTTAGATTGCTGCCTTGTGTGACAATAAACGTAGGCACGTAAACGCATAAAGCAAGGCTGATGTAGGGAGTGAGGGTTGTATTTGGAATGGTAAGTGAATGGGCAAGCAAGTACAAAGGTGGCAAGGTACACACGAGGTCCAGGGGGAAATTTTGATATGCTCAACAGCCAATGGCAAGAAAATTATTCAAATTGATGCGCATGACACAATATTACTTGACTTGAAATCCCTGAAAAGGCATCTGGCCATGGCACTTTTTACCTTGCCGCTGATCGTCCATCTGCATAATATGCATGAAGACTACGCAAGCTCACCACACATGAATGGAAAGTAATCATTTCTCTTAGTACAGAAAATGTCTCTTTCAAACGGAGATACTTTATTACTGCCCAAGGTTTAATGACAAGCTGCATATCATCTTATCTTTTAATATCCCATGTCAACAACCATTGTCTCATCATCATTATGGTCCTTCCTCATACGTAGGTTGTGAGTGTGTCTATGTGTAGTAATTAACCATTGGATAAAAATAGTGATGGATTGACGCATTTCATTTCTTTTATTAAGATGGAATCTTCTCTCTTCATCATGCTTTTGCTTATAATACAACAACAATGCGATTCTACAAATAGGAGTAATTGAGTTGTTCCAGGGGGGGGCACGAATGAAAAGAAAGTGAGCTACCAACTTTAACTACTTTGCAATTGTTCATCACACACACACACACATACGCACGCAACACACTACTTGATAATTAAAAACTGCAGTTGGCAGCATGGACCATGATTTTTATTACCAAAAACAGTAGCAACACAACTCCTATGATCTTTTGCCGATCAAAGCTGATGTAGTACACCGCTCAGGGTCTGTCAATGGAAAGAACACAACACGATTTATTCTTCCATCTTGTCGATACGTTGCCGCGGAAGTGGTGGGACAGGTGGTGGTTGGTTATTGGTTCCTGCATTGGAAGAGTCGTCATCATCTTCTACTTGATCCCACCGTTGACGAAGCACGTTGCCCATGTTGTAATGCTCAGCCCGTTTCTTTGCAAATTCCTCGTGTTGCTTTTTCGCTATTGAGTCAAACTTGGCATTAGCGTCGTCGTCGTCGTCATCATCGTCCATGCAGTGTTACTATAGAAATGTCCCCTCCGACGATCACCACTAAACCACCCATCACCATCACCACCACCCCACACAACACAACACAAACTTGCCTTGTTCGCTCTCTTCATGATTCTCATCATCCGATTCCCAATCGTCATCGCTGAGATACACGCGACGTCCTTTTTTGCTACTGGATGTGCTTGATCGATCTGATTCGTTACCATTGTCCAACGAAAAATCCTCAGGCTCATCATGTGCATTCCGAAACTGGACATCTAATTCATATGTATGGGTTTGCCAAGCTCTCTCACTCTCTCCAAAACCCTTATCCATCCTTCCCTCACTTACCACCCATATTGAGTACTTGATCTGTTTCTGGGTCATATCGAATATAAGGTGTCTTGGGCTCGTCAATCTTCATGGTGGAATCCTTTTGCTCTTCATTCAACTCCAAATTGGCCTCGTCCCATTTAAGTCGACTATTGTATGTGTTGGGGTTAGCGTCTTTCATGAAGAGAGTAGTCATCTTTGGAGCTTGTACCTTGTTTCTTGACTATCAGTAGGGGACTGACTAGGTTTCTTGAGAATGCCTTTAATGGGCTTGGGTTGTTGGTCACTGCTCATGTGTGTCGATTATGCACCCGTGCGCAAAAGAGAGAGTGGAAAGAGAGAGAGAGGGAGAGTGGTATGAGCGGATATGCAGCGTCGTGTGCTTGTTTTTTTTGGGTGAGTGAGATTGTCCTTGGCTCTTTTTTCCTTTCCCGCTTTCACACCACCTTCCTTTCAACCAACTCATGGCACGATGCACGTTGGCATTCGGTAATTACACGGCACCATGCACCATTGAAGGCTCTGTACCGAATGTATGGCTTCCATCGGATATGTTATCGGTCGCGTACTTTGTCACCAACCCACCTACAACGTATCCAACAAGGGCCAAACACTTGCTTCGGATAGCATCCACAGCAACATCAGCAGAACGAGAGTTCCTATTATTATTATCACAATCACTTTCGGCTCATGGTGGAAAACGATATGGCATACTTGATTTTCGACAAGCATGTGGATGTTTGGGAATCCTGAGTACAAGCAGTATCCAACCTGCCGATCTCTTTGTCCTGCAAATTGTCGATATACCCAACAACAATGAAGTCATTGATTCATCATCATCGCTACTCCAACAATATCCGCCTCTAGCACCAGATCGATTGCCAATGGAAATGCTTCAAGCTATCAATGAACGTCATACACCAGAAGGAGAACAACGAATGAAAAGCATCGCTCAAGAAATGTATCGCATTGCATCAGTGTACGGTTATTGGGACTTGTGGCGCGTATTGGAAGGCATTTGTCAACGATTTAATATCGATCCTCAACAATTGATATGAACAATAAACAGGGGATTTGTTATTTCCCGATCCCCTTTTTCACACATTCTCGACTCTCTCTTTTTATCCTGTTCAATGTGGAAAGATACCGTAGACAAGTGTGTCCAAAGCATCGTCACCATCAAATCAACACGCGTACGTAGTTTTGATACGGACGTACCAGGCTCCTTTACTGCAACTGGATTTATCGTATCACCCGGCTTGATCCTTTCAAATCGACATGTCGTCAGCGCTGGCCCGGTAGTCGCACAAGCAGTGTTGGCTAACGATGAAGAAATACCATTGCAACCTATTTATCGTGATCCTGTACATGATTTTGGATTCTTCCGCTATGATCCTTCTGATATCAAGTTTCTCACTGTGCCATCCATCCCACTTGCTCCTAAAGCAGCCCACGTTGGACAAGAGATTCGTGTGATGGGGTAAGTAAGAAAGACAAAGCTGCACATCACTTTTTATTAACCTATACATAGCAACAATGGAGGAGAGAAATTGAGCATCCTATCAGGGACCATGGCACAATTACATCGAGAAGCACCTAGCTATGGTATTGGTGAATACAATGATTTCAATACGTTTTACATGCAAGCAGCATCGGGTACGTGTGCAGGATCGAGTGGCAGCCCTGTGTTGGATCTTGAAGGAAGAGCGATCGCACTCAACTGTGGAGGACGCAGCAATGCGAGTTACTATCTCCCATTGGATCGTATCCAGCGAGCCCTTGAGTTGATTCAACAAGACCAACCTGTGAGCCGAGGCACTTTGTATACCGAATTTCGTCATTGTTCATTCCATGAATTACGTCAGCTGGGTTTAGCATCCTCGATGGAGCATAATTTGCGACATGCTGGATACCATGGTCTTTTGATCGTTCATGCAACAACAACAACAACAACACATGCTGCTGTGCTTGAACCTGGTGATATTCTTTTGGAAGTGGATGGCATGGAGATTATGGATTTCGTGCAGCTCGAGACTTTGTTGGATGATCATGTGGGGCGACCTATCGAGTTGACTGTTTTACGGCAAGGTGAACGCATCACGGGATTACATATGCAGGTACAAGATTTGCATAAAAGCATGCCCGATCGTTTCCTGGAATTAGGCGGTGGTATTGCACACGATGTTTCATATCAAGTGGCTCGTTCCTATGGCATTCCTTTGAACAAGGGCGTCTATGTCTCGGCAGCAGGATACATTTTCGGGACCGCTTATTGCTTCCGACGCTCCATCATCACATCACTCGACAACCAACCCGTCCACAATCTCGATGATCTTGTTGCTATTGTTCAAAGAGTACCTGATGGTGCTCATGTGCCTATACGATATCATTCCATGTCAAATCGAAAGGAACGGGTGATGGTATTACACATGGATAGACGATGGCATCCCATGCGCCTTGCGACTCGAAATGGCAAGTTGTTGTTGACATCACCCATTGTGTTTTCATCCATTAACCTTTTATACAACATGTAGACAAAATGGGCCTATGGGAATACAATGACTTGGCACCCGTTCATGTTGACTCGTTGCCCTCTCCACCAAGCACACCACCACCCAATGAGATTCAGGCGGCAAATTCCATTGACACCTTGAAAGAATGTATTGTGGCGATTGATTGCTATCACCCTCATATCATTGATGGCTTGCAAGACTCTCACACTTTTGGTGCTGGTTTGGTCCTATCGCTCAATCCACCACGTGTTATCTGTGATCGTGATACCATCCCTGTGGCTATGGGTTCCATCACCCTGACATTGCATAGCAAAGTATCCGTGCCTGCATCCGTTGTATTCATGCATCCCTATTACAACTTCGCCATTTTATCATTTGAACGTATCCCTGATCAAGTCTATTATGCACCCATTCAAGAGGATTCGAGAACATGGCAATTACCTAAACCAGGAGAATCCATTCATTATATTGGGTTGGATGGTAAATAAGGAGTACAATTAGCGGTGATGTGTATTCATTAAGGTGCATGTATGTAGGCAACAACCAAATCAGCCATCAGCAAGGAGCCATATCTTCTATTACAGGTGTTCGGTCACGAGAATGCCTGATACCACGTTATCGATCCGTGAATGTGGAAACAATACAGCTGGAACAAGATATGGAAGGACAAGGAGGGGTATTAGCAACCGAGGATGGATATGTATTGGCGCTGTGGATGACCTTTGCTACGGGTGAACAAGAAACCATACTTGGCCAACGACGAACGTCCAAGATGATGGGTGGTCTTCCAGTATGCTATGTTGCACCTTGCCTTGATGATGAAGAAGACGAGTACTTTACCTATGCATTGGATGTGGAATTTTGGACAATGCAGCTGGCGAATGCAAGGCAACTAGGCTTACCATCTAGTATCCAAGTTCAACCTGGTCAACAACGCGTGCTTTATGTCATGAGCAAAATGGATCCTTCCAGTCCTTCAGCCAAGGCACTTGAAGTGGGTGATATTGTTTTGGAAATCAATCATCAACCTGTTACTCGACTCACTGATCTCACACAATACACAAAACACGAGGCTCTTGAAATGGTACGTATTTGAAACAACAATGTATAGGTGCTAGGTATTGATGCATCCATTGTGCTACATAGACTATTTATCGAAATGGGACATTAATGCAATGCACCGTGCAAAGTACATTTTACGATGGTCGAGAAACGACTCGAGTCATTGGATGGCAAGGACTATTGATTCAAGATGCACCTATCGCTGCCAAGGAACAAACATGTGACAAGGTACCAACAGGTGTCTACATTTCGTCTTGTGCGCATGGATCACCAGCCCAAGCGGTGTTAAAAGCAGCTACTTGGATCACAGCCATCAATGGCAAGCACGTTGAAACACTGGATACATTTCTGCAACAAGTCGAAAGAATCCACAATAGCAAGGATGATCATGCTCGCGTCAAGTATGTGACCAAAAGCAATGTAGCCAATGTAAGCGTAGTCCGCTTGGATCGACATTATTGGCCTACCTGGCTTGTGGAAAAGGATCCAGAGTCTACAATGGGATGGCGATTGCACCAAAGCGACGAGAATCTAGTTGTCAGATGAGATCGTAACACAAGATCAAACATCGCCTGTACGCCACATACACAATTACACATATACATTTTCCACTTGTCAATGAAAAAAAGGAAACTTTATACTTTTTGCCAGGGTATACTATTAACAGCGAGGTGGTGGTAGTTTGCATGATGAAGTTTGCTATGGTACATGGGATGGATGAGGGAGAGGAAAGTATATGGAGGAAGATGCGTGACCAAGAGAAGAAATTAATACATGACTGATTTGAGGGTTTCGTAGGTAGGGAAAAAGATGCCACAAATGCCAAACCACCACATGCTGCGTGGCATAGCACCTGCAAAGAATTCCCGGTATACGCGGATAGGAGAACCTTGTGCATTGCGATACATGTTTTGCGCCACAGAGACTACGGATACTGCTTGGCGTTTCTTTTCAGTGATCATTCGTGTGCGGAGAACATCCATAGGTGTCGTAAAGTAACCAGCCAAGAAACCACTGACACCACCATACAAGATGGATCGCATGGTAGGGATATCGGCTTCCCATTCTTCAAAGGCAGCATGAGCAACGACATGGTGGTGTTGTTGGTGCATACGTTGAATCCAATCCCTTCGTACAGATCGATGATGGAATGCTTTAAAGTTTTCATAAGAGACAAGCAAGATGACCATAAAAGGTGAATCGCGTGCAGCAATAGCCCAGAATCCTCTAAAGAGACCACGGGGTCCTTCTTCTTTGAGTGTTTGTTGAATGACATAGGAGGCGCTGACGCGATGACCGGGAGCAGCAGCAGAAGCATAATGATCGGTTTGAAGTTTGGCTGTAACGACTTCTCGAGGCACTTTGATAACACTGGAAGCGAGATCACCCAACACGGCTGACAAGGCAGTGGCAGGAATGGCATAGCGTTTGTTGTTTTCGTTCACCAGTTGGCTCTTGCAAAATTCATACGTGCTAAAACGTGCACCTCCTTGGCCTGCAGCACCAAGCGCAGAAACGAAAAATCCCTTGCCCAAGCTGCGAAGCGTCTCACGAGTAAATACTTTACGGAGCGAATGATTGGGATCGGCTTGGATGCGGGTTTTAATCGTATCGAGAGGATGCATGCATGAATACGACAACGACAAGGCAGTGGCACCAGCAACAAAATGGTCTAGAATGAATGGATTAGAATACATCATCATATGAATAAATGTCAAACTACATACATTTGTAAAGCTCGGAGGCTGTGTGCTGATGTTGTTTGCTAAAGGCGGATACGCTGCTCATGGAAGAAGATAGGCTATTTTCTCAAAGAGAGTAAGAGAGAGAGAGAAAGAGAAAGGGACAACAATAAAGGAAACGGGAATTTTGCAAGAGTTATCTAGGGGTTGGGTTTGTTGGGCTTGCTTTATATCATGGAGGGATGTTGCAGTGAGTCAGGGTTATATCCAATCAAAATGGTTAAAGAAGTTTTGTCAAGGATGGCTCACTCATCAAAGTGCAACCTGATTGGATCATCATCTGGATCGAAAAAGTCCTTGACTCAGTTGGATGAATTTTGGGATTGGACACGAGTTGACGTGACATTCAGGGGTCGTTAACGCTGATACGCTCTCTCTCTATCATACCATGGCTACCCCATATGCTAAATGACAGCTTGTTGTACTGCATCTATGTAATGGTACAATGCATCGTCATACCTAAATGTGACGGTGTCCTCGTAACCTCCTCCTCTCTTTAGGTCTCCTTTCCTTCCATAGGCGTAATTGGAAAGTAATGCTGAGCCTTAAGATGGCTACTCAAATGGCAACAAAAACGAACGCAGCTGTAACATGCAAAGTATGGTGTAAAGATGGAAGATGTATTTCAGTGGCATATTTGGAGCGATAAGCGGACTACAAATTTGATAAGTACTAAATGCATCCATCTCAGATCTATCTTAGGATGACACTTGTTCTTGACAAACGTGAAGGGTTAACAGCAGCAACGGGGGAACGATAGGATGGTCTTTGATGTGTTCACTCTCAAAGGGAAGAGGATCGATCGAGCTTACGGTTACGCATTCCCTCTCATCTTGCCTCCATGTGTATGAGATCAGCAACCTAGCAGCCCACGAGAAGTAGTAAGCGAATCACGGTAGGATTGCGACGATGGACTTGGGGATAGACTACTGATGGAAAGTGGACCTTGCAATTGTCGAAGGTTGTGGCATCCGGTTGTGAGCTGCTTAACTTGTCAACGAGCGATATCGGCGGTGGTATCATGGATACGGTTGGTTGGTATCATGGACAACTTGTTTCGACGAACGCAGCTCTTGGAACCTTTTGCAACAATGACATAGGATTATCGTATGGAGATAGCAATCGATCAAAGAATAAATCAACATCCACCATGTTACTACGTCCCTCCTTATTGAGACGTTCTCTGATTCATTTTGTTCGTTGTTTCTTTGTACTCGGGTGCTATTGATTGTTTAAGGGAATGGTTTACACTTGATAATGGGACCCTACATTGGCTCTTTCAAAATCGATTTGGATAGAGATACCATATAGGTACCTCCTGAGATGCATATGCAAAAGTTGGATTTTCAATGGCACCCTTACTACAGCCTCGCATGGCGGCCTCCAAATCTCTGCATGGTACGTACGTCTTGAGCAGTTCGAATCATTGATCGGGGACTAGAATGGCAATGAAGCTGGCATGCATTTCCACAAAATCATAAAGTTTCCAATGATCTGGATGAGCAAGCAAGGCTTATTCCAACAAAGAGAGAGAAAGTCTTTGCAACCACCCCTTGTTAGCTCCCTTGCTATGATACGAGAAACTTGTCCAATAAATAATGGTAATGTTTATAGCCCGCAGAATGAGGATGATGATCTAAATAGGCATGTGACAAGAAAAACAAAGATGTAAATGGATGACAATGGGGACAAGAATGGGTTGGATAATGGGCAGGGTGAGAAGTAGTTACTAGAAATGAGTCATTCCGAGGGTGATTGACTGTGTTTTTCATCATCAGCCATCGTCGGGCATGAAAGACAAAAGGACGTTCGCGATTTTTTGTTATCTCTCTCGCTTTCTTTCTCGTTTTCTACTACTTCTTGTACATACTCTCCCCTTTATCTTATATATAAGCTTTATCAATGGAAGATCTTCGTGTCACCGGTTACAACGCATTGCTCACTCCTGCTTACCTTCAAGAAGAGCTCCCAGCCGTAAGGATCCTTTTTTTGACAGATGCTATTTTCCAGAAAGCTAAAATTTTTTTTTGTCACCAGAGCAAAAAGTCAGAAGAGACCGTGCACAGTGCACGTCAAGAGGCTGCCAAGATTCTTCGTGGTGAAGATGATCGTTTGATTATCATTGTGGGTCCTTGCTCTATTCACGACGTTGATGCTGCCAAGGATTACTGTAAGTGTTCCCCCCCAACAAGGATCAAGAAATAGAAGGCAACGTTTAATTAACACACACGTATAGGCAATCGTTTACTTGCTGTCAAGGAGCGTCTTTCAGGTGAATTGTTGATCATTATGCGCTCGTACTTTGAAAAGCCTCGTACCACTGTTGGCTGGAAAGGCTTGATCAATGACCCCGATATCAACAATGGCTACAACATCAACAAGGGTCTTCGCGTGGGTCGTAAGCTTTTGTGCGAGTTGACTGACAAGGGCATGCCTGTGGCTGTTGAATTGTTGGACACTATCTCTCCTCAATACTTGTCTGATCTCATTTCGTGGGGTGCCATTGGTGCACGTACCACTGAATCGCAATTGCATCGTGAGTTGGCATCGGGTTCCTCGTTCCCAGTGGGTTTCAAGAACGGCACTGATGGCAACGTGCGTATTGCTATTGATGCTATCGGCTCTTCCTCTGCACCTCATCACTTTTTGGGTGTCACCAAATCCGGCACTGTCAGCATCACTCACACTACCGGTAACCCTGATTGCCATGTCATTTTGCGTGGTGCCAACTCGGGTCCCAACTACAGCGCCGAACACGTGTCTCAAGCTGTAGCTGCATTGGAAAAGGCTGGCGTTAGCAAGAGCATCATGGTCGATTGTTCCCATGGCAACTCCTCCAAGGATCATCGCAACCAACCCAAGGTGGCACATGATCTCGCTCAACAAATTGCTGCTGGTAACAAGTCCTTGGTGGGCTTGATGATCGAATCCCATATCAACGAAGGCAAGCAATCTGTACCCGCTGAAGGTCCTGCTGCATTGAAATACGGCGTTTCCATTACCGATGCTTGTGTCGATTTCGATACTACCGTAAAGATGCTCGATGAATTGGCTGATGCTGTCAAAGCACGTCGTTCCGCTGGTGCTCAGTAATCCCCACCAATCTCTTTTCTTCATCATTAGAACGCGCATCATACCCTTCCATTTGTCTTTGTTTCATCCCCCATCTTCTTCTTCCCCCACTTCCTCTATTTCCGCCCCCATCAGCATTTTTAGACATCAATAACAAAAAGCAACAATGAACAATACTTGTACAATGAACCACATGAGTAAAACCAGTTATGGGCTGCTCTTTTTTGAATGATGGATTTCTTATCACCTGCCCTAATGTATGCATAGACAACATTGCTCCCCATCACTTTATCAGCTCATGCATCATGGATCATCCCACGAAATCCCCACGCCCACCATGCACAATAAAAGGATGTTGTCGCCGCCCATCATACTCCCACACGTCTCTTTCCTTTCCTCTGCCTTACTTCTTTGATTGTTTACAAGGCCAAATTTCCCAACGTTTGTGTGTGTCCCATTTCTTGCAAACTTTGTGAATAAGCGCTGATCTTTGTGGTCATTCATAGTGCTTTATTTTTATCCTACTCTCATTGTCGTTGTATTGCGATATTGTATTCTTGTAATGAGGTAAAGCCTGATCAAGTTTCTTGATGAGCCACTACTCATACACGCTACCTTGTTACTTTCGATATAGCTATCTCTCCGTGAAGCATCTGCAAAAGTTGGTTTCGGTGCCATGTTCTAAGTCGAGTGCTGAAATTGGCACGGTGCACACGACTATGCAGGTTGGCAGGAGCCGCCTTTTTCAGGTTCCAATGGTGGCATAAGGGGAATCACTCTCAGCCGTAGGACATCCGTGAGCGATGGCGAGAAACAAGCTATGACGCAGTCTCATGCATCCATCAATTATCGATGGCACTTTATGCAAACAACGAATTGGCTGTGGCCAAGGTAAAGCCACAATATCAAGCTTTGAACTGCTGGCTCATTGCCACTGATCTCATCCGTATCGCAACGGTTTCCAAGGCTGCGTCGGATATCTACAAATCAAAGGCGACATTTTCATTCCTCGTCGTCGGTAAGCTTCTTTACGCAGCCCTCCCCCCACCATTAGTATCATGTACTCATTTTCTTTTTTACACGCAGGAAAACACGCGACATTTTACGTTCTTAATCGCCATCAAACTCACCTGTACACGTTGACCGAAATTGCGCACATCCAGCTCCCAGTGGTCCTTTCGCGACATACCACTCTTCATCGTGCAACTTTAGCGCCATCAAAAGCGCTACTCACGAAACCAAACAACCATCACCCGCAACATAGTCAAGGTCATTGTACAGTATGCTTCCTGAATATGGGCAAAAGCGGCGATCATGGCTATACCAACCATCCATCCACACTTACCGACGACTATATGATGCAAAATGCGAGGCCTTGCGAGCAACAGCAAAGGCTCGCGGGAAACGAATTCTGTCACAAGTCATTACAGCCATTAACTAATCTTCCCCCTTCACACAAATGTTTATTTCTTTCTTCTGTACATACACCTTTCTTATGGCATGATAATCTTTCGCCTATGTTTATTTTGTATTATAAAACCTTCTTGGTCTATGACTATTCTTTAACATTTGCTTCTTTGGTATGCATACACCCTTTTGTGATCATCCTTCCATTAAAATGGTGGATTGTTCCCATGGCAACTCTTCCAATGTTGTCAAAGCACGTCGTTCTGCTGGTGTTCAGTAATAATCCCCTCCAATCCTTTTCTTTCTCATCATTAGAACACGCATGTCAATCCCCCATCTTCTTCTTCCCTACTTCCTCTCTTTCCGCCCCATCAGCAATTTCAGACATCAATAGCAAAAGGCAGCATGAGTAAGATCATTTATGCGTGCGAACTTGTGTCACCCGATATAACGTAATTCTTAATGGCTGAGTATGTCTATCTCTTCTCGTTTCTCACACTCCATCGCACTCATCGCGTCAACATGGCAATGCATCGCTTGGATGGAAAGGTCGCTGTTATCACTGGTGGCGCTCGTGGACTTGGCAAAGCTGTAGCTACCGCTCTCGTGGATCGTGGTGCAAAGGTGATGATCGGAGATCTCTTAGACGAACAAGGTACTCAAACGGTCAACGAGCTTAATGCACGGTAAGGTCGACTACTTCGTGTGGTCATGCAAAATGGATCATAGTAGGAGCTCATCATTGATGATCATTAGTGTCGGTGGTTCCAAGGTGGCAGCTTACTTGCATACCAATGTCGTTTCATATAAGGACAATGTCACGCTTTTTCAGCAGGCTGAGAAGGAATTTGGTGGTGTTGATGTGAGTATAAGAGAGAGATGGGAAAACATTGTGCTCGAATTGACGTTCATGTTCATACTACTTTTAGATCGTGCATTTGAATGCTGGCATTATTGGTGGATCGAAGATGGCCTTTTCTCCTTTGGATGGTAAGTATGTAGCATAGGAGCTCTTTTACAACAACAGTACTCGATGCTGATTCTACTTATCTATGTAGATGAGCAAGATGAGAAGGTGATGATGGTAAACACCATAGGTGTCATGAAAGGGACCAAGGTTGCATTGTTGCATTTGGCAAAACGAGGTGGCGGTGTCATTGTATGCACGTCGTCGGTGGCAGGTTTCCATGTTGAGTAGGTTGATCACATTCGTGCATGATGGAATGGACTTGTAACACATTTCATATATGTAGCCCAGAATTGCTCGCATACAATGCATCCAAACATGCCTTGATCGGTTGGGTTAGGAGCTTCACCATGATGCCAGCTGTGTGTAACGTGCGTATCAATGCTGTTTGTCCTCATGTCATGTGTAAGTGTTTATCATCAAGGTGGTATTTAGTATACTACGGGACTCATTGTTGTATTGCGTATAGTGACGGATATGGTAACCAACGAACCAGTGAGTGAAGCATCGCTTGCCATTCAAAAGACATTACCACCAACATCGGTTGAATCAGCCGTCAATGCCGTGCTCCAGTTGATTGATGATCCATCAGCCAATCGTAAGGATGACGAATCACACTCGATTTTTTTTTATTCTTGTATTTATATGGGTGATGGTGCATACGTAGGTAAAACCTTGATGGCATTACCAGGAGGTATCATTCGCGAAGAGCCGTCGTTAAGATTGCCAGGTAAGCACCACACATTTCGCTTCACATTGATACGCATACTCATGGATGGTTTTTTATTATGCATAGCCGAGGCTACAAATGAAGCACTCAGAAAGGAGCTAGCAAAAACGATCCCAGCACGTGTTCAACGATACAAGGAAGAATTGGCTGATGCAATGAATCGCTATTTCAAGTCTCGCCTTTGAATGGTCCCATGAATAAATGTAGGCTGGTGATACCCATTAAATAAATTCCTTTGCCGAGTTGGATAGCAATGTCGAATGTCTATCAGTCATACCCACACAATAATGTTGAGAATGTAGTAAATGGATGGAGATGTATCAATGGATGTCGCCAGCGAATCATCGTATCTACCTTATTCGGCTTATGTTGTCATGCAGTGATCAAGGGGAAGGTTACCAGCATACAAAACATACGTAGATCCCACATAGCAGTCGAGAACATGATGATGCTCTTGTTATAACATTATTGAGCAGATCTTTGATGATTGTAATAATAACTTTTTAGCTGTGGACCCCTGTTTAGATACCGTTTTATGGAAACAACGTGAAACATGCATTCATTTAGGCAAGGTGTTGTGTCCATTTTCCCGTGAATGTGGTCCGTGAGCCAAAAAGACGTTCCATTCAAAGACATGATCCGATCATCTACCACATACATGTATACTTATTACACTAGTGGATTACGAATGTTTAATGTTATGATCGTTTTACGATTGAGGATGATAGGTGGGTGCCACTGTACCATCAAAAGAAGGTCAAGATACTTTGGAAGAAAATTGAAGGATCATGGGAACTTAGAATACAGTAACGGAAGTGCTGTAAGAGGAAGTGCATCCCACAATCATAATAATACCTTATTTCTCAGCAACACCTTCCACAAAGACGCATGTTATTAATACCTCGGTACCTGCAATTCACGTAAATGACCTATCGTATTGATTTTGTGTGGATGCATTGTTTGGCAGAGGCAAGTATCTGTAACAAAGAATGAATCTCGACGACTTTGGATACTCATTAGCATGATATCACCAGGTTACACAAAGCTGGAAAGCCATCGAAGCCCATAGCCCATACAAAATTTGCAGCTATCTATCTCTTGCCATCCCCTATCTGATATGCGATAGATATCAGGGTCCGGCTTTATCATGGCGACCACCCACCTTTCCCCTTTTTTCTTTCCTTAATGTTCTCCTTCCACCCGATGACCAAGCTGTGCAACGAGCCATCATCATTTTATATTCTTGGTAGCAAAGTAGTAGTAGTGGCCAGGTCAAAATCGAGTGCTATGTACATAGAATGGTTGATCTAACCACAAATGTGAAGGATGAATGATGATGAGCATCGGCAGTCATATCAATGAGTGATCTAAGCTTATATAAGTGGAGAGCAGCATAAAGCATAATATGCATAAACAGCATTTACAGGGTGCCCGGGTTGATGATGCTCATGTGACAGATGTTGTTTTTGATATGCGAGCGAGAACAGACTTGTCTTTTGGTTACCCTTGAACATCCATGTTTTGCGTTTGTATACTTTGATCTACAAAAGGATGCAGTTAATAATAAACGGGCATGTTGGACATGTGAAGCGGTTACTATTGCGAGCAAAAGATTTTCCTTGTGTGCAAAAAGTACAAGAAAAGCTCAGAAACAAGGGGAAATTTTGGGTGATGGGGCAAGGGGGACGGACCACCTGAGCTGCTCAAGGGCGAACATTTCATTGGATGACCCCATCTTATCTGCCTATTTCTTTATGCACTATTAGTTGCACACCATGAGATCTCCGCTAATACAAGAGAAGAGAGCACACATACACCCGCAGCAAATTTCCACCCACACACAAGAAGTCTAGAGAGAATGTGGGTGTTCTTACGAATGGTGACTCACTCACGTGCTTCCAATGGGAAACAAATCGAAAACGAATTTACACACACACGCACATACACACACACATACGCATACATCATTTGGCGATAAAATGAGAAAGCATTCAGGGGGGGAAGGTAAGAGTAACAACGAATCGTGGTGAATGAGCCATTAAAATCTGTCGCAAATTGTGCCATCGCATCAGAAATTTTTGGTGAAAATGGTGTGTCCTGCAGCCAACCCAGTTATCACGCCATGGGCCGGGTTCAGTGGAAATTTTTGTGTCTTTTCAAACCCCCCACTTCCCAAGCTCTCCCCCCAACACACGAGTAAGATATAAAAAGGAGATGCAAGGTGCTGTTCTTCCAGCTTCGTTTCCTTGACTTTCTTAAAGCACTCACAACAACATGGATTTGGATACCAATTGGTGCCCTGTTTGCGATAAAGCTATTCATCCTTCATTGGTAAGCGTCAACAACATGCCATGATTATTGAAAGAAGTATATCTCTAACATCTCATTGCTGGTAACAGGAATCGCTCTACTGTTCACAAGAATGCCTACAATACGATGCATTGCAAAGGAACCCACTCTTGGGATACGACTTTAAAGACTTTAAGGATTTCTTACGTCCTTCACCATCAAGACAGCAGCCTATGCAACATCAACAACCTCGCACGCCATTGTCACTTGTGGTTGCACCATCATCCTCATCACAACAACAATCACCATCAACGGCACCTCTATCTCCATCCTCGTCTTCCATTTATAGTAATGATTCCTCAAGTGCCGAGTCACCACTATTGCTCACCCCAAGATCACAACCACCGATCCTGAATGGTAGTCCACCTAAGCTCGACCTTGGTTTATCGTATTGCAATTACCATCATCATCATCAACATCAACAACCTACCCATATTGCAAATAGGGCAGCAGGCGTGCCCTGAAAGAAATGAGACGACGTCATTCTGCAAATCACAACACACACACAAACATACCTCTTTGGCTCCCGAAACACCCGCCAAATCTTGCCAAATGCATTTGTTTCCCTTTTATCACGCACATACATACATGCACATTATGCATCCTCTCTCTCTTGCCAAACAACACGAAAACAAAAAAAAGCATCACACCTATACCCCATCACACATCCTCCCCAACACCTTGTACAGCAGCAGTTTTTTCCTTTTTCTTTTTTACATAAACTAGTAATAATATCATGAAACAACGCGGCATGTCCACGTGTTGAGATCACAGGAGGGAAGGATCGTGTTCTTATCTCTTTTGTGCCTGCTGCTGCATATAACCACCAATACGGATGGAGCTTGTGTCTTTTTTTTTCTTGCTCAATTAAGCCTTAGTACTACACCAAGGGTCACAGGTCGAAGAAAGAACCACCCAACTTGAGCTATAGAGCTGACCATGGGGCTGGTCAGCACATAGACTGGGATGCTGCCGATCCACCGGTTGTCTTTGTCATCTTCGGAATAACCCTTGAGCATAATTCTTAATGCACCACGTGGTGTGGTGGACATATACACACACGCCCACCATTATTACATACATCGACCACAACAAGCGTTCTGCTACTACCACCATGCCCTATGTATTGAATGGGCATCCGCTGCTGATAAAGAAAAATGTACTTCATCCTAGTAGCAGCATGCTCCAATAATAATACGAGAGCATGATTCTGTCACATTTTGATACCACCATAGGACACGATACATTCCTTCTTAATCGGGGAGTCATTCTGCAACAGGGTGAAATGATAAGCATTATTCTCTATCGATATCTGATACGTAGTCCGCTATCTCCATACATACATCATGAGTCAATTTTTCTTCATGGTACGGTAAACACAGCAGGTTAGCGCTGCTTTGCATATAGTAGCTCGTGTTTGCGTATCTACAATGATAACAACAACGTAGCAACCTTGTTGGTGGAAAGCAGCAGCAGCAGTTTCTGGATTTCAATCGTGGTGATCGTCAACCAAGCAAATTTCTTAAAGGTGGCACGCAAATCAAAAAAGTCCTGGTGGCGTGCAGGATGCAACAATGTCTTTATGATATTGGATAATCGGTCTAGTATTATGCTAACAATACCAATGCAGCATGGTTAAATCATATCACGCACATGAACAAAGGGCAATTTTGATCAATGGAATGTTTCAAACATATCCAACATGGTGCTATGCCGTTCCTACAAATGCTTGAAAACTTTGATGGGCATACCTAATGGGCGGGATTGGGCTGGGTTGTATGTCTTTATAGGCACAGCCACAGCTTTTGGGATCCTTCATCATCTTCTCAGCCTTCTTCGTGACAGCATTCACGGATGTCTCGCCGCGCCCTTTTTGGCTTCCAGCTATTGCGGATGATCCATCAATCGGTGGATACATAGAGGACCACCATGCAGCTTGTCAAAATGATGGGCCACCCCCCGTTTATCCGTACTTTTGCCGATTCTATGGACGCGTGGATCATTGTTGGGGATGAGGATCGATTACCATGTGTGCTACATCAAGATAGGCTCTTCGATCTGATGAGACGCATGCAACACAACATACACTCCCCCTGATCCACAAACTCGGTAGTGGGTCGCTGTTCCTGAACTCAGGCTTGTTGCTGCCGACAGCCTTGTCATGATTGAAAATGCATAAAAAGAATGGGACGTTGTATCTTTCATTGTCTTCAAGAGACAACATGCGTATATGAAAAAAGATACGTTCGTGGGGATGAAGTATACCTGTACTTGCCCAAGAACGTAGTATCAGATCACAAAAAGAGTGCAAGGTGGTCGACCATGTAGCGAAAATTTGAGCTCAAAATCATCTTGTGGAAGAGTGGCTGAATGGCAAAAGCTGGTGGGATCCTTATCAAATCACCTAAATAGGTAGCTTCAGGTCAACAAGAAGGACCACTAAGAGCGTTGTATGAACATAGGTGGCTGATGTGCAGCTATCAGCGTTCTCAAATGTAGACTAAGGATGGATTGACAAGGGATGTTGCCGTAATGATGTACGTGTATGCTTTCTTTTTGGAATCCAAGAAGCTGTAGATGCATGATGCTGCGTGTTGTGTGTGTGTGTGTGCGCCGTATACTGTCATTCAAATGTGACTCTTTTGAAGCTGAGATTTGGATGACACGATATGCTTCATGTTATATTACCAATTGACGTTGATGAAAAGTCGTCATCGTATTGACGTTGTGCGAAGGTGATGAGAAGAATGACAACATCTGTGGGTGGCCAAAGAGGAGGAGCAATGCATACCTCATTGGTCGATTTTGCCACATCCAATCGGCGCTAATCCAAATAGGAAAGCGCAAACAACAACTTTGTTCCTCCACCACTACTAGGTATTAAATGTGTGCGTGTGTGTGTGTGTGTGTGTGTGTACGTGTGGCAAACGCTTCCATATCTTTCTTTATTATGCATGACATGGAACATGGTCGAAACAGAAAACAATCGAAAAATTTCTTGGAACAAGGAAATGCTGCTAGCCTATAAAGGTTGCCACTCAGCAGCAGCAGCAGCAGCCGATGTGAGAGCTGTTGTGGCGTGTAGTAGTATATTTGTGGGGAAGGGTGTGCAATGAGAAAAAACGCCTTCATCTCTTTTCGTCATTTGAATGATAGCACCATCTCTTTCCCACCACTACCGCCATTAGAGATTTTTCTGTTTTTCATCAATCTGCTGAATGTGAAAGCGCATATACATGGTATCAGTGAATTGACGAGCGTGGGTAATGGATTCTCGACTCTTTTGTTACAAATGACGCAAAAGGCAAAATGGCCTCTTTGTTGTGCACAACATACACAATACGACATGCATCTTCGTTTTAATCCCCTTGGCAACCATACCCGTTACACATACATTACGACTGGTTTGTAAGCCAAGGTCATCTCCGCCACGTCAAAAGGAATAGTAAAAGTGAAAAGACGAGGCCCACCATAAATAAATTCGCTGTGTGTGGGAGAGGGCCAAAAAATAAAGAAAATGTGGTACATGCACTACTGGGTTTTTCTCATCCGAGAAAACGGGTTGACGATCAGTTGTTCTTTTTTGGCGGGCGTATGCAATGCACAATGACAAAAAGGAGGAGTCATCCATCTTTGTAATGTAATGGATGCAAGAAGAAAGGAAGTAGGCGGGAGGGGGGGGGGAGGAGAGATGCAACAAGAACCAAAGCATCAGGTAAGATGGGGTTGAGCAGCAGCTCTTCTGGGAAAGTATCATGTGCGGTATATAAAGAGAGATGAGCTTTCAGCCTTTTGCTTGGCTATCACGCATGATTCGTGTGGGGTAAAAAGGGAAAGTGCCTGGTTCCCGTGCATTTGATTTAAGGTTCAAGATAAGCAAGGTCAGAGAGAAACAAGCAGCCAAGATGACAACAGTAACAAGTCCTGGTGCAAATGATCCTTCCAGGTCCTTTAGTAATAATAGCCACACACACACACGCAAATGTATATATATCATCTCCACTATGTTGGTTGTTACTCCCTCTCCTTTTTCCACACGCCGTTTCGGAACCATCATTTTGGTTCTCGGACCGGTATTAAAGCACCGTGCATCCGCTGCACACTGCAAAGTAACAAAAGAAAAAAGACCGCTATATCTTAAAATTCATATTGGGATTCAAGAGAGAGAGGGTGAAAAAGAGGTAGGGTACCAATCAGGTCCCTGTTGTTCCCACCCACAAGAACAGACCAATGGCTGCTGCTTGATTCGGGAAATCATTTGCCAGCATGGGGGAGAAAGAAGACTCTGATCGTTTGTTGTTGGTGATATGAGATTACTCTCTCAAGCTTGTTCTGTTTTGTTGTGGTCTTCATGTGATTGATCTTTGATCAACCCCCACCCATCCTATCTACACTATAAGAAAATTTCCATACAACCCTATACACATCATCCATGCTTACAACACCATCATTCTCCGATGATGCTTTTGAGTATTGGGGGTGCCAATTGACCACTACAATCATCGTTGGCATGCATATCATAAAAACCTGTTATCATCTCTTTCACGTCATTTCATTTGAAGCTTATGTGTGTTGTGTGTCTTGCATGTGTTTGTGCCTTGTTACGTTATATTTACGAGGCACATTTGAACATCTACATTGGTGGATTACTCACGCAAAAACTGTCATTCCCAATGTAAAAATGCACCAATTAGCTGATATCTGATAGCAATGCATGATCTCACCCACCAGCAGCAGCAGCAGCCCTTTTTGGGTTTGTGCAGAGTACCACCAATTAAAATGAAGCAAAAGGTGTTTTGGCTCCGTTTCCATGATGGATACTTAAAAAGGAAGATGCCTTGGAGATGACGATGAACCTTGCAGGTACCCGCGTAAAGGTGAGGCAAGATAAGCTGTGACGTTGGTGTGTGGCATAAAAGGGAAATCTAACCGGTCAAGGTGTCCCCCTTCCTTTCCACTTGTGCTCTTTCCTTTCATCTCAAGCGTGCCTTTTTCTTTCCCCCCTCGCACACACACATACACACACACACGCTCGCTCTCTCTTTCTTTCTTTTCGATCTACACACACACACTCAACATTCCTCTTTTATACTCTTCACTCCGCTAGAAAAAAAATGTCAGATCTGTCGTGGTGTCCAGTTTGCGATAAAGCCATTAATGCCTTTTCGGTAAGCGGAGAGAAGAAGAGCAGCAGCAGCACACGGACCATTGTTCATTGACATCATGAATGTTTTGCAGGATTCATTGTATTGCAGTGAACAATGCCTTCGAGCTGATGCGCTTCGTAATCATCCATTGTTGGGCTACAATTACGAAGAATTTGTCGATTTCCCTCGACCTGCTTGCGCTTCAAAGAGAAACAACAACACCACCACGTTGTCCATGTCTTCGTCAATATCATCATCGTCATCCTTGTCATCTACCAACAGCAGCAGCAGCAGCAATAATAATAATAACCATTGCAACACTACCTCCATGTCATCATCACCTTGTGTCTCTCCCACGTTGACAGCAGCAAGTTCAAGTTCTTCCAGTACCACGGCTACGTCGATAGCATCGTCATGGCGATCTTCCAACAATATCGAGCAACATTTTACCCCGCCAAAGTTTGACTTGTGTGATACCACAGGTCGGAATGCTGCTGGTGCTCTTGCCACAGCTCATGGTGGTGGTGTTACTACCATCCATCATCATCCATACTATTCCCATCATCCTCGACATATGAAAAGTTCACGTTCTTGATTGATTGGCGCAATCAACAACATCATCATTAACCATCATTTTTTTATGTATTCTCATATTCCCCTCCTCTCTTCTCCTTGCCGAATCCTTTGTTGCTCCTTGTCTTCATTATTTACTACAAGACCACCACCACGCTTGATATACCAAATGCTATCTCTTCCCCTTATCTGATCCTCTCCTTTTTGTACGCGTACGCGACAACAGCAGAGAAAAAAACAACACACCCACAAACACACGACATTATCTCTATGCAAAAAGTGAAAGAAAACCCATCCAATTATTATATCAACCTGCATCATCCACCCAAAAAAAGACTTCATACCCCCATTCCCTCTCTTTATTTCCACACCCCCCTTTATCTCTTCCCCAGCTATTTCTGTATATATATGAGACTCTCGAAAAAAAAGTATCCAATTGGATGCACGAATAACAGACCTCTCTCTCTCTCTCTCTTGTTCTATGGAACTCTACGTTACACATGACCTCATCATCTCTTACAACATTGCTTGTTTATGGTAAACAGCGCATGTCCTACACGGGTCACGTCCACCTACTTTATAGAAACGCTACTACCACCATCATGCAAAAAATCATCATGCCCGTGACCCGTGTTTGTGGCTATGGTGTCATCTACGCAACTTTTTGCATTATACTGTACTGACCCGATGATGATGTTAAGTGTGCCACACACACACACACATACGGCACATGTACGAAAAAAGAATCATTTGCTTGGCAACAATGGAAAAGCCGAGGAACGACAACGACGACGTGATGGCTGCACGTGTGTCCATTGGGGGGGTGGGGAAAGGGTCGAGGAGGAGGAGGAGGCTGATGATGTTCCCTTTTTATATCCATTTTCTTCTTTCTACCAGCACATGTGTGGCGGCATGACAATTGCTCAGCAGCGAGAGAGAAAGAGAGAGAGATTCATGCACGTTCTCTATTGTATGCATATAATAACGACTAATTTTATTGGCTATTAGGTTGTTTGAACCGTGAGCCCAACGTACACAGATCAGGGGTGGAATCCAGGGGTGAAGGGAGAGAGAGAGAGAGAGATCACCTATTCTCATTGGGGTAATAAAGGAGTAAGATAGAGAGAGAGAGAGAGAGAGAGCAAGAGCGAGAGCGAGATACCGACACACTATCCACTAGGTAATAATAGCACCTTATTCTTCTCTTCACCTTTTCTTGCGCATGACATGTCCTTTATGAATGACGATCCAGTGAATCGTACCAACGTGGGTCGCATAGCATATTATACTGATCAAGTGCACAACTATGAATTCCGTGTGGAGCACAAGAATGGGTCGACCGTCATTTCACCTCGCGATCCGGGTCAACGTACAGAGCTCAAGATTGGTATTTTGTTGCCATTCCACCAGACATCTGACAATGTGACACGCGAGTTGACAATCAGGTAGATAGAGTGGTGGTGTGTGTGGGTGTGTGTGTGTTGTGGGAGAGAAAAAGAGAGTTGTGATGGTGGTGGCCTATGCAGCTGACGACAGGGGACACCATAATGTAGTGGTACTTCGGCTATTCGCATGGCAGCTGCCGAGATCAACACACAACAAAGGATACCAGGTGCCTATGTAACATTGATTGAAAAGGATTCATTTCCTCAAGCTCTGGAAGGTCAAGAAGCTATCACCCAAGCTGTGGTGTCGGCCATTTCGCTTGTGCAACAAGGGGTCATTGGTGTGATTGGCGACATTTCTTCTTCGTGGACAGCCCTTTCAGCATTAATTACTTCAACACTCGAGATACCTCAGTGCTCTTTTACTGCCATTGCATCTTCTCTTGCAGACCGTTCACAGTACAGCTATTTTTATCGCACCATCCCAACCGATTTGCTTTATGCTGATGCCGCCCTTTCATTCGTCGCAAGTCAAGGCTGGCCCTATATTTCCTTGCTCTATTCCAACGATGATTACGGCAATCAATGTATGTTATCTATATCTACGAATCATTCTTGCCGATGACTAATGGGAATCTACTAGTATCACAATATGCTGTCATGAAAGCCAAGAGCCAAGGCATTCTAGTGAATGGATATCAAAGCTTTTATGGCGAGAGCGATCCATTGCATCAAGTATCCGATGACATTGAAGAGTTGCTGAGCAATCCAAATTCACGCATTGTCTTTGTGGTGGCCCAAGATGAAGCCATGACAACAGCCCTCGTGGCAGCTGCCAATAAGGGTTACATGAATTCGGATCATGTATGGATATCGCTTGGACCTTTGCCTGATACAACAACGATCCAATCCTCTATCGATGGTTTCAATGCTATCTTACAATCACGTCAACAAGGCCAAACACATCAACAGCTTGATTGGTATGCCAACAGCGACGTTGCCAGTGAATCACTCCAAAGCAACCAAACCGGGAATTCAATGCGAGCCATCGATTACATTGCATGGACAACACAAGAATATCAACACCCAATCGATTATCCTACAGCATTTTCCGGTGGCATCTTTTCGTTTGCCCTTGGGATCAATCTTACTGGTTATGGACCTTTTGATCAATTGCAACACACATGGTCACAACTCGATCCTCAGCTGTAAGCAAATACTACAATGGGGTGGATGGCCTATCTCATGCATGTGTCAATTAGGTATCCATCCGCTGGTAATGCATCTCGAGCCTCTTCCAATGTAGCTATGGCCTATTCTTGTTTATGGTCCATGGCAGATGGCTTTCGCAAAATCGTATCGGGATCATCCAACATGACACAAATGTTAAATCAGCTGGTTACACGCCAATTGGGCGATGGCTTTACTCCCACGGCTTTCAACACTGGAGACAATGGCCCTGATGGACCCATGATCTTTAATGAAAATGGTGATCGTGCAGTTGGGTACGTAGTTGCATCATCATCATCGACCTCATGATGACTTAATCGCCCTTTTCCATTATTAGCAATTTTCGTGTGCTCAATATCCAACATGGTCAAGAAACCCAAATTGGCACCATCTTTGCAGGCAAAATCAACTTGACAGAGACACCTCTTTATTATGGCGGCTCATTGATGGTATGTGGGTAGGAAAGCAAAGAATGGCTTAGGGCTGATTCAAGATCAATTGCAGGTACCTACAGGCTTGCCAGCAAAAACATGCATCAATCCAGGCTATCATACTCCCATTTCACTCGTCATTGTCGCATTTACAGCATTCGGTGTGTTTATGGCTCTTCTCGCTGCTTTATTAATTACCATTCGTCGACGTCATCTTGTATCCAACATATCCAGGTACGAATGTATACAAGCGACAATGTGACGAGATGTGATGGATTCGCTAACAAATGACAATGCATGCATAGCCTTTTATCTTGTCTCTTGGAGCTCCTTGGGTTTATCTTCATATATACATCCGTATTCTTCTTCTCAGCAGATCGCACATTGATGGATTGCTTTATTATCCCCGTATCCTTCCATATTGGCTATACATTACTACTTGGGTAAATTGTATGATCCATCGCTCATGCGTATATCCATTAACTCGTGTGTATCATTTTGCAGATGCCTTAGTCTCAAGTTGTACCGCATTTATGCAGTGCACAACAACATTTACTTGAAAAAACCGATCGTCACGGACCGGCAATTGCTACGCGTATGCCTTGGTGGATTACTTATCACAGGAGTAAGTTGTGTGTGCGACTCGATGGCCTTTATGATTGCTGATTCCTATTTAGATTGCATTAGTGATTTGGCTGCCTGCAACAGAGGTGCAAACGCTTAGTGTACCTGTAACTTTGACAACCTATTTTGTGCGATGTGATTATGAAGGCGGTGTGCATAGCATGCTTGTTGCATTGATCACGCTGGTGGCTGCTCTCTTTTTGGCAACAGCTGTCATGTTGGCTATCCGTACACGAGCAATACCCAAGAACAAGCCAAAGTATGCGGAATGTCGGCATATCAGTCTTGCCATCTAGTAAGTTGTTGTTGTTTCTAAAGGGTTTCCTTATTAACATGACAACCTTTAGCAACATTTTCTTTTCATCGCTTATCGGATTCACTGTATTTCATTCGGCAACCGACTACTTTACTCGGCATTATCTCTCGGCCGCAATGATCGTATGGGGAGCCACCTTTTCGTTATTGATTTTGTATTTGCCAAAGCTTCATACAATTTACATCAAGGAGCGTGCACGAAAAAACGTGACAACAGGACGCATGTCAAACACACGATGGAACAATATGAACAACAACGGTCCACAACCACCGCCATCACCAGGACCACCACGTGCATTTACGAGTACAACAGGAGGTGGTGATATCATCAGCATCAATCGTATGCTTGCTTCCGGTGCATTCAGCAGCAACATGCCAGGATTAACGGAGCAAAAGGTGCATCAGCATCATCGATTAGCTGCAGGGGAATATGGCGTGGATTCTGAAGCATACGAGGTAAGCTTTTGATGACTTTTTATTCATCCCAGCATTCACATTTCAAATAGGCACGCATGCCTGTACAAGTGGTATACCGCTATTTTCCACATCTAAGTGCGTGGGATATGAAGCACATTGTATTGTTTCCACGTGTGCGTTATTTTTCATTCGTGTCGGCAAGTATTCTTCTTCTTTTGCATAAACTAAAAGCTCATCAAATGCTGACGCTGGGACATGGGATAATAGGAAAAGTCACACAAAGGATGTGTATTCCATTACAAGGAAGCTGTGATCATTTCCAATAGTGGTGACGAACACATCATCAAGGTGCGTGGTAATGGCCGATCCGATGTGTTGATACAGGTTGCCCGGCAACAAGAATTGGAGCTATGGTGTGCAAGATTCAATAGCTATTGTCGACAAGATCCACCACCCATGCAGAGTGTCGCCACAACCACTGGTACTTCACTAACCACCACATCAGCCTCCCAGCTTATCATTTCGGATGGCATTGAGCAACAGCATAAAAAGGATGACTATAGTTGGATGCTCGAAAGCTATCACGAAGAATACGGCTCATCATCGTCTTCTGGTTGATCGCAATTTCACATATACCCATAAACTTTGTATTTCACCCACATCATCATCATCATCATCATCATCGTTTTCATCAAGATGTATTATATATACAATCACCTATCTACACTTTATTGTACAAATAAAACATACGGTAATGGATTTGGGAGATATCGACGCCACGGTCGCAGTCCAAAACTGCCCTTTTGGTATTCTTCCTTTTACTTTTCTTCTTGAACACCTACACGCACACCTGCATCCCACCGCCCCGATGACTTCACCAACGGGCTCTCGACCTGAATCGTATGCTGAAAACTTGTATGCCGGGTTCTTTGGTGGTCACGATGGAGAGCATGTATTGCCGATCCGGCGGTTGACGAGAGAGGATATTGAAAAGGCCCTCGATGCCACTGGCAGCACGAGAATGAAGAAGCATAAAGTGGATCCTTTCAGCAATCGCACGCTTGGCCTCGATAGTCGTGGGAAACCTGTATACAATATCACGTTGAAGACTCGTCAACCTGGTTCATTATTTACAGCCAACGAGGACAACAATGATGCATCACGAGAAACGCCTACTTCCTACATGACTCAAAATGGACGTCTTCAGCTTTTACGTTATCCACCTGTATCATTATACGATTTCGATCAGCCTGTGGTCACCAAGCCTACTCCTTTATCAATCTTTTTGGATGTTGATCAATATACAGCCACGCGAAAACAAGTGATGGATGATTTTGGCGGAATGTGGACAGCCGAATCCATGCAATTAGATCAACCAGCAGTGGTACAACAATCATCGCCTACAATAGAGCCACCATCATCAACAGACCAACAAGTCCCAACAACCGATACAATGGACCAAGATCAGCATTATCATCCTGCACGTTGGGTTCCTGTATACGCTACCCCCTTCCAACAATCAACTTGCGATGAATTTTACAATCCAGAACCCAACGACGACATGTTATCTGCAAAAGTGGATTTCAGCGAGACCATTTCACGTTTGAATCATCCATTGGAAGCGATGGTAGATGATTATGATGTAACAGCTGCTGACAAGTGGAATGGATCCGGCAAAACACAATTCATTCGTGATCTGATCCATGCTATCAATGAAGCACAAATGGTAAGTGTTGACGAGGATGGATAGCCACACATACATGCATGCATGGTAACCCTTCTTTGGGGGGTTTGGTAGTATATGAAATTGGCCATTGTGACCTACGACATGAATTATGAATCGTTCTTTTTCAACATCATCAAGAGGGAGCTTGGATTACCATGTGAACGAATTAGCTCGGTATTGGATGAGATATGGGAGCGTGAATATGGTGTACTATTCCCAACAAGCACCACTCAATCGGTAATACCCCCTTTTGGTCTTTAAAAAACATGTTGCTAACAATGAATATATATTAGTATGGATCTGACCAACCCACAGCGGATCTTGTGATTGCTCTTGATATCCGGTTACGACCCAACAATACTGTATTCCAAAAGATTGAATCACGGAGCGATAACAATAACGGTCGACCTCCTTCGCTATGGTTGGTGACAATGGGCAGTGTTGAAATGCGGGCTGCACAATATATGGAAAATGATACGACTCGACATGACCGATGGGCCAATGAATGGTGGTGTGATGCCCCTGGATACTATAATCTTGTATGGAAGCAAAATACGTGGCCCACTGAACAAGAAGCAACGACACAAAGACAACACGTGGTCCAATCCGTGATGCAATGGGTGAAAGGTGGTTGCCATGGAGAATTCCAATACGTTCAAAAAACACCATCATCACAACGCGATACCATCACCACCACGACCACCCCCATCATCCCACCGCCATCAACACCACCTGAAATTCATGTCGCTGATTCATCCACACCTCCACTACCTCCTTCAACGCCAACAGAACCAAGAACAACTGATACAACCACCACACAAATCAAGCAGGTTAGTGATGATGAGATGCTAGATGGCAAGCAAACTCAAACAATCCCCCCCCATTCTAGTTATTCCGATATCCATCCATGTTTTCATCCAAGATGTCATCGCCGCTTCCCCAATTTGTTGGTATGGAAGATGACGACTCGGCGTCATCCTTTTATTCTGCAAGTGAGTTTGTGGACACTGACATATCAGGTAAACCTCTTTCTATGCTTGATCCTCTAACGCATACCAACCCGGATTTTGTTTTCTTCTTTAAAGGTATCAAGAACCAATTGGGACCCTTACGATCAGAATACCAGAATGAATGTCAACTCATCATGGCCAAGTACAAGAAAGCATATCAAATGGAGATGGATCAGCTACAGAAAAAGTATGAGCAAAAAGCATTGGAAGAACTACAAAGACGACAACAGCAACAACAACCCTAGAAAAGCATTCCCCATCATCATCTCCATCGCCCAACAACAATAAACCTTTTGTAAATAGAAACGCCACAAAAACATGGCCATTGATCAATTCTTTATTCTTCACTATACATTTTACAAAAAAAAATTAATGCATCTTAGCTAATTTATCTTTCTTAATGAGTTCTCTTTCAAGGTATCTGACATATTCCTTTAAATCATTGTTTTCTTGATAAAGATGGATGATTTTGCTGAATGCATAGTCGTTAAGTGCCTCAAAGAAACTGCAAAGTTTATCTCGTCCCACTGTGCGTTTCGAGTTAGTACATTGACTATGTCGAGAAGCATACATTAGGATATGATGCACTTACATAAGTATTCCACACCAAAATTAAGACATCCCATCAAGGTTCGAGGCCACTGGAATCCTTCCGGCATAACGTCTTTCACACTATTGGCGAGGCGTCTTAGGTGACCCCACCATTTTTGCTGGCGGTTCAGCGTGTCATCTTCGGGTTCTTGCATCCTATAGAAAACGTGATGGTGGGTTCATTGCATTCAAACCAACTGAAGAGAAGGGGTACTGATACTTACAAATCGGGGATGGGGACACGCGCTCTTGTGAGGAGCTGTTGAATTGTGACATCACGGTAAAATGACCAAGGATATTGCACCATAGTTTTAATAAGAGAGAAAAAAGTAAAATGATCGATACGTAACGCCTACCGTATCCTTTATATAATGAACAATGCAGCCTATCAGATGACCTGTACATCGTTTGGAAGGTTACACCCCGCTACTGTAGAGTAACTTGGCGAAACGCCGGCTAAGGTTGAACATTAATGTTTCAAGTGGGTACTTGGCAAGAATATAGGATGTTATTACCATATTGTTGGCCCATGGTGCTAGTTTCTCGGCTCAGTTATGGCACTTCATCCATGTTATTTGCCTTTGTCCTTTCCCTGAAACACTCCATATATACACAAATGGCTTAATTACCATCATCATTAATATCAATGCTGCGGATCACCTTGGTTGTTACTACGCGTGTTTCACAGAGACTTCTCATGACCTTCGTGTACAAAATTCCAAAATGGTTTGGGCGATCGCTGAACGTACACATTTCCAAGTCATCAACAACATAGCTTTACTTGATGCAAATTGAAAACGCGTAGAACTATTAGGATAGTCCAAGTAAATACATCTCTTCTGTGAATATGTAATGATGCACTTGTTCGGTGATCTGCCAAGCAATAATACACTTTCTTACATTTTCTTACATTTAAGAATTCTGCACACAAGCTGTATCTTTTTGACCTAATGGCCATGTGACCTTATATATCAGCCACCGAGGTTAGGGCTTTTTTTGGTCATTCCGAAAGATGAAAAATAAGATACAACCGACCACAGATATTTGATGATACGGTAACTCATCAGAGTGGGGCTCCATAATGGGCGTTCTGCTCATCATCGAATGAATGGGAACGTCGGCAATTGCTCCGAGGACATGTCTTTGTTTAACGTATATGTAGTACACAGCATGAGAAGATAAGGAAGGGCATACAAACAAACAACGTAGTAGTAATCTGCCATTGAGACATCAACACGTATCAATGATCGCGAAGGAAGGGATCTTCCTTCATGCCACCATCGTTCCCTAAGACCCAGCATGTCCGAGCGACTGCATCATCCTCTCCATTATCAATGAGTGATACCAGTGATAGCTGAAGTTGATCGTGTTTTGATGGTCGTATTTGCCCCAAAATAGATACATGTGCTGAGCAGCTGCATAAGTATCAAGGAGCAGTAATGCTATCAACCGCCTCACTCATACTAGAGCCGAAGATGCAGAAGGACGTTTGTGTAACTTTTCCTAAGGCCAGCTGCTTGAAAGGTCAATCCTATTGGTTGAGAAATGCATGATCGACCCTTCCTCTGCCTTTCTATAGTAAGGTTCGCCCATGATGGCCCGTATGGAATGGTCCATTCTTATATACGGGTGTATGGGATAGCGTTAGATATAAGTTATCATCATTAAGCATAGCTTGTTCATGTGTTCGTGCCATAGCAGCCCATTCTTCCTTGAATAATTAAGCTCACACAATGAACCATGCGCTGTAACAAGCTCAACTTTGGTATCATCACTCTCAAATTAGTTATCTTTGCAATACAAGCGTTAGATAATCGCCACTGCCTTTCGTCTACTATCAGCATACGTTCTAAAGAGCTTTAGTAAAGTCATAAAATGTTGTGGCAAAGAACAAAAGCACGGCGATGTCAATGATCCAACCTCACTTTACGACTTCCATTTCTATTCCCTCTTTCAAACTAGAAACCAACCAAGTGATTCACATCTTGCCCATATGAGCTGATAGCATGATACCCCAAATATTATGTTCAATCCAATTTTCATTCGATGACAAAGTTGAAGAATAGTATATGGTAGTAGTGTAGGTGTCTATCAAGTAAATAGGATGAAGGAACAGCATTGCAAAGATATGAAGAGTGAAATCACATAGAGGTCACAAGGATAATGGTGTCATTGCACTCTTGGTTGCTGCCGTCATAAGCGTCCTTTGTCCATGATCTCTAATCCGTTGCTGCATAATATGACTTGAGTATCCCAATGCCATCCACGGCTGCAAAACACCATTTGTCAAAGATATTGTAAGCCATTTTGTCAATATCATCCAATCCATCATCATCCTTAGCCGTATCCACGTGAAACGATCCATCCTTCCTGCTGACGACGCGCCAAGTAACCAAAGCAACAGTCCAGGATGCCCCATCACTGCACTTGATTGCATCCCTCCATCATAGTCATTGCAAATCCAATGTGTTGGTTGAAAAGAGCCATGTGATGGTTGCATGCTTCCGTTTCCATCCAGCTGTTGATCCATCCCTTTCTAATTCATTTCCCATCGCTGCTCAACCAGGTGAAGAATTGCTTGTATTGCGGCGTACTTGATAGCTGATATGGATCATTCATTGGTATCCGTATGTATCAAAGCAAGTTGCTGTAAGTAAATAACGCGACTTCTATACAATGGCCATCTGCTGCTCATGTCAAAAAAGACTGCTGCATGCAAAGGACGCTGGTCAAGATAATCGAGTGAAGACCTTGCTGATAATAGCAGCTGCTGTTACGTTTTGCCGGAGCGTGTGTTGTCGTAAAATGACAGGGTTGCGAACACTGTTCGATACAATGCAGTGAAGACCTTGCTAATGGCAACTGCTGTTACGAATTGTTGTGGCAGAAAAGTGCACAAGAGAACGTGCTGTGTCAAGGAATGCGGGTGTTGTAGAAGAGTGACAAAAAGGCTGTGTACACGTCATGGGCTTGCCATTGAGTCAAAGACAATCGGATCAAGAGAGTTGTAGGATTGACATGGTGAGCTGAAGCAGGACAATTGTTCGCAGTTGGTAGTTGTACTTGAATGGGGCAACAGTTGAGAATGGGAGGAAGACAAGGAGTTGTGGGAGTGGAAGGAGTGGAAATTTAAGTGGGTTGAGCTGTCGTCAGACAACTCCACGAACACTATACATTAATGCATGGTCTTTATCTCCCTACAAGTAGATTACTGTAGCTTTTTTACTATAACCGCTCCACGCACACACCAGTATCCTTTGTCTACCTTGCCATGTGAAATTTTTATTATTATAGAGCTATAAAAGCGGTAAAACGAGCGCTAACTAGACATGCTCCAAGTTGTGCACGGCTTAAATGACAATAAAAGTTGTCCATTTATTGGCTGCTTGTCGATGTCGTTGACTCGGTGGTATGCGTCTGTACGGAAAACTTACATATGTATGAGTACGGATTACCAATTGAATGATTGCATTTCGAGGATAGCCTATGATAAGTCACCCAACTTGCTTGTGTGCCCTGAATAAGTAACATATGGCTGGTGCTCTCTCAACCACCTACATTCTCTTTGTCAAGTGTCAAAAGTCGTCGTTAATTCCAGGGTCCTTGTTGGTTAATCAGTGTCGTCACATCCTCTCATGAGAGATATCATTGTGAATGCACATGAGCAATACGAACATGAAGGGTGTATCTCGAGTACATAACACATAATGCAGGCATCTCGACAACCCACTGCAGCTATCCAGGCTATCAAGTTCATGAAATTAGAATATATCTAAACCTAATGCAAGCTTATACAAGCAAGATTGCGTCGATTAGGAGGAGTATAAACGCATAAAAACAGGCACCGATAATTAACCGCCTGGATCGGACAAAAACCTTAATTACAATGCAAAGTGTACTTTATTCCTCCTCATTGTTCTCGTCCTTGTCTTGGGTATCTTCCTTTTTGTCATCCTTGATAACATCCTTGCCACACACCATGATGCTTTCGATCCTCTGGTAAAATTTCTCGAAATCACCATCAACACGATGCTTGTTAATGGCGTTTTTAACGCCATCCAGCTTGGCATAGCTACGTTTTAAGTCGGCCGCCAAAGTAGCCTTTTCCTTGTTGTTGGTTATGGCCTTTTCGACCATTTTCTTTAACTGATCCTCTCTGGCAGCCAATTTGCCAGTAAGCTCTGCTATTTGGTCTTGCTGAGCCTGAACGTGATCGGCAGCGTCGAGGATGACTTGCCGCTTGGTGGGTCTCCCATTGTAGTCATGTGGGAGTTTTGCCTCCAAACGGTATAAGGCGTAGTTGTCCCTCGCGTACGAGGCTTGCGACGAAGTCATGTCCTCGCTTCTGGGAAGGTCACGGGGACTGACCATAGAAATTATGTCAAAAAAAAATCAAGAGATACCAAAGGAAAAGACGCTTACAGTAACCGGTAATTCTTTGCATGCTTATGGCTCAATTCGGTCCAGCGGGCGTAGTTGGCAAGATCGGTGATAGTCATTTTAACGAAGATAGCGTGTTGATCAAATAGAAGAGAAGAGTGAAAAGGAAAAAAAGACTGCGGAAACGGCAACGGAGGACCTGTAAATTATGGTTAGTGTTGTACAAGCGCGTCCTGACATCTCATGTGCAACCATAGCAACCACGTATGTATCAGATTGTATGCAAGCAGTGCAAAGAGGCTATATACCAACAAGACCCGAATCATCACACAAAATTTCACCAAGGTTGCCTCGCTACACGCTCTTTTCCCCTTTTCGTTTCCGAGCGCACATGCACAACTGCTTTACCCATTCAACTTATCCTCTTGCCTTTATTAAATCACGCACATTGCAAGTTTGAGAACACATGGCAGCGCATGCGAAGTGCTTCGTCCCTCAGCACACTCAAATGAAGCAACGTACAACGTCAACAAGTTATACATTAACAACTACAGCGCGATACTATCAATACGAGGCATGCATTAAGGCTTTGATTGATACGCGCCATCATCAATAAGCGAACGCGATGTTTGACAATATCGATGCTCCTGTTGTCGGCTGCAGCTGACAAGCGATCCATATCATACACATATCCATCTCCTACATACACCTACGAGTCGCCATAGTGATCGATACCTTCCTTAGCAATGCCTCATTTACCTTCCGGTGGAGCAACAAAAGATACACCGTAACGACAAGACAACTATTAGCTTCGCATCGTTCTCAATATATACGTTCATCCAGACATTTGTAGTATCATTGGGATAGTAACTTGTGGTGAGTCATCAACGCAACAACAAAGGATTGATTAATCGCATAGTACTTACAATGACAACTAGAGTGCATCGGCAAGATAATGGATGGCCTATCACAAAAAGACAACGATGAAATTGGTTCACAAGAAGTTCACTTGGGAAACATATACAAGCCAGCAGCTGGATGCCAATGCATTATCGATCACTTGTACGTATGGCTCATCTGACAGCAAAGAAAGCCCCGATACTTAGATACGCACAAGCACGTGGCATTTTAGAAGCATTCTGCACGGCACAACTAGAAAGTTACTATTCAACCTTACGTAGATTTCATTTCATGTTTAGTGCAACCATTTAGAATATAGAAAAATTACTGGCGCAGAGGGAAAAGGAGTACTGTATTTATTGATGCTCTCGCTCTTTATAATAATGGATGTGATAAGCGAACACGAACATGCTTCTATTGCGACCATGACTTGCTTCTTGGGGGTTGTGACACAGTCATTGAATATGCAGGGTGAGGAGATCCATACGAATTCGATTGCGACCAAGACTTGCTTCTTGAAAGTTGTTGTACAGAGGTCATTGAACATGGATGGTGAGGAGGTGTATGTATCGTTGTAAGTGACGGCATATGTACTGAAGATATAGATGATGATTTGCTTGGAGGCGCCCCACATTGATCTTCCGGATCGCCTTTGATGACTTGTAATAAGTCAAGCGAATCTTTGACCATGATTCGAATGAAGATGTTAACGAAGAAAATACACCAAGCAAATACTAGCTGAGATGTCTGGGTAACTTCAAACTTTGGTAGGTCCGAGAACACTGTGACCGTGATCAGAGCGGTTACACTAACTGCAAATATTGAATAATCGAACATGCGATTGATCTGACGAGTATGTTTGAGCGGTCGAGTTAAGATACGGCACCATGTCAACTTGTGAAAGTTGGCCCTTGTCTCATAAGCACGTTCTTTCAATAATTCTTGAGAGTACTTATCGCTCCTACATTCTTTAAATCTCATCGACTCTGCGAGACCTCTTGCATAAAATCTAGATTCGTCATCGAAGGACGTTATACGAGATAAAAGCCATGGGATGAAGAATCTCATGTAGCCGTACAGTAAAAGGTAAATGAAACAAATAGCCCCATCGACGATGAGAAGGATTACTGGAGACGTTGGGCGTTCAACATACTCGAGACATGGTATATATGCTGGTATAAAGGAAATTGCCGTGAGCATCACGAAGGTGTTGCTGAACTTGCTGATATTGGTGTTTGCCGCTTCTTGTATAGACTTTAAATAAGCCTCGAATTGAATACACAGCTTGTCGTATAAGATTAAAGCCCGGGCATAGTTCTTGATTTCTTCTTCGTCTTGAAACATGTTCACCGTGTCCGAGCTTGCTGTATCAATATTGATGGTTGTAGACATCCCGATAAGAGCCGTAGGGGAGTGTTGATCAATGAAATGATGAGGACACAAGAGAGTACAGTAAATGTGTAATGTGGGATGTGGGTATTAAAAAAAAAGCACGTCGCCTCTCTTAAAGAAGAGCTTAAAGGAAAGCAGCGCATCGGATCAAGAGAGTGTATGGGTATTTAAATATTGTCCTTCTGCAATTGCACCAAAGTTGAGTTGAGTACACACAGCACAGTTACAGTTGCACCGTTACACTTGCAGGTTATTGGTATGTGAAAACATCTTACATAGTGAATGTCACACTGTACTCAGCGTGTGCTCAGCTGCATAATAATAAGGATGCCACCATGATTGACTTATAGAGATATCCTATCGTGTATGTTAGTAGGTATGTGGTATGTAACGATAATAATGGAACCAAAGAAAATTCTACTGCTTGAAGTATTCCATGAGATCAGGACTCATCTAAGCCAACGTGTTACAGAACATAGTTAGTCTTACAACGGGCATCACATGCTTCTTAAAAGAGAGTGTCGAGTTTTACACAAGTACTATGTAAGAAATTGAGTTGCCATTGTCCATACACATCACTAAGCTTGATTTATAGAAAAGGATTGACAACATCAACCAAGTAAAGCTCTATCCCGACATCTTGATGACCTTATTATTGAATCGTTCTTTTGGCATGTATATATTTAGCTTTGGGCGAACACTCAACGAGATGACTTTTACTTCAACAAAGAAAAATGTGATGGCTATTTGGAGTGGAATATACAAAAGTATACAAAGATAGAAAATGGGTACATAGCATGGAGATGGTATGGTGTGCAGATGGGACAGCGGTGGCGAGGAGGGATCAAACCTAATCAAGATATACTATTGCTTTATGAGTTGCTTGAGCGTTTTTCTTGTTGCAGCTTTTGAAGGTGTTGGCGATGGGTTGGTTATACATCTCACGAATATCATCCACGATATTGGTGTCGTTGAGCAAATGAGATATTCTGCAGTGTTCGGATTGTGGTAGAATATCCAACTTGTTCAATATGCGCAAAGGATGCAAGATTCCAGCACTTGGTACAGTACGTTCAAAAATCGAAACTGCCTCTTCAATTGTAGAAACGCGAGCCCACTCTGTTGTCGATATATGGCTAAACTCCTTTGTGCTTTCCAGGATCGTCAATGCCGCCTGTCGATGGTGAGATGTGAGGTGCCTCGATATGACTAAATTCAAGACCAATGACGCCAAGCTCGCCTTGTCCTTGTATTTTGATCGTGCCCTGGCTGTGTGATGATCGATAGCCAAGGGATGTGTTGGGTAAAATCCTGCATCTGAGAATGATTGGCTGTTGTAGCTCCACAGACGTGCCGAATCGTGCTTGCAATAATTGCGTAGATATCGTTGTGATGTTACAACAGAAGCCGGTGATCGGCGTACTAGAACCTCGTACCCTTAATGCTTGAGAATACTCGCCATGGATTTTGGAACAACCGGGCCCAAGAATGCTTGCTTCTCATTGGATGATCGTTGACCACAATAAGCAGCCATGACCAGATACTCAACAGGGCCCCACCGGATGACCAGTTCGTTCCATCGATCACGATACTGAGTCTTTTCGATCACGACTGCCTCAGGGTTTGTATATCCATCATGGTCACCTCCATTCATTGCACAATGGTCATGTGGGTTATTGATGAGATAGGCGTCGATGCATGTTCGCTGAAGATGATTAGATACTGTCGTAGTCTTAACCACAATAGGCACCAATGAGCACACCAAGTGACGATAAAGCGATGAAGTGAGCTACATAGATGAATGCATGAGTACCCTCATTTTGGTGATCACATAATAAAGACTATCCTTGAGACTTACCAAAGGTCATTGATGACGATATGAATACAAGTAGGGAGGAAGGGTGTATGATAGTGTTGGTGACAACAGTCCTCTTTATATGTGAGTGGGCGTTGTCATGCGTGGTTGATCAAACTGATAAAGTGGTCCAGAGAATCGTTGTCATGATGAATCGAACTGATGAAGCGGTCAAGCGTCTTGGAGTACTGAGTCGAAATGATGGAAAACCACAGCTGATAAATCCACCTGCCACTTGAAACGTGATTTTTTGTAGGTGACATAAGCATGTCCCCATCCAAGGTGTCCTTATCCTTCAACATACACCAAAGGTCTTCATTTCAATTTCACCATCACCGTCGTTGTCACCGTTTGTCACTGAGGAAGAGGAATGAGGGGTGACATCATCGAGTGTGAGACGAACACGCTTGGCGGGAGGTACCGAAATCGAGGTAGGAGACAACGAGGAGGAGGAAGACGAAGAACAAGAGACAGAGGAAGAAGTGCAAGCAGCAGCAGCAGCAGCAGCAATAGCAATAGCAGTAGCCGGAGTATGGTCACGACATCATTGAGACATCAGCAAAAGAAGTACAGTATCACGAAGAGTATTGCTGTCGAATGGCCCAAAAGGTACATATTGGGAGTCGAACCCGAAGAGATGATGATGATGATGTCTACAGCTGCATCGCTTGACCAAAGACCTATTCAACAAAAGCACCATCGTCATTAGTACACATACATAGTAAACGCCCTTTCCATTGTTTTCATTACACCTGCCTCTTGCATATCCATAAAGATCCATCGTTGTTGGTTACTGGAAACCGCAAAGCATGGAGGTGTTGTTGAGCTGAAACAAAACGCCAAACCAGCCAACGCCTTGAAACCAAACTTGCCCTCTATACAAGCTGACGCGTCAATGGAACCAAGTAGGCTGCAACATTGGACTCTGAATGTACCTGTTGACACCAAGCGTAGAGCGGAAATAGCAACGAACAAGAGGAAGCAATGATATCGCCATGGCTACCACGCTCATTCCTCAGCACTTGGACACACTCACTCCCTGACAATGCATGTTCAGAACTACATTAATACCTCACAGCCAACAAGAGCACTCTTCTATAATACATTACCTTGATTGGAATGTCGTGAATGGGGTAAAAGTAGAGGTGGGAGAAAGAGAAGAGAAGCGTTGTGTCAAGTCGTGGAGCTGCCGTCCCCCAAGTTTAAATCCCCCTACTGCTACAGTATTACACTGAGGCCACTCAATGACCCCACACACACCATCCACCCATCATGATCATCACCCCCACGATAGACAACAGGTACACGTAAATAAAAGAAATGATCCTCACGTATAGCAAAAGGGTGTGTGTCATTTTACACTTTACATGATAATGATGATCCCACAGCAGCCATTGCTTTACTACCAAGGTTAGCTCGGATCAAGAAAGTTGAATGATGGGCATGCTTGGCTGGAGCAGGACAATCGTTCACATGCAGTGGATTGGGCAACAAGGTGAATGGGAGAATGGGTTATTAGCTGGCATTTTAGGAACTATTCCTAAATAGTGTACAAGAATCATGCATCGCCTGTGCTGAATGACTCAAGTTCCACAAACACGCCCTCTGCATCTTTTGCTCTATTATAGTCATACTACTTTACATCAAACAAAGACCACTTCTCATATAGCATCACGCTTACAAACATAAAGACGCTTGTGTCTCCGAACTTTACAATCAAATGTGGGGTTTTTATTAGAGCAATGTGCTCGGCTTGGCCAACTGCACCTTGTGTGAAAGTTCCACGTTCATCATGGGCAATCCCAGATTTCGCAATGTCGCCACCAGCCAAACTGGATCTGGGGGACGACCTCTTCGACGACGACGACCAAAAAATATTTTTTAGGCTGTTTGCGACATTGAACGCGAAACTTTCACACAAGGTGCTGTTGTCCAAGCCGAGCACATTGCTCTATTCAAAACCCCACGTTTCATTGTAAAGTTTGGAGATACAGGCACCTTCATGTTTGTAAGCGTGATGCTATATGAAGAGTGGTCTTTGTTCATTGTCAAGTAGGTGGACCCTGGCAGAGCAAAAGATGCAGAGGGACCTCTTTGGGTAACACAGCTACGTTTGCATGACTGGAAGGATGGAAGGATGATAATGTATAGTATTGACAATAGCCCATACTGTCGTATTATGAGGTACAAGGTAGCAGTAGTATTTGATCTCAGCCAATCACAGTCATTTTATATACAACACAGGGGCTATTGAATAAACATGGACCTTCTTTTCTTGTTGAGTCTCACTGACGTATAACGTTACCCATCTCGAATATCACATTTTTTTCAGTGAATACTACTATTAAGCAACATGTCTTCCCCTGTCGCCAACAACAACAACAATAACAACAACGACGCTGTCAACAACAACAGCAACAACGCTAATGCCGGTAACAACAACGGCAACAACGCCAATGCCGGTAACAGCAACGGCCATGACAACCGTCACCATGACAACAACAACCCTCCCAGCACCCCACGTAGGGATTCAGTTGTTTCTCTTGACCCTGAGGATGAGCGTAGCTCTGCTAGCTCCAAGCCTCAGCCTATGGAAGGCGTTGAGCTGACCGGTTCTGCAGCTTCTCGCTACGCTGATCCTATGGTTGCGGGACCTCAAACTCTTGAGAAGTTGCGTTCCCAACTAGGTGAACTAGTGATGAAGCAGACTGCTTTGTCGGGGCAACCTGGCAATACGGATGAGTTGAAAAAACTGTCCTTGCAGCAAAAGGACTTGGTCGATCAAATTGCTATTTTGGAGGCCTCTCTCAAAGCGCTGCAGTCTTCAGCTGAGCTCGTAAAAGAGAAGAGTACCATGACTACTCGCCAGGTGCCCGAGTTCGCTGTCAAAGGCGTCACTGATTGCACTGGTGTCAAGAAGCCATTCAAGAGTGTGGATGCGTTCTTGAGCTATTTCAAGAAAATTCTCGAGACGAACAAGTCCAACCCTGATACTGAATGGTCCCATTGGCTCAAGCTCTCTTTCGATCATGAATATGAGGTATGGTATGAGAGTGAGCTCACTGGCAAGGACCTCAATTGGGATGGTGTTTGCCGGGTCGTTCGTAAGCGCTTTGTGTCTCAAGACAGCCGCGTGAGGAAGGCCATTGAGGTGTTTAACAGCACCATGAAGGATAAGGAGTCAATGCAGCAGTATGGCATGCGTTTCAAAATTTGGTTCGTGAAGCAGGTTTGTCCAACTGTGATGTTCTTGCGATGTTGTTTTTGCTTTCTTTGCCAGGTCGTTTGCAGGACAAGGTGATGATGTCATTTTGTGCGAAGCCTGGTAATGAAGATCGATTGCCAACAAAGCTCGAAGAAATCATCAAGCTGGCGAATTCTTTGTCTTTGCCCAAACGCTCTCATGATGATACGGAGCACGAGTCTCGTTCTTTCGTCAAGAAGTATAGAAGAGACCAACCCACAGGTAAATATTACTGTGATCATCATGATGGCAAGTGTAACCATAGGTCCCATGAGTGTCCTTTGTTGAACGAGCCCATTGAAGAGGGCAAAAAGAAGTGCTATTACGCACATCATGAGTTTCAGTCTGGGCACAATTGCCGGGCTAGACGCCTTGCTTTGCAAAACAAGAGCCGTGGGGAGCGCAAGCATCACCACAACAGCCGCCAAAATGGTGATGCCAAATACAAGGTAAACACTATGCGGGCTGACAAGGCTGAACATGGCGAGGCTAATCCCACATTCAATCATCCTGGTGATGTAGCCATGAACGACGATGAGGATTTGATCCCACTTGAAGTCCTTCAAAGTGTGGATGAAGACATTGACATGGAAGCTCGCAGTAAGTTTTTATGCACAGCTCAGTTGAATGTTAATCCATACGTACTAAAGACACCCATTTTGATCCAGAGTAGTCGCTGCCTTGGTCTTGTAGACACTGGAGCTGAAATATCTGTGATCAATAAATCATTGTGTGATGAAAACAAATGGTCTTATACTTCGGTGTCGGGTGACATTATGTATGCTGGCAAGGATCATTCCGTTAAACGTATTGGAATTACGGAGCCTTTACGCATTAGATATAATGGTCGCACACTATTTCATCGTTTTGAAGTCATGGAGTTGGGACACTACAACGTGATTTTAGGTTTTGATTTGTTACCCAAGTTGGGCATTGCCTTACAAGGAGTTGCGGTGAAATGGGATGATCAAGTTGACCACAATGTGCCTGATCCATCGGTGCATGATAGCTACAAGAATCTCAAGCCCAATGACTCACCGGCTGGTACTCCTGAAGAGCATGGTAAATTCTTGCGTGCTATACAACCTACATTAGAAGCAAATGCCAAGATCTCGAAATGGTCATTTTGCAACATCGCTGAGTCCGTAATCAGGTTAGAGCTCACCGATGATGTAGCGTCGTGGCATCGGCAATATCCCTTACCATATGCGCTCAAGCCAACCATTGATGCCACAATTCAAAAGTGGATCGAGGAAGGAGTGATCATGCGTGCACCTGAAAACACGGCATGGAATAGCCCACTCACTTTGGCTGACAAGAAGGACGCGCAAGGTAATAAGGTAGGTAAGAGATTGTGCTTGGATCCCAGACACATCAATCGTCATTTGAAAGATGATCGTTATCAATTGCCAACCATCAAGGAGATCTTTCACGATTTGAGAGGTGCTACCGTTTTCACAACATTGGACTTGACAAACGCGTTCCATCGGTTTAAGATCCATGAAAACGATAGGCACATTACGGCCTTTACATACGATAGGCGTCAATACGTGTTTAGGGGTTGTCCTTTTGGACTTAAGCCCATCTCTTCAAAGTTTCAACGGGTGATGCACATTATCTTTTATGACATGTCCTTTGTACGTACTTTTGTGGATGACATCATTATCTTCTCAAAGGATTTGTCGTCGCATACGCAGCATGTGCAATACGCTATTGATGCATTGACCAGAGCCAACTTGATCTTAAACGAGAAAAAGTGTCACTTTGCACAACGCTCGGTTTATTTGCTTGGTTTTTGTATCTCGAAACATGGTATTTCGTTGGATCCAAGAAAAGTAATGAATGCTTTGGATTGGCCTTTGCCGACTACAGGCAAAGACATTCAACGATTTATGGGTCTTGTGACGTATTTCAAAGACCATATCTGTAATCTTTCAAAAATCAGTGCTCCTCTCCGTGCTTTGATGCATACTGGCTCTCTCACGAAAGTATGGACTGCTGAGCATACGATGGCTATACGAGCTATTAAGCAGGAGTTGGCGAAGAACGTCTTATTGCATTTTCCCAATTTGGATGAACCATTTTATGTGGCTACAGATGCATCGAATCATGGCATTGGTGCAGTTTTATTCCAAAAACTTAAGGGCAAGGATTGTATTATCTCGTTCATGGCAAGGGCTCTATCGAAATCTGAGCGTAATTACTCCACCACAAAACGCGAGTTGCTAGGTATCGTATTTGCCTTGCAGAAGTTCCACCCATATCTTTGGTCCAATCCTTTCACGATCTACACGGATCACAAAGCCTTGACTTACCTCAATACGCAAAAGTTGGCAAACTCTATGATGCTGAACTGGTTTGACGTGCTGATGGATTATCAATTTGATATCATTCACTTGCCTGGTATTGAGAATGTCTTACCTGATCAACTTTCTCGCCTGTTCACTCCCGATGAACACCATGAGGGGGGAAAGATCGAGGATGCAAAAGACTCCAAGAGCTCCAAGTTGAGAACCGGCAAGCTATACACACATGATAAGCGGTGTATTTTCCATGTGAGAGTGCTCAATAGAGTACCTACAGATGTGATAACTCCACCAGAAGAAGAACGTCCCTATGAGCTTGAGCGTGCACATATGACTATAGGTCATGCAGGAGCTGAGCACATTGTAAGGTATTTGCGTCGCGAAGGAATCTATTGGTCCAAGCTCCCAGAAGATGCACTAGAGGTGGTAAAGAAGTGCCCTGATTGTCAGAAGAACAATATCACACGTAAAGGATACCATCCATTGCGTCCCATCTATGCATACATACCAGGTGACCATTGGGCTATCGATCTCGCAACGTTCAACAAGACATCCACCAAAGGTAACAACTTCTTGCTGGTGATGGTCGACGTGTGCACAAGGTTTTGCATTCTACGTGCATTGCCCAACAAGCAATCAGATACGATAGTCGAAGCACTGGTGCAGATCTTTTGTGATTTTGGCATACCTCGTGTCCTCCAATCGGACAATGGCAAGGAGTTCAAGAACACTATCATGAAGAAGCTCGTTGAGAGTCTAGGCGTACACCATCGGTTCACAACACCTTACCACCCAAGAGCGAATGGCATTGCAGAGCGTTGGGTACAGAGCGCGACTGATGTCATACGTAAGAAGATTGAGGGTGCTGGCAATGACTGGGACTATTACGTTCCGAGTACACAACTTGAGCTGAACATGCGTGTAGCCAAAAGGTTGAACACACCTCCTTTTTCGCTTATGTTTGCAAGAGATATGAACGCATTCAGAGATTATCGGAAGAAGGGCGAAACGTCGTCGAAACCAATGTCGCACGATGAGTTGGTGGAGAGATTGCAGTATATGCAGGATATCGTGTTCCCAGCGTTGAAAGACAAAGTGGAAGCGTATAACCAAGCCATGACCGATAAATTCAACTCAACGCACAAGTTGATTGATTTTCCTGAACAAAGCCACGTCATGGTCCGGGTGCAATCACGAGGCAGTAAACTCGCACCAGCATTTGAAGGACCTTATACGGTGTTACGTAAGACTGAAGGTGGCACCTATGTGTTGCAGGATGAAACAGGTGCGTTGATGGCAAGAGATTATGTTCCTTCTGAGCTCAAGCTTATATCACAAGATGAGGTCGTACCTGTCGATGAGCTATATGAGTTGGAAGCTATTATCAACCATCGAGGTAAACCTGGCAGACGCCAATATTTGGTACGATGGAAAGGATATGGTCCAGAGGATGATCAATGGCTAGACCCTGATGCTTTCACAGATCCTGCCTTTATTATGCAATACTGGAATAGACGCAATGAAAAGGAGGAGGATTCACCTGAAATTGACGAGAATGGTAAAGCTGTCATTAGGAAAAGGAAAGCAAAGGTTGATGAACAAAACGTGCGACGAAGCAAGCGTGTCAAACGCTCGTCGGCATGAATGCCATATATGATGTCCCATGCGTAGCGATGACTTTTCCCCCTTTTTTTCCCACAGGGTTTTTGGTCGGGTTTTTATGTCGGAGCATTACACGCATTTCACTACGCCTTGGTACACTTCTCATACCCACATACACACACATCCATATCATATACTCACGTATACTTCAATCCGGTGGGGGGCAATGTCGTATTATGAGGTACAAGGTAGCAGTAGTATTTGATCTCAGCCAATCACAGTCATTTTATATACAACACAGGGGCTATTGAATAAACATGGACCTTCTTTTCTTGTTGAGTCTCACTGACGTATAACGCTACCCATCTCGAATATCACACATACATTGCGAGCTAACAGCAATTTCCTCACAATCGGCACTGTTGTCCACTCTATGACATGTGAGCGATTCTTCTCCTCCAGACATTCGTTTCCTTGATTCAATTATCTTGATCCGAGCTGATTTGGCTGAGCTACGGTCAAAGAGAGATGACATCGATCCATACATCAGCATACATTCGAATGTCTCAGCTCATTAATCCTTGTTCGACCGTAACTCAACCAAATCAGCTCGGATCAAGCTGCTTGAATCATGGAAATGAATGTCTGGAGCAGGAGAATCATTCCCATCACGTGGATTTCGCAACAATGCTGATTGGATAAAAGTGGCGATTAGCTGCCAATGTATGACCTGAAAATGAGGGTTGCGTACCTGTCATGCATGGTCCCTGAAGTCCAAACTTTTTAACCCAGTTACACAAAGAGGTCCCTCTGCATCTTTTGCTCTGCCAGGGTCCAGCTACTTCACAATGAACAAAGACCACTCTTCATATAGCATCACGCACAGAACATAAAGACGCCCATATCTCAAGATTTTACAATGAAACGTGGGGTTTTTATTAGAGCAATGGGCTCGGCTCGGCCAACAGCACCTTGTGTGAAAGTTTCGCGTTCAATGTCGCAACCAGCCTAAAAAATATTTTTTGGTTGTCGTCGTCGAAGAGGTCGACCCCCAGGGTCCAGTTTGGCTGGTGGCGACATTGCGAAATCTGGGATTGGCAAGCTTGATCGTGAAACTTTCACACAAGGTGCAGTTGGCCAAGCCGAGCACATTGCTCTAATAAAAACCCCACATTTGATTGTAAAGTTCGGAGATACAGGCACCTTTATGTTTGTAAGCGTGATGCTATATGAGAAGTGGTCTTTGTTCATTGCCAAGTAGGTGGACCCTGGCAGAGCAAAAGATACAGAAGGACCTCTTTGGTTAACTCAGCTAAAAAGTCAGGACTTCAGGGACAATGCATGAAAGGTACGCAACCCTCACTTTTATGTCATACATTGGCAGCTAATAGCCACTTTTGTGCATTCCCAACTTTTGTGCTTTCTATTGTAGGTGGACGATGCTCCTGCTCTAGACATTCATTTCCATGATTAAAGTAGGTTGATCCGAGCTGATTTGGTTGAGTTACGCTCATACAAGATTACATCGGTTGAGCTACATCGAGCGTGCTTGATGTCCAGAGTGATGTAATCTCTCTTTGACCGCAGCTCAGTCAAATCAGCTCGGATCAATCTACTTTAATCATGGAAATGAATGTCTAGAGCAGGGGCATCGTTCCCATGCAGTGGATCTCGCAACAATGATGATTGGATAAAGTGGCCATTAGCTAGCAATACATGCCTGTTCCTAGATGATCCATAAAGTAATTATACATTGACCCTTTCATTCATGCAAAGTAGCTGAGTTACACAAAGAGGTCCCTCTGCATCTTTTGCTCTGTCAGGGTCCAGCTACTTCACAATGAACAAAGACCACTCTTCATATAGCATCACGCACAGAACATAAAGACGCCCATATCTCAAGATTTTACAATGAAACGTGGGGTTTTTATTAGAGCAATGGGCTCGGCTTGGCCAACAGCACCTTGTGTGAAAGTTTCGCGTTCAATGTCGCAACTAGCCCAAAAAATATTTTTTGGTCGTCGTCGTCGTCGTCGAAGAGGTCGACCCCTAGATCCAGTTTGGCTGGTAGCGACATTGCAGAATCTGGGATCGGCCACGATCGACTTCATAGTTTGACACAAGATCGCTTTCACTCCGCTGAGCAACATGGTTCTATTAAAGACCCCACGTTTCATTGTAAAGTTTAGAGATACAGGCACCTTTATGTTTTACATATGCTGTAAGCGTGATGCTATATGAAAAGAGTTCTTTGTTCATAGTAAAGTAGATAGACTCAGATAGAGCCAAAGATGCAGAGGGGCGTGTTTGTGTAACGGAGCCATTTTGCATGACTGAAATGGCCAATGTATAATATCATATACACTATCTATGATTGGCAGCTAACAGCTACTTCCTCCCAATCCCAACTTTTGTTCATTGTGTGACAGTGGATTTATGCTCCTGCTCCAGACATTCATTTCCATCATCCAAGCTTCTTGATCCGAGCTGATTTGACTGAGCTACGCCCAAACAAAGAATACGTCAATTCTTGAAAGACAGACCCTGCGAATGTCTCCGTCTTTCAAACTTTTGGACGCTCCCATTCCAAATTTTCAATTGAAGCATGAGGTCTTTATTAGAAAAAGTTGATCAGCATGTTCGAGAGTACCCTTCTGACCAATTTTCAAGTTGGAAGTGGGCAACTTCGGGGCGGTGGACCGTCCGCTCTTTTGTACCCGTTATCCACCATTTGGACCACCCCGCATTCAAGACATTCTTAATGAAGTGTATAATTTTTAAATGAATGAAGTTGATCAGCATGTCCCAGAGAACCTTCTGACAAAGTTTCAAGTCCAAAGTGTGGAATCCCATGATAGTACATACTATTTCGATAAATCATGAATCCGGCGCTGACTTCCATTTCCGACTTACATAGTAAGCCCCACATTGCACCCTCCCATTCAATATTTTCAAATGAAACGTGAGGTCTTTTTTAGATCAACATGATCAACATGTCCAAGAGCATCTTGTGTGAAAGTTTCAGGTTCAAGAGGGGCAATCCCATAATCAAGTTTTAACTTGCAGTCTTCAAGGAGGTGTCTCACAGGTCAACCTACTTTAATTTCCAGCTCTTCCACTCCTACTTTATCTTCTTTCCCTCCCATTCTCAACAGTTGGCCCAATCAAGTACAACTACTTCTTGTGAACGATTGTCCTGCTTCAACCCATCATGTCGATCCTACAACTCTCTTGATCCGATTGTCTTCGGCTGAATGGCACGTGCATGGCGTGTACACAGCCTTCTTGTCACTCTTCTACAACACACGAGTCTCTTGACACAACACACGCTCTTGCACATTTCTCTACCACGATCAAGCGTCCATTCCAGCAAGGTCTTTACTCCATTGTCTCAAGTCCCTTGCAGCAACTTGCCTTACAGCCCTTGATACGTGCGACAGCAGCAAGCCATTGTATAGAAGCAACTTTATTTACGTGTAGCAACTTGCTTTCAATACATACGAGTTCCTATGGATATGAATTTGGATTTGGATATTGCTTCGTTACATGGGACGGAAGGACTTGGATATATTGGCAGGGTTGGTTCCCTTGGCAACGTGATGTTCAGTTTGGATGATGCCGTATCAACCATCAAGCAATCCAAGCAATCTTCTTCACCTGGTTGAGTTGCGATGGAAAATGGCCAAGAAAGAGATCGACCAACATTCGGATGGGAAATCAAGCGTATTAGCAAATATCAGCCTGCTCTTTGATCAACATTTGGCATTATCATGGTTATGATGGATGGATGGATATGGGTGCGATCAAATGCAGTGATAGGTGTCTTTGAATCGTAAGTGCGGTTACTTGGCATGTTGTCAGCAGGAATGATGTGAAGGTGCTATGACTTTTCTTTCAGAAGCGACCACTCACACAAACATCCTCGAACAGCGTCTTTATTTTATGGAGTTTTGAGTACAGCAAGTGGTTCGTAATAGTGGATGGCCAGCTTGTTCATAGCAGGTCCTGTTTTTATGTATCAACATTCAAGGCTCTTTGTGCAGGCGCCCCATCAATCTATCAACTCCTCACGCATCCCCAACAAGCAATCTATCAGTATTTGTGATATACAGAAATACCCACGCCCACGATCCACATACAAACAAAGATGTTGTCCACCACCGTTTTTCTCTACAACGCATCTCTTTATTCCATCATCACTCACTCTTTGATTGCTGAAACCTTCAAGTCCCTTGGTGAGTATCATGGTGGGTGGCCTTCATCTTTAAGAGATCCATGTGTTAATATGCGTGATAATCTTTAGTGCTTCTTCATTGATACCTTATTTTCATTGTCATTGTTGTCGCTGTGATATTAACTCTTTCATTAAGGTAAAATCTAATCATCTTTGCTTCACGAAGCTTATACTCAGATACTCTTTTAATGTAGCTATCTCTCGAGATGCATCTGCAAGGTTGGATTAGGAGGTCATTCTTCTACTACTGCAACCCGCATGGCTTTCCACATTCATGGGCTCGCACCCTCCTTGGAACACCCTCTTGTTCACATCCTGAAGGCTGAACTCTCTAACGATGATGTATACCGGCTCAAGTATGTGCTTGGATTATCAAGTACTCAAGTACGTAATCTCATTCATTTTTTCCCTTTTTACAGGAAAGTAAGCTGTAGTTCTCAGGCGTTGTCAATGCCATCTGCACGAGTGATTTCTGACGTGCATATACATCTATCCCTTTAAGTAAGAATCTTGTTGAACATGGTGGCATTGTCAACCAAGCCCGGATGCATGACCACAAAGAAGAGACACTGCTGTCCTTTGCAGGGTCTGATTTGAGCGTACACAAGAAAGTATCAAGGTGCAGCATGCAAGGTAAGTCATGGAAGACTACTAGTATGTATGCAACGTTATTGATTTGAGTTCTTTATTATCTTACTTTCCTCTTGTAGCATGAAATTATTGGCATGACGTTGAATGATCGATGTTACAATGGGTCCTGCTGCCATTACAACGCGCACATGATATCAACCAAGCACTTTGTATGGACATCCCTAGACGAACACCAGACCGCAAGCTCGACGTGAAAGAGGTATGCATGGAGTCCATTCATTCAGATTAATGCACTCAATGGGGGTCCTCCTCTTTATGTACCATGACCTTTGACCTTTTATCAATAACCCAGTCTGAACCTAGTAAGTATCAGAACGCTATGCATGTATTGGGGATACATGTTCTAACGACATTTAAAAGTGTACATTGATATATATGAACGAGATGGTGCCTGTACCTCTGTGCTGATGACATTGCAGCCAACAACACATCCAACAAAGTCATGGCAGGCCAACGTTGAATCGTATACAACAAGACATCGACACATCGGCTGCGAGGATTACGAATGCAGGCTGATATCAATGGACGTAATCAGCAAATGTTTGATCATTGAACATCATGACTCAACAACAAGGCGTTGTGCAACCTGTACCATTGGGCATGGATGTCACCATCGTCATTGAAATTTTGTTGTTCATGGCGTTGAACAAGACCGTGCATCAAGCCCTGCATCCTTTTATTCTTCATTGTCACCTGCTGCACCATCATCATCGGCTGCGTCGTTGCCTATTGTTCAGCATCAGCTTGATGATAACATGAAATGCAAGATCATGATGCAATGTTTGGAGCCATTGCATGGACAAGACACCCAACTACGTTCACCACAAGAGGCGGGTATTCTCCACTCCCTTTTTGGAAACAACGATGCGGTCATTGTTATGCCCACAGGCCTGGGTAAAAGCGACATTTTCTTTGCGCCTTTTGTACACCAAGACCTGAAGGCTATCAAGATATCACAGTGGTGATTGTACCACTCATTGCGCTCTTGCATGATTTGCATCGACATACTGAGCAGCACAACACATCAAGCAGCAACCAACTTACGCAGGCATATATATTGAAAATGTTGATTCATTTTTATGCAACTTGAGCCCGATGAAAGCGACGAGGAGATTGACAACAACGTTATAGCAAGAGACGTGTTAAAACAAACGCCCTCGTTGGGTTGTTTCCAATCCCTCAACAAGAGGCAATCAGCATGTGCAACCTCTCAACCTCATAGTGGCCACGCTATCAATACCGGAGACGTACATGGTCCTCATACATGGTATTCACTTATCCAGAGAGCGGGAAGATTATACATGGATGCATTCAAAGAGTGTACCATTTGCAAGCCAAGGACAAGGCGTTTTCAAAAGCGATTTCAGCTCAAGGGTGTGCAAGAAAAAAGCAAGAAAAGCTTCTTTACACCATACTAAGGAAGGTTACTGTCGCGCATTTGCCACAGCATCAGACATCGTTGCCAGCTGAGACTATCACAATGACCCATAGCTATGAAAATGTGGAAGGCTTGAAGATCAACTACACGTCATGTTTTCAGGAATTAATGCAACAGTAAGTTCTCGCATACCTTCATCTATTCAATCGCCACTGAATGTCTTGCATAGGAAAACAAGAGTTCTGGAGCTGCAAACGAACAGAGCTGGATTGAGCATTGTAGCCGATTGCCTCAAGCATTTGCAGCAGCAGATAGCCATTGTATAAATGTAGATCTATGTTCGTGTAGCAACTTGCTTTAATACATGACAATTCTTATACATATGAATATGGTTACATGGGATGGAAGGATCTGGATATATAATAATACATGTGAAAAGAGAGGGTGAGAAAGGGTCTGATTGATTCATTATTGTGTCTTGAGTACATAAAGGCTTCCATCCCATTCTTATATGTTAGATCTTGCCGTTAACACCGTAACAGCTTCTTGGATACATTTGGGAGAGGGAAAATGCCAGCTGCAAACCGCAAGAAAGCACTCTTGATCATCAAGGGACACAACATTGAGCTTATGATTAAGCCTGAAGGCGTGGTAATATTATGTGTCCTACTAGTAGCACTCCCATGGTATTGGAACGGGACACGTTTGGGACGCTGTGTGTGTGTGTGGGGGGGGGGGGTACAAGCATGAATGTGGCCTTTTTGATTTGAATGGCGTATATCAATTTGACAAGCTCTTCTTTTTTCAATAACCGAAAATCACCCAATGGCAAACATACAAGCATTATTACAGTGCTCATCATGAGCGTCAACGCATGTTAAGGAGAAAGCATCCCAAGTTAACGTGATACCTACCACCAAAGCCTGATTACTTAAGAGGGAGCGGGTAGCCACCCCGGTCAAAACCATGCTTACTTTTACCGAATTTAGCGATGGCGAAACACAATGTTTTCTTTGTCAACCGATCACACATTGGTAGTGCTATATTAATTACGAGTACAACAATGCCGAACGTAATACAAATCGGTATGTAACTCGTGGTGCAACAAGCGAGTGTGGGAGACAAATCATGCAATGCTGTCATCTTTTATTCTCTGCTTTTCAACTCTAAGGGAAAAGGGGAGAGACAACATACGCGTCAATGTACTTGAGAAGCGTGAGATTGCCACACCCACACACACAGAGTACCACAAGGACCCTGTTTTCTTTATTATGTGTCCCTTCTTTTATATAACATCAGCTCCACTTTCACACATACATATAAACCTCTATTTTTTTCCACACGATCCATCCTTTACTGCTTTTTTTCACTCACTCTTCCTTATTCATTTCTTTAAACTTTAATCCTTCCTTTACCCCTGAATAATACCACCACGTTCTCATTACTATCATGTTGTTTACAACCATTGCAGCTGCTGCATCCATGTTCATGGTGCTAGGATCACAACCCCAAGGCGTCATGGCTCAAGATGCTGAAGGCTGGTACAAGCAACATCCAGGCATGTCACGTATCGGCCCTGTGAATCAAGAAACGCATCAAATCCTTGATGAATTTGGTCGTACACGCTTCTTCCATGGTACCAATGTCGTCATGAAGGAACCTCCATGGTATCGTCCTTCTGAATGGGTGCCTGGTACGTCGTCTTTTGGTACCAAGGATGTTGAAAACATGCATGACTTGGGCTTGAATGTGGTGCGTTTGGGCCATAATTGGGCTGGTGCCGAACCTGTTCGTGGCGAATACAACCAAACCTTTTTGGATATCATGAAGCAACAAACCAAGCTTGCCGAAGAGCACGGTCTTTATGTTTTGGTGGATGTTCATCAAGATGTCTTGGCTCGTCAATTCTGTGGTCAAGGTGTACCTGATGTAAGTGTTTATTGATATCATCATAATGGGGGTATCTACGTAAGTATTAACGTATGTACATGTACAATAGTGGTTTGTCAAAAAGGACTGGGTAGCCGATTGGAAAATGTTTCCTTATCCTCAAAAGCTTAAGCCTTTCCCTGTGGATGAGAATGGCCTCCCTACACCAGAATCCCTTTGTAGCACCATTGACTGGGCACTGAGCTATACCAATGTCGCTGTCGGTAATGCTTGGGGTCGTCTTTATAACAATTACGATGGATTGGGTGATGCATTTGCTGCTTATTGGAAAAAGTTGGCATCGCAATACGTGGATACGGTGAACATTGTCGGCTATAATTTATTGAACGAACCATGGGTGGGTGATACTTGGGCTGATCCTACATTACTTGTTCCTGGTGTTGCCGATCACAAGGTGATGGAAGGTCTTTGGAATCGAGCAGCCAAACAAATCCGCACCGTTGACAATGACACGTTGATTTGGTTTGAAGGTGCTACGTTGGATGTGTTGTCCGGATTCAACAATGTGCCTTTGGGTGATGGATCCAAAACCGTGCAATCGTATCACTATTACGCTCCTCCCCAAGTGGGATCCATTTCCAACACCATCAAGAATCGCCACAAGGATGATGCTCGGCTCAAGACGGCAAGTGTGTTGACTGAATTCACGTTCTGGATGGGCGATGATAAGCAAATGAGCAACTTGGCAGAAGCTGTGAAGGCCACGGATGAGCAAATGGTGTCCTGGATTGGATGGGCATATGAAAACTTGTACAACGGCACAACGGGTGAACCTTATCCTGTATTGGCAAAGCATTATAGTCGTGCGTATCCCACAGCCGTGGCTGGTACTCCCAAGAGCTATAGCTTTGATGAAGACTCTGGCACCTTCAAGTTGACATTCACCAGCGATCCCAATATCGATGCTCCCACTGAAATCATGCTTCCTCCTCCCACATTCCCTAATGGATACAGTGTCCAAGTGTCACCAGAGAATAGCGTCGTTCAACATACTCCTGATAAGCGTACCTTGGCCTTGTTCACTGCCGATAACCTCAAGGATGCCACTGAAATCTCTGTCACCATCACACGAAAGTGATCTTAGCCTATCCATCCCATCCCATCCTCATAGTCTCATTATGATTCTCTATATAAACTTACTTGTATAATGTGTATCTTGAACGCCCTCCATAATGGATCAAAGCATCAGTCGCCTATCTCGCTTTGAAACACACGCGTCAAACAGCCAACATTAGCACCTCTGGAATCTCAATAGACGCCGCATTCAGGTCGAGCGATTGCTTACAAGTCGTCGTGTACTCTAAGCGATTCCCATGTCAATGCTGGCAAATAGTAGTAGTAGTACACTAGGAGTGGAGTAGATAAGAAAGGGGGAAGGGAATACATCCGCGTTTATTTGGACTTTTTATTTGTTTCAAACTTGATAATCCTGTTCTTATCCACAACTTCTACAACATCATCATGGAATAATTGTAGACGTCCAAGCTCTTTCTCAAGTTGCTTTACACGAGCATCGGCCTCCTTGTTCTTTAACAATGCTTCCAACTTGGCTTCCAACTCCTCATTTCTTTCCTTAAGATACTCAATATAATCTCCTGCATCGTCAAGGACCATCTGCTTGGTTGGCTTGGCCTTGCTTTTGCGATCGGGGGGCATCAGTGCTTCCAGGCGGAAGAGTCCTCGGTGGAAGATTGCTTGTTGAACTTGCGACTTTTTGACATCCTTTGTGACTCCTTTAAGATCTTGGCTATGTATGTAGAATGTACAACGACGACGATGAGATATGGGACGTAAAAGTGATTTAGTACAAGACTTTACAGGTCAAATTTATGGGCATTCTCATGATCCAGCTGCTCCCAATAAGCAAAATCAGATGAGTTGTATACAGAGGACGATACCGAAGAAGCGGAAGACATGATAATAGTAATCAGGGAGAAAAAGAGCGAAGAATAAAGTTCATGCGTGCGGGTTTTTATGGACGTGTGCTGTGTGTGTGGTCAATGTGCTTCCATAAAAGGTATACAAGCCCATGGGTTTGTCACGCGAATAAGGTGCTTGAGCCCTCACGCCTTAATTTTCTCCTGGATACTCACTTGCATGAAAATTGGGCCTTTTAGTAAAATGAAAAAAAAATCCATCGAGGCGAAACCATTCCTCTACTCTTTGTATGCAATTATAAGCAAAAGGAGGGTGATGTTGAGCTTTCACGTTTTCTGTTACACACACAGGTTCTGTAAACCAATGAACATGTAAAGGATTAGTGAATTGGGTAATGCATTATAGTTTCAAACGCAAAATCTCAAGAACAGCATTACTTTGGGTGGATCATCCGCAGCATACCCTGATGGGGGTTAAGTCCAGACTCACTCTTTGAAAAGACTTTATACCAAGCAAGGTAATCCATGGATACCAAGAATGATGGTTGCCATGGCAATGATGGCGCGCAGTAATAGCCTCCTTAACCGACAATGATAATGATGCATCATGATATGTGTGTCAATGAATTTGAATTTCCTTTATGGTGGATTTGAGATAGTAGCAAAAAGAGGAATGGCATGGGAGTACTTTTGGGATATATACATGTTGAATAGAGAACGAGATCATCATCTGTACAATATGGAAGAAAATATTGAATATGGAGCAAAAAGAAAAGGATGAGGAGGGAACATGGTGGGGGGGGACGAGATGATATTGGGTGTGATTCAAGTTGACATACCAGGCTTACAGAAATGGGTCAACTGGCTGGTAGTGCTGGTGGTGGTAGTGGTCGTGTTTTTGACAGCAGCAGTCGGCGTAGCAAAATAAGGGTGGTGGTCGGGTCGGCGATAACAATCATGCAGCCAACCTGTCGTAGTAGCATGCTGATCTTGACGAGTATCCAGTGAAGGAGGAAGAGGTTCTGCTTCCATTTGTTCCTGGTGATGAACGTCGTTGTCATGAATATGGAGCTCATCGAGACACGTATTCAACCATTCTTGTTCAAGCACACCGTCAACCTCGATCTTGTTGATCGTGTGGACATTCTGCAACGTATTGGTGATCAAGACACTTTTGCGTAGATCCTGATTGGAATGAGCCAACTTGGCATGTGAGAGACCGCGAATATATTCCATAGTGATGTTGAACGTATACGCGTTGCTGTCTTGAAGGTCTTGAGTGAGCCCCGTTGTCATAAAATGCAACGAACAAAAGAAAAGAAAAAGATGGGGGGAGGTAACCGCCGACTCTACTTATAGCCCACTTGCATGACATTGTTGACTGCTATCTATACAACAACACTCGCCTATGTGTGTATTCATCATTCCCAAATCACTATTACTATACGTACCTTGCTGCTGCGGACTATGACAACTGCGCATGTTGGTACCACACACACACTCTCTCTCTATTCATCACTCCTCCTTATCCATCACCGCCACCAAAGGAGGATACCCATAAGGATACTATAACAAAAGACTTTGCCAAATTGGGGGGGGGGACGTAATCACATCATCGATAGCATTGCGAATTGTTTGTCTTTTAGTGATTGAAAGCAATAATGACATTTTATTTTTCCGGGGGGTTGGGAAAGCAAAAGGAAGAAAAAAATGGAGAGAGAGAGAGAGAGAGAGAGAAAGAGAAAACACAAATATCCGGGGGGAGAAAAAGTTTAAGATGCACGATGGCTGCAAGAGGCTGCTGTTGCTGTTGTCTGAGTGGATGGACCTTAATCGCACACAAAAGTGAAATTCATATAGACACATCACACACGCATACAAAAAAGAATCAGGCCACTTTGCGGCGGAACAAGAATTGCCCTAACAACGCTGCCGAAATGTTGGCTGATTTTATCGATCGTCAGACATTTATCCTTTCTTTCTTTCCACACTCCTCGTTGACCACTCTCGACCCACTCTTTATTCCTCTTTTTTACATTTCGCTGCTATGGATTCATTTGATTTGTTTTTCTGCAATGATAATGCCGAATTTTTGAACGACACATGGCCTGAAAACCTTTGGCTACCACCTCCTATGGGTAAAGAAGCATGAATGAGCCATACACACTATTGCACAGGTCCCTATTAACGCTTGTTGCCATGAATAGAGAAACCCGCAACACCACCTACTTCTCCCCAGCAGAAACCAAAAAACAACACAGCCCACAACATCATTGAACGGCGATACCGGAACAATATCAATGATCGCATCAGTGAGCTCAAAGATGTGGTTCCTGCCTTACGCCATGCCAAAGTAGGCAAGAAGCGAAAGGCAAGCAGCAGCAGCGATCCTGATGAACAAGAGGAATACATTGATGGCGTTGCAGTGGCAACCAAGCTCAACAAGGCCACCATCCTCAAAAAAGCGACCGATTACATTCACCATCTCAAATACACCAACGACCAGTTGCAGCAAGAAAATGTCTTGTTGCAGCAATGTCTACAACGGTTGCCAGGAGGATCATCCGCCTTTACACAATTCCAAGCATATAAGCTGCAGCAGCAACAACAACAACAGCAACCCACGTCTACTACGACGACTTTACCATTTGCCACAGCATCATCATCATCGTCATCATCATCATCCTCACCATCCGTTTCTACTACCACTTTTATGGCACTCTTTTTGTGCATGTCATTTTCCCTTCCTGGTAGTCAATCCGCCAACCACACTGCAACTAGCACCGTGCCATCGGATGGTGGCAGTGGTGGAGGTGGAGGTGGTCTTTCAGTGATGCGATTGTTGTTGCTTATCCTCATTGGATTATTTTTACTTTTCCCACACCATTCGCACAAGCACAAAGAACACCCAAAATATACTGATACCCTTCCTCAACGCTTTTTACCATGGCATGTGTTCCTTCAAGTTTTACGTCTTGTCATTCGGCACATGGTGGGCGTTGATATTCATAGCACAACGCCATCGTCACAAGAACCCAGCTGGCTGGATACTTGGATTCACAATGACAATGATCCTGATGACGACCATGATGATGATGATGATGCAAGCCATAGCAACAACAACAACAAGAAGGAAAGCCAATTGGCCCGTGTGTATGTATGTGTCCGCATGATTAATTTAGCCGAGACGATGGATGCAGTTGACATGGTGCAAGTGTATGCAACAGCTGCTTTACGCATTGACCCAGTCTCAAGATGGATAGCACGTTACTTGTGGCGACTTGCCATGTATGAAATGACCGAAGACCATCCTTTGCACTCCTTGACATGGGATGTTCACCATCAAGCGGATGATGATGCCATGTTGGATACGATGCTCGATTCTCAAGCGTGGGCTGAGACATTGGCTCATACACGACCCACATTACAGCGTCTTGCGAGTCTTCATTTACTTGATAATCTTCGTACAGAATTTGCTCGACTTGTTATTTCCATCACATCACCACCCACATCGACGACCACGCATCCTTTCCATCCTCTTTTAATGGCAGCCACTTCTTTATCATCATCATCATCATCTACGACAACAACTACATGGCTTGCTGCTGTTGGTGTAGCTGTGGAAGCATTATGGCGATCCGATGCGAGTCAAGCACATGAAGCCATTGCACTGGTTCAAAAAACGGCGCGAACGACACTAGGTCACAAGATGGTCCATATGCTTTCAGGGGCTATGGCGATGATTGATGATGGCGAACAACATCAAGATGATACCGAAACAGCCGTACAACGACTCCTTGAAGCAGAAGCGACACAACAGTATATGAAACGTGTCGTACGACGACGTCGTGTACAAGGCCTTGATAGTGAAGTCCTTGCCTTGGCAGAGTTTGTTGTATGCCTTGCTGGTTTACAAGCATGGATCGATGTTTGGCGACATCATGCATGGGCAGCTTCACATGTTAAGGATTTATCACTTACTTTGCGCCGTATGATGCGTTGCTCATCCCTTGAAAAGTTACCTACCCATCAAGTGCTTGTGGATCGTCTCTCACGTCTCGGCAATTTCGCTGGTCATCCCGTGGATGATGACGAAGAAGAAGATGATGATGTGGATGAACAACAACTCGATTGTCATGCTGATAAAGCCATCGCCATCTTACATGGTTTCATCTAGTATGTAGCAATTCTAGTCCTTTTTTCTTTTGACGTATATAAAAATGTGTACTATAACATCATCATCCTACTACCAAGAAATCATACGATTCCTCCACACACTCAGCCCCCCGCTGTTTGCCGATCCCATTGTTTTATTGCATGATGCGTATGTAATACACGTTGTCGTCGAAAATCACCCGTCGCAAAAAAAAAGTGAAACATCCCATTTGGATCGTATGTTATTGCCCAGCAATGGGTAATCTTTTATAAAAACGTTGTGGGTTCTTCCATTGGTAGCCTTTTTATGTAATGGGATGATAGCATTACTTTGGGATATATAAAGGGGTGCATGTTGTAGATAAGGGATACTAATAGAAGGAGTACGTATCATTAACTACCACCATGTACGTATGTACATGTATGATATCGTTAGTGCTGTTGAAGCTGTGCTCGTATGCATATTTGCAGCTTACCTGCGCAATGTCAGGGTCTTGTAAAGCTTGTCTGTATACATACTATAGCAGTAGGCCATCATCATTGGTTGCCATGATACCAATGAATGAATGTATATTTTTATCGTTGCATGTAACCATAGCAGCAGTAGTAATAGTGAGTCGGCAAGTGGGCACGTGATGGATGAATTGATGATATTGGGTAAAAGTGCTACTACATGGATGGGATGTGTCACGGTGCTGCTGCGGCAAGGTGAGTCATTGAAATGAGCTGTCTCATCATTGTTGGTCACGAGGTCGGGAGGTGGGGTAAGTAGACAGTGATTGATGGGTGGCTGAGCCCAAGGTCCAAATAAAATGGCGCTTGATCAAAGGGGGTCTGTTCCTTTCTTGTCGCACCCTCCGCATTCGACATTATACTACAACCACCATGTCCGAAGTCAAGCCTGCACCGGCACCTGCTGCTGCTCCTGTAAAGAAGGAAAAGAAAGACAAAAAGGCCTCCAAGAAGCCTGCTGCTGCCGAGGCACAATATCCTTTGGAGGTAAAAACAAAAAAGACAACTTGTATATAGAATCGCCCCCATTTTGACACATTGGGTCCCATTGACATAGATGACACCCGCCCCAGAGTACCTTCAATATCGTATCGATATGTTTGACCGCCTCAAGGCTGAAGCTGAAGCCGCTTTGAAAGGTAAAAATACAGTCGGTTGGATCCAACCTAACGCGAAACACGCATACGCATACGACTAACGCCATCCACACACACACATGATAGACAAGCCACGTGCTCCTATTACCATTACTCTTCCTGATGGCACCAAGAAGGAGGGTACTTCCTATGAGACCTCGCCTATGGATATTGCTCTTGGTATCTCCAAGTCGCTTGCCGATCGTACCGTTATTGCCAAGGTCAATGGTGAATTGTGGGATTTGGAGCGTCCCTTTGAGGAATCCAGCTCTTTGGAGCTTTTGGACTTTGAATCTGAGGATGGTAAAAAGGTCTTTTGGCATTCCAGTGCACACATGCTTGGTGAAGCTTGTGAGCGTCATTATGGCTGTCATTTGTGTATTGGTCCTCCGCTTGAAGATGGTTTCTACTATGAGATGGGCTTGAAGGATCGGTAAGTATAGTGTAGAGAGAGAGAAAGAGAAAGGATCAAGTGAGCTGACCCTGATTTAGTGTTGTCTCTCAAGCTGATTATGCCAATCTTGAAAAGTTGGTTGGTATCATCAACAAGGAAAAGCAGCCTTTCGAACGTCTCGTTGTTTCCAAGGAGAACTTGCTCGAGATGTTCAAGCACAACCCTTACAAGCAGCACATTATCAATGACAAGATCCCTGATGGTACCTCCACCACTGTCTATCGTTGTGGTCCTTTGATTGATTTGTGCCGTGGTCCTCACGTTCCCCACACTGGCCGTATCAAGACCTTCACCATCACCAAGAACTCGGCCTCTTACTTTTTGGGTGATGCCAAGAACGACTCTTTGCAACGTATTTATGGTATCTCATTCCCTGACAAGAAGCAAATGAGCGAATACAAAAAGTTTATTGAGGAAGCAAGCAAGCGTGATCATCGTAAGATTGGCAAGGAGCAAGAGTTGTTCTTTTTCCATGAATTGTCACCTGGCTCAGCCTTCTTTTTGCCCCATGGTGCACGTGTTTACAATGCCTTGATGGATTTGATTCGCAACGAGTATCAACAACGTGGATTCACTGAAGTCATCACGCCTAACATGTTCAACCTCAAATTGTGGAACCAATCGGGCCATGCTGCCAAGTACAAGGAGAACATGTTTTGCTTGGAGGTGGACAAGGAAGAGTTTGCATTGAAGCCCATGAACTGCCCTGGCCATTGTCTCATGTTTGGTCACACCGATCACAGCTACCGTGAATTGCCTATTCGTTATGCCGATTTTGGTGTGTTGCATCGTAATGAATTCTCTGGTGCTTTGTCTGGTCTTACGCGTGTGCGTCGTTTCCAACAAGATGATGCCCATATCTTCTGTCGTCAGGACCAAATTGAACAAGAAATGGCCAACTGCTTTGATTTCTTGAACCACGTCTATGGTATCTTTGGCTTTGAATTCCATCTCAAGTTGTCGACGCGTCCAGAGAACTTTATTGGTGAAGTGGAAGTGTGGAACAATGCTGAAAAGAAATTGGAGGATGCTCTCAACAAGTTTGCTGAAAAGAAGGGCATTGCTTGGGAATTGAACCCTGGTGATGGTGCTTTCTATGGTCCCAAGATTGATATCGTTATTTCGGATGCTTTGCGTCGTAAGCATCAATGCGCTACTATCCAACTTGATTTCCAATTGCCTGAGCGTTTCCAACTCCATTATCGTACCGAAAACAGCAGCCAAGAAGAGACCTTTGCTCGCCCTGTCATTATCCATCGTGCCATTTTGGGTTCGGTTGAACGTATGATGGGTATCTTGATTGAACATTTCGGTGGCAAGTTCCCATTCTGGTTGTCTCCTCGTCAAGTGAGCATCATTCCTGTTGCCGCACCTTTCATTCCTTACGCCAAGCAAGTCACCGAGAAGCTCGTTGCTAACGGTATCTATGCTGATGCTGATCTCTCGGATAATACCCTCAACAAAAAGATCAGAAACAGTGAAATTGCTCAATACAATTTCATCTTTGGTAAGTGATTTGTTTGTTAGAGAGAACCAATGGGATCACTCAACTCACACGTATTTATAGTGGTCGGTGGTGAAGAAGAGAGCACCCAATCCGTCAATGTCCGCAACCGCGATGATGTCGGTACTAAGGCCAAGGGCAAGACCATTCCTCTTGATGATGTCCTTGCTAGTGTCATCCGCCTCAAGGAATCTAAGAGTCTTGAAAACAAGTTTTAAACCTGTAGGCCCTTCTTTGATAATGTGTTGTGTGTATAAATAAAAAAGAAAACATTAGTCCTCGTCTCCAGTCATTAATGCAACGTGGTGGTCATGTACTTATTTATATACACCTATCTCAGGCCTATCCTTTTTCTTTGTTTTCTTCTCCCCCCTTCTTTTACGCAATCTCTGATTCAGGTCAACTAATCACATGTCTCGATGACTAAAACTCGTGTTCCACCACCGTTGGGCTTGATACGACCGAGTCAAACAAGTGTTCACTTTCAACTAGGTAGGTGTATACCTTTTTTTTATTGTAAAGCGTACAGGCATATTGATATATACATGCGTACCATAGTGGTGGTTCAACAGCCTGTTCGTGCTCGATCATGTGGCTTTGGCGAAAAGGATAAACGACCTATCGACCCACCTGTAATTCTACAGCTGCATAAGGAAACGCAAGGGACATTGCATCGTGTCAGGTAAAGTTGGCTTTTTTTGATAGGAGAAAGAGAGAGTGAAAGAGTGAAAGCTTATGTTTTGTATATATACATATACACGCAGCACCGTGGACAATGTAGGGCTCTTTGTAGTACAGTGCCAACTGTATTCTGAAGATGGCAAGCACCTATGCGATCATGTGTTTCACCCAGCGACGATCCATCCACCCCAACAAGGTGTGCTTAGCTTTCAGGAACCCGTACTCTATCGTAATTTACTCGGTGTCGTCGTTTCCAATGGATACCAATTACTCGATATCCATGGTGATCCAGGCATCTTTTTCGTCTTTCAAGATCTATCGGTACGCACTGAAGGTCGTTATCGGCTTAAATTCCTGTTTATTGATCTGTCGGCAGGGTAAGTGTCTACGGCGGGATCATCATTTTATTATGCAGCAGCAGCAGCAGCAGCAGCAGAATGATGATAAGGACCCTGTGTTGTTTTTGTTGCCGATGATCCCCTTTTGAATCTTACGCGTGTTGTATAGGGAACCATTGACGATGAGCACCCAAGTATTGAACGAGGTGTTTTCGGATCCATTTACGGTGTACACACCCAAAACTTTTCCTGGCATGACAGGTTTGGAAGAACGGGGTCAAAGGGGGGAAGGATCAAGGGGCTATCGAGAAAAAAGTGCGAGAGAGAGAAAGAAGCAAAAGAGACGTGTGTGTGAAAGGGGCCCATAGTTTATGTATATAGACTGACAGTAGCCTATTGCTTTTTTTTAAAGATTCGACAACCTTGTCAAGATCTTTTGCTAATCAAGGCATCAAGTTGTCCATACGCAAAGAAAAACGTATCCGCAAATTGGGTGATAGTATCTATGGCGACAAGAATGATCAGCAACAACAGCAACAGACAAGCCAGTGAGCAAGCGGGATTAGGATAGGATAAAAAAGGGCGGGCATTACGAGCCTAACGGTACGAACTCCATCAATGCTGTGATCCCCTTTCCTCCTTGTCCCCTTTATGCATCGAAAACGCACAAACTGAAATGTATGGATCAGGGTGGCAATAGCAGTTAAATTCGATATCCATGTAATGGATACTTGTGTGTGTATGTATGTGTGTGTGGGTAATGTGTAAAAAGAAGAGGAGTAAAAAGGCTTTTGTGGAATGTAGCACGTTGCACCAAAACCCATTTTTCATCATCCACCATCATCTTATTTTTTGTTGCTGTCGTTTTTCTGTACCCCGTTAAATACCCCCTGTGTGTGCAGCTGCATCATTCAAAGCAAGCCCATCTTTTTGTGTGTCGTGGTTGTGTGCTGTGTATTCTCATTCTCTATTCTCTTCCCCCCACTCACTCCCCCTTTTTCCTTTTTCCCAAGCATTTACCTTTCTCTCTTTCTCTCTCTGCTCTTACTCTCTCTCTCTCCCGCAGACATACATTTTATTCCTTTAATACATGTTGGCCGCTGAACCTCCACATCAACAGCAGCAGCAGCAGCAACAACAACAACAGCCTTTGAAGCTGACTCCAGAAGTACTCGACCGGCTACGACATTTGCAACAAGCTGATCGCCCTGTCTCGGTCGATGAGGTGTTGCATGCTGCTAATTTGGACCATCTCACCCAGCTTCCTCAGCCTTCAAAGTCGTCTACGGCTGCTGACATGTCGCCACCTTTACCAGAAGCACAAGCTTTTCCACGCAAGTCGCGTTCAACGACCACAACACTTGCTGAACGACGACGTATTCCAGCATCGACAGAGAAACTAAAGTTGTATTGCCAAATCACACATCCAACTTGTACTACTACTACACCACCCTCGATGACCAACAACGACTCGAGCACGACTGATTCATCTACAACCACGCCTACTGATAATGAAAAGACAGCATCCAACAACAACCCAACAATGGAAAGACTCGAGATGGAAAATGCACAACTTTCCCCTCAGGTACGAGAAATGGGATATTAACTCGGTGCTGGTGACTGATCTACAAAGCTTTTAGGCATCCGAAGATTACTTGCTTGCACGTCTCGAGCGACAAAATGCACTTTTAAGTGCCGACCCAAAGTCCGTCTGCATCGAATCTAATAAGCTCAAGGCTGATTTCGACACGGTCCGCAACCTTGTTCAACAAGGCGATCACGACAATAACAATAACAATAACGATTGGGAATTCTGGGAATATCTCGTTGAGGATTTCGCCGGTGCTGCTACAAAGCTGCCCCATTTATTGGTAGCCAAATTGAGTCATGGTGGTATCCCGGATCGTCTACGTGGTGTCGTTTGGCGTGCCATGTCACAATCATCAGCGACCCACCTTGAATCCATCTATGATAAGCTCGTTTTGGAACATTCACCCTCCTCCTCACCTTATGAACGTGTCATTCAACGTGATCTATCTCGCACTTTTCCTCAAGTCGACATGTTCAAGGCCGATGGCGGTGAAGGACAACAAGCCATGGGACGATTGCTACGTGCGTACAGCGTCTATGATGCTCATGTTGGTTATTGCCAAGGACTTGCTTTCCTCGTTGGCCCATTGTTGATGACCGTAAGTTGTTGTAACATTCCCGTTCAATCACCCCCCTTTTTCAGCCTGCTCACATGCCATACTATTACGTTTGACAGATGCCAGAAAAAGATGCCTTTTGTGTATTTGTCAGGTGAGTAAAACAAAGCACGTGAGCTGTCAATGGCATTTTACTTAACCTTGTTTATAATAATAGACTCATGGAGACATATGACATGCGTACGATGTTTACTCTCAACATGGAAGGTTTACATTTACGTTTACATCAGTTTTCAGTGCTCCTTGCACAACTTTGCCCTGAATTATCAGCCCATTTGAATGAGCATTCGGTCCATCCAGCAATGTATGCCTCTCAATGGTTCTTGACTCTATTCGCATACTCTTTCCCTATCGATCTTGTCTTGCGTATTTACGACTTGGTGTTTGCCGAAGGTGCCATTGAAACCATCACACGTGTTGCTGTAGCAGTGATGCAGAAGAATCAAGATACCCTCATGCAAATCAATGACTTTGAAAAGTTGATGATGTACTTGTCGTCGCGTCGTCCTTATGAAGAAGGCTTTTCATCCGATCCAGAATCGGTGATTGGTGATGCCATGGCTCTCAGCAATGTGATTACTCGAAGCAAGGTCGATAGCATTGCCGCTCAACACCGCAAGGAGCTTGAACAAGAAAAGTCACGTGCCCAACAAGTCCTTGCCATTCGTTTTGATCAATCAGCAGCAGCAGCCATCAAAGCCAATAACAACAAACCCACAAAGAATAAGCGTGAATCATGGTTTTCATGGGCATCGGCGTCTCAGAATCGTGCAGTAGTCGTTGAGCAACCCGCATCACCTGTCATGTCACCCACCAGCCCAACATTTGCAGCTACTACAGGTCGTGCTAGTACAAGTAGTATCAATAGTGGTACCGGTGCTGCAGGTCAACAAATGCTCCACCAACAAATTGAAGATCTCGTATTGGCCTTGTCGCAACTTCAAAAAGAGCATTCGCAGTTATCGGAAGAGATGATGGCTCTCAAGATGCGTGACATGGATCGTGAATCGGAACGTCAACAACTTGCCAAACGTAACCAAGCGCTTGAAAAACGTATTCGCAAGTACAAGAGTAAGCTGAATGCATCCACCAGCTCTGCCAACACCATGGCTGCTGCTCTTGCTAGTCCCACTCAAGAAGATAGCAATGCGACTCGTCTTGAACAATTGGAACATGATCCAGAATTCAATTCATTTGTTGACTCGTTGCGTATGAGCGGTGATTTTGGTGCTTTGATCGCTGGTGCTTTGGATTCAAGCACCCAACCCAAAAAGACAATGGAAGAAGATGAGGAGGAGAATGATCAACAACAACAAGATGATGATGGCAACACTATGACCAACGAGTTGGTGGCTGTCAAGTTGCTCAATATCCAATTGCGTGAAAAATACAATGACTTGAACGAGAAACATGAACAACTTTCACGCCAATTGGAAACGGCACGTGATGCCCACCGTGAATTACTCAACAAGCAAGCCGAGTTACAAGCTGAAGTGGAAACGCTTGGCCTCACACGAGAACAGCTCCTTGAGGAACATGAAGCGATTGAGGACGAGAACCATGAAATGGAAGAGAAATTGATGGCTGCTAAAAAGACATGCTCCGAGTTGCAAGTTGAGAAGTTGGCATTGGCCAAACAAGTGGAACAATTGGAACGTCGTATTGCCGAGCTTGAACAAGAGAAACGGGAATACTTGATGCCTCGTGGATCCTTTACAGAAGAAGTCTTTGCTGCCCATCAAACTTTATTTGGTACCAACAAGGAACAAGAGGAACATCAACAATCAGAGGCTGCTGCTGGTAGTAATAGCACTAGCGAGTATCAGAAAAAGTACGTTGAAAGCGAATTGCGATGCCGTGAATTGGAAAAGTTATTGGCAGAGACCAAGTGCAAGCTTGCCGAATACGAATCATGCCCTTCTTCGCCACGTCTTTCTCATCCACCACCTTCTCGACGACGTTCGATGCGTAATTCCATGTTATCGGCGGGGAGTCGTATGAGCTTGCCACCCACTTGTGAACCAGGTCGTGTCTCTACCGATAGTATCAACTCTTGTGGATCGGGTATCTCATCCAAGCGATCCAGCATGTATTCTCGTCTCTTTGGTAACACCACATCTCCTCCTGGAGGAGCTAATAATGGTAACAAGGGAAACGCTCCTACGCCCATCACCAATGCCAATCTTGTTGAGGAACCACAACATGTCTAAATCTTTTATGCTATACCCTTTATTCCAATCCCCTTTTTAAAATATCTTTGTCTTTATATTCTTTTCTTTCTTTCCCTTTATTTGCTATCTAGTACTTTATGGTTGCTTGTTCTCAAGTCCATCCCCCTTATTAAAAAGAGTCATATTCCTCATGCTGTTCTTTTATAATTGACTATCACGGTCTTGGTGTATGCATGCTGATCAGAGGAGAATGACGTGGTGTAGCTTACTTCATGTGTTTTCACCTAACAGGATACTTTCGGATGCACTCATCATTATTTTCCTACGATTAACTTCATACGTGGACCTTCATACGCGGACCTTACTATAGGAGAAGGGTACATCATGCACTTCCAACCAATGGCAACGAACCCTTTCATCTTTGTTACACAAAGAGGTTCCTCTGCATCTTTACTCCTATGAGGGTGGAGGTGGGTGACAATGAACAAAGAACTCTTTTCATGTAGCATCACGCTTACAGCATATGTAAACATAAAGGTGCCTGTATCTCTAAACTTTACAATGAAACGCGGGGTCTTTATGAGGACAATGTTGCTCGGCGGGGTCAAAGCGATTTTGTGTCAAAGTATGAAGTTCATCGTGGCCGATCCCAGATTCACCCAATGTCGCTACCAGCCAAACTGGATCTGGGGGTCGACCTCTTCGACGACGACGACCAAAAAAACATTTTTTGGGCTGGTTGCGACATTGAACGTGAAACTTCCACACAAGGTGCTGTTGGCCAAGCCGAGCACATTGCTCTAATAAAAACCACACGTTTCATTGTAAAGTTTGGAGACACAGGCACCTTTCTGTTTGTAAGCGTGATGCTATATGAGAAGTGGTCTTTGTTCAATGCCAAATAGCTAGGCCTGATAGAGCCAAAGATGCAGAAGGACGTGTTTGTGTAACTGGGTTAAAAAGTTTGGACTTCAGGGACCATGCATGACAGGTACGCAACCCTCACTTTTATGTCATACATTGGCAGCTAATAGCCACTTTTGTGCATTCCCAACTTTTGTGCATTCTATTGTAGGTGGACGATGCT